TGCTGCTTTCTAAAATGTATTCATAGCCTCAAATTGGATTTGATAGTGTTGTAACGCTGCAGCCAGCAGCCTCTTTAGTTTTTACACCTTTCAAGAGAGGAACCATAGTGTTAAACAGGCACCAAAGGTAGCTGCAGTAAGACCTCATTTTTCTCGCTGTGAAGTTTCCAGACTTGGAGTTCTGTATCTTGTCGTCTTTTGGGATCATGGGGCGGATAGTACTTGTGAATCTTTTCCCAAACAAAATAAGATAACACAAAGTCCTGCTATCTGTAGATAAAAGTGAAATACTGTGCCGTCTAGTGGAAAAAAGAGGAGGGAGTCAAAGAAAGGGGCAAAAAAGTTCTATCACATAATGGAGTTTAGAAGTTTTATTCTTTACTTCTCCTCACCAGCAGCTTCCAAGGTCATGTTACTGCACCAGAAAAACCCTTAATATAAAAAGACTTTTTTTTTTTTTTTTAAAGCTCTGTGTCAATAGTAAAATTCCTGCACATATTTTTTTACCTCACCTCAGGAGATCAATCTTAAGTAAGAGCCATGTGGGATCTTTGTGGTTTCCATCCAAATGCTCTTGGGTGAATTCAGCTGGAGTGAAAGATGTAGATGTAGAAGCGTAGCTGCATTACGATTCTTGGAAAACCTTTTTAAACTGTCATGTGTCTGTGCGTTTCAATCTGTCTCAATGTAACCAGCAGCCTGTTTTCTATAACGTGATTTTGATGGGATTGTTTCTTTCACGGATGAATGTTGATTTTTATTTTTTTTTGTAAGATCCAAAAAGCTTTACGTTAAAGGTGGGTTGGTTTGAACACGTTTAAATTTTTGTCACGCCATTAGAAAGGCTCTGTTGATGAATTAGCTAAAACATGATTTAAACACTCAGGTGTGGCTGTGCAATATGTCCTTAAAATCAATATCACGATATATTGAGAATGTAGCGTCTGCTTTCCTTCAACAAAACAAGGCCGCTGGGGTTAAGATTCGCTTGCATCTGTGACTCGCTTGAATGATCAGTCCGATTTGAGGGTTAGAAAAAATGATTTATTGTTCAAAAAAGGGAAAGAAAACACGCTGCTCCGGGTCCAATACTTTTGCCTTCAACTGAAAAGGTGATATGATGAAATGAGGTTAAAACAGGATGGATGAATGAAGCGGTCAAAAACAATGAGAAACGGTCAAAAACATTTAAAACGGTCAACAGAAAATTATCAGTGCTTACCAAACCCCTTGTGTGACTACACCTGTGAGTTTTTAAATAACTTGCCAAACATCCCAAAACCACACCCCTCAGTGACGATCCTGGAAGTGACGTGCCTACAGAAATAAAACTTTCAATAAATATATTTTGGCTCCTACAGACAAAGATGCTATGACAAGCTACTCACCCTCTCCCACATTAACTTCGTCTAGTCCAGCCGCTACAACTTTTGAACCGTCCTCCATCTCCTCACCTGTCATTCCCTCTCTTTTACACACAGGATGGGGTTGAGTCACGTCTCTGACATAGGACAGCATCTTAAAGGGACATGAAACCATAGCCTACCTACACACATCCAAAACCAGCTTTTATTGATTTATTTTTTTGACACTGAACATACGGATATGAGCAAAATGATGTGGGTTATTGTTGTAAATTTTGGTATCTGTAAATTTTCGGTTTATCGCCCAGCCCTACACTCAGCTGAAAAAACCTGTTCAAAAATACTTATTTCTACAGTGTATGTTGTATTTTGGCCTTATCCAAACCTAGGCCGCTTTTGTCTATTTTGATGGACATGACTTTTTTATATCATATTTTTGAAGTCCATGTTTCCAGCCAGCAGCAGGTAGGACTGTAAATTTTGCACATGATTTTGAGTTGCATCATTCAAAGACATGTTGGAGCTGTTTTGGCACTCGTGTGACAGTTTTTTTGTTGTTGTTGATGTTTCCTTTACTTTGCTAGTTACCTGTAGATGTGACACTGGCTCCGGGGCATCCTTTGTCTCATCACAAAAGCCACAAGCATTTGATACAAACGTCATCGGACACTCTCGGAATACACACTATCTCACCTGTCACACAGTAACAATCACATTGACAACTCGGTGCAAACATGAGGTGTAAAAATGTAAACAGACACAGCCATCAGCTCTGATTCCTGTCCCACACGACCACCGATATGTGTGTGTTTTTTGGCTGAGTGCACTTGTGCTGCTTTTTTGTGTTCATGTAAGCCCACAGTGTGTGTGTGTGTGTGTGTGTGTGTGTGTGTGTGTGTGAGAGTGTGTGAGAGTGAAAGAGGATAGGTTGAGGCCATCTTTCATCTCTTGCTGTGATCAGATATTCTACATGATATGATATGATGATACAGGCCCAATTAAGGGATGGGGTTGTGTGAAAAATGTGATGACAGGGCAAGCGGAAGACTAGACTGTGATCTGACATCTGAGAGGGGAGAGATACAAGGAAGAGAGAAAGGTAGACAGAGAATAGGTTAGGGCGGGGGAAGACAAGGGAGGACATGCAGGACTGAGAGGTGGTTGTAGGGAAAAGGCAAAGAGTAATGCTGCTAAAGGAAATGAAGATGGGATGGTGTGAGAAAATATAGTCAGTATGAATGTTAAGTAGGGAAGGACAGAGAGAATTAATATGATTAGGAAGAAGAGGGAGAAGGAAGAGGCGCATAAAGATGAATGGAGAGTAATGAAAGATAGAAAGGAGGAGAAAAATTAGGCCTCTTTTCCCCAAGAAACAATTTGTCAAATATGTTAAGAAGCCTACTTTTGAGAATTGATTCTTTCTTGTCTGAATAAAATTATTGGGAAACTTTGACAGGAGGGACAGAAGGAACATACTTCTTTTAAAAAACATAACCCAGAGTAAGAGAAAAATATTCTAGTTATTAATTGTTGTTTCCCTCTAAAGGCTGCATTGATTTGATAGACACAGTGGTACATTAAAAACAGCCCCAATTGTGAAATAGAGCTGACTTCCAGCAGGGAAGCTTCTGGTTACTGTCTGAAATCTGTTTCCCCACAATTTCCAAGTCAGTCTGGATTAACTACAACTGTGTCAGGTGTAGGATTTTGATCAGGACGCACACCGCTTTGATCACTCTGCCTGCTTTTATCAGCACGCATGCTCTTTTCATAACCAAATAGGACCCAGTTATGTCAAGCACATTGTTCTTTACTTGGAGTGCCAAAGCAGTACACAATAAAGAGGAAATAACTCAACTCAAACATCACCTGAGGGGGGAAAGTGCTTTTATTTAGCTGTCAAAAAGTATACTTGTTAGACTCTGTCAATTACAGGGAATAAATACATGTAATACAGGTAGTTCTCTTCCGTATAAAAATAATAAAAAGACATGGATTTTGAAACACAAGTGCAAGGTTACAGCATACGTTTGTGACAGGAATTCAAAAAATATATTAGTGCAAATTCATTTTCAAGATAGCAGGAGTGCAATAAAAAAAAAGGAGTACAGCTCAAGTCCAAATGTTGTAAAGAGTTACAAAACATTGTGGACATCTTGAAGACCTGGCTTTGAAATTCAGGCTCTTATCTTCTTCTTCAGGAGGTTTCAGATACCTAAAAAAAAACACAGGAAAAGAAAAATTATTGAAAACCATCTTGATACCATCTCAGTTCATAATTTAACTTCCCATAAGAGCTCTTCAACTCTCAACAAAGTATAGTTCAAGAATGAGATTGAACTTTTGTTCCAGCTATAAAAAGGTCGAAAAAAAGCTGTTAGTTCCAGTCCTGAGTGTGTGATCTCTGTGTACAGTTAGCCACTGCTAAAGCATGAGGGACAGCGCTGTTGTAGGGTTTCATCACATCCCAAAAGCTTGATCCTTGAATGAAAGGAGTCCAGTGAGCTGTGAGTTCCTGGTGTACTTGACAGTGACAAAGGCCTGGACAATAGCCGCTGACATTAGTCCCCCTCATATCACGCTGCACTTTCCTCCCATTGTTCACCCTGCACTTCTCACATGTATTGTCTTACGTGATATCCTTAGAACCTGATAAGACGCCCGCTGAAGGTTTTTTTGTGGCTGAGGACACAGGCCTGGGAGTGTCTCAGGGTTACAGCTGCTTATTATTCTCACATAGAGGAGACTGAGAGGCTGTAGGGTCTAGGGAACGCCTTATCGGATCCCCTTTACACCCCACCTAACCTGGGTTACTTGCTCCTCCAGCCTTTCCTCCATTACTCCTGCCATACCTGACACTCCCATCCTCCTGAAAGACATTATGGTATTACATTTCGTCGAAACTATAGAGCCTGCTGACAAGCATGGGAGGTATTCTGGGGCTCAATATGAATGTATAGTTCGTACAAAACAGCTGGGGTCATTTGAGACAGAAAGAGTGCCAAACCGGTTCTGTTAAATCCTCAGTCTGTGGTGTCATTGTCTGCATTAACAACAAAGGCTGAGCAACATGTCACTTTAGGACACTATGGCTACAGATGTTTCTATACCTTGTTTTTTTTCCTGGTCCTGATTTCAAAGCCTAAAACCTGGGACATACTGATCCACAATCACAATGAGACTTGAAAAATATCAGCTGTGAACTACTGGCCTTGGATTGATAGTAGGGCTGTCCCAATACACCTTTTTGACTTCCGATACGATACCAATATTGTAGCCTTCAGTATTGACCGATACTGATTTTGGCACAAAATTGTGCATGACAAGTTTTTCCACTCAGCTGTAATGTCTTTTTCGGACTTAAACAAAAAATATTGTCACAAGGCCAACATAACTCTTACTCCGTGCTACTTTGTTAGTACCTTAATACACACTGTTGTTGTGATTTTACGGACTCAGCTTGCTGGATCAGGGCGCTGCTAGATAGAGGTGCTGGAGTGAAGTCTGGAATGGACTGCTTGTAATGGAGTGCTGATATTACAGATTTTAGATGCAGGCCGATATAATCCTATATTCGTTTTTTTTGCTGATATTGGATCAATTTCTGATATCACACCCCTTATTGATAGAGTAGTACAGTGTGCTATCTGTTTGTTTTGGCTGGTTCAGTAAGCAAATGACTGAAGACCTCTTTTTATTTTGCAGAAATAATCTAGGATTTAAAAGTCCCACATGTAGGACATTTTTTGAGATCTCTCTCTCTTTCTCTTGTGTTTGCTCAGGAACTTTGATGGTGCCTTACATTTTTCAAGCTGCTTTATTTGGTATTGACCTATTTTCATTACCAGGTCAGACCTCTCTGTTTAATTCAACTCCAGTAGAATACCTCAAGAACAAGGACAGTCAAAGTAATGCTAACCTGAGTGCCTACAAAGTTTACACTAATGCTTGGACAAGCAAACAGACAGCAGTGGAAAAAGGTGCTTTTATTATTGTGAAACTGCTTGATGTAACATTATCTGTTAGTCATACAGTGTTATTTAGTGCTGCTGACTGCAGAAAAGTGAACAAAAATCTGTAGATTTTTTACAGCGGTTAAATTGTAGTTTCTGGTGAGAGTCACGACAAACTAGTCACATGGTTGCAGCCAATTGCTGGGGGATCTACAATTTTGGTTTTATCCTGAATTTTGACTGATAATTTACAGTTTTCTGACCAAATTTTAATTTGTTGTTGGAACATCTCTGAAACATCTCCTTCACATTGGCGAAATCTTTTGTTAGGGCTGGGCGATATGGCCTCAAATCAGTATCACGATATATTGAGCAGTTCACCTCCATAACGATAAATGGACAATAACTACTCCACAAGCTGCTCACCTCCTCCCACATTGACTTTGTCTACTTAGAGTCATGTCTCCAACATAGGCCAGTGTCTTAAAGGGACATGAGACCATAGCCTACCTACACACATCCAAAACCAACTTTTATTTTGACACCAAATATACCAATAAGGGCAAAATGATGTGGGTCATTGACGCAAATTTTGGTATCGGTAAATTTCTGTTTTTTTGCCCAGCCTTTTCTTCTGTCACTGATCCCTAATCTGCCCATGACTTTAATGTAGTGTTTCCCAAAGCTTTACTCCAAATATAATGACTGATTTATATTTCCAGACACTTCAAATCTCTTGATATTGAAGTGTCACTTGCAAGTCATTTTAAGCCGGCAAATTCTGTTTCTTTTTTTTTCTTTTTCCAGGAATTCAGAGTGTACAAAAGTAGTGTTTTGGCCAGGCTGCCTCTTTCCACAAATTTCTCTGATGTTTGGTTGACAGAAAAGAGCAGTTCAGGGTTGGCAGGAGGTCCCAGGGCCATCAACAGCCAAACTTGAAAAGATGAAGGGAGGTGGATTCAGACAACTCAAGCACAAACCTCTGCCTGCTTGCAGCACCTCAAGGGCACACACTGCACTGCCAGGCCTGCTTGTCTATCCGTGGTAGCTGATCTTAGTCAAAGCTACATGTGCCCCTCTCTGCATCCTCCTCATCCTCTCTGCTGACACCGCAGATTGATAACCAGTATATGGGGTCGTCCGCAATGTGTGTGAGAGCGTGTGTTTCTCCGTGCGTGAGCTCAAGGCTTTGTTCAAGGCCCTCAGTGAGTGATAATTTTGTTGCATTAAATAAGGTTTGTGACCACAAAGATCTGCTCTTTATAGTTAGAATAGTTGCAGTAATTCTTATGACCCCGATTAAAGCACATAAAGAGTGTAGCTGTTATTCTCTCACTGATATTAAAGCAATTTACGAACATGCAGAGTTGTGGTCGACCAATAACGGCTCAGGACAAAGTAGGTTTGATAAACTATAACAATATAAATATGATAATTATAATGACAAATGAGAATCAAAATTGCTAAGCATTTTATTTTTTATTACTATTATTATTATTATTGTTGCTATAAGGGCCTTCTGACTTTCTGTCCAGCAATCTGTAATTGTTATAATCATCATTTATCTTTTTGATCAGGCCTGTAAGTACAAGCATCAGCCTGTGACGATCATATCAAAACACCACTACCTCTAATGCAACGCAGCAACCTAAATCCAGGACTGAATTGTGTTATGTTTAAAAAAGGCTTGCTATACAATACATGAGAAAAAACGACAGTAAATACAATATAAGAGAGAAAAAAAGAGACGTGGGACTATTTTCATTCATTTGATTTGGATAAAGAGTACCCATGTTTTTAGCTCTAGCTCCATCAAAAGTCAATTACTGAACACCTGCTCACTGTAGTAATTGCAATTTATGCCCTCAAATGTCAAATATTAATGACACCTGACTGAAGCGCAGTATCTATCAGAATAACAGAGATTTTAATCCAGTGTTTTTTAAAGTAACCTCTCACAAATTGGGCATATCTTTTATGGTTTTTGCTTTCAACCTTTTAGTTTAAGAAATCTACTATATGTAATGTTACCCGTATAAATGTACACTGGTATTAGGAAAGCTTTTGACAGCACCTACATTAAACCGACAGTGTATCAGAAACAAAAGGAAAAAAAGGTTGTCTATAATCTTTTTTGCATTTTTAGATGTCTACAAAGCCTGTGCCTATCTTAAGCTGGTGAAGATATTATGATGCACAATGAGAATCAAAGTATATAAGACAGACTAAGGCTGTTTTTTTTTTAAAGATAAATCAGATAAATTTCAACATATCCTCAGACTCATATTCAGAATTTAAGTGTAAAATAAACTAACATGTACAGTCTTTGCTACTCTAATTCTTGAGATTCCTAAATGCCAGCTGACCCAGATTTTCCCAGAGCAGATCTGCAAACATGGATAGTTGTCATGCTCTCCATCACAATGCGCATTTATGCAGAAAAATACTGAAATATTTGGGAGTGGTCTCCCGTCATCCACATAAAAGTATTTCATGTCAAAGTCTCCCTTGGGAAATTTGACAAAGGCAAAAAGTAGAGCTTGGTGTTGCCCCAAGTCTGATAACATGGTAGAGGAGTTGTATGCCTTGCTCTCCTTCTGCTAACTACTCCCAGTAGACCACAGTCAGATGCCTCCTCTCGCCATGAGGAGGCAACTGATGCTGCTGCTGATCTGCAGAGAATAAGGCTTGACTGAAGCCTGTCTGAGCTGGGGGAGACTGCTTAAACAGACTCGGTGCAGGAACTTGATGCATTCACATGCATTAATGCATACAGTAACAAACACATGCTCTCACTGTATCTGTAAGAATACTTCATTTACATTATATAATTTAGGACTGGAGAAGGTCTTGAAGCCTTCTGCTGTACATGCAAAGGCCAAAAAACAGACTTGGAGCAACACATAAACGAACATATATGGATACCCTACATGCACAGAAATATGACTGACAGACAAACACATCCAATCCTCTCCTTCTCCTTCCTTCTCTATCCATCTATGTCCATGCTTCTGAACCTGAGGGAGACATATTCCTTTTCATCTGTCAGTATGGATGGAAACAGACATGTTCAAAACACACAACAATGGCCTCCCCAGCACCAAGGAGTCTCTATGTTTTGTATGCTTGAAGCACTGCATTATCTCCTAAGTGTCTAGCAACCCCAGTATAGTAAATAATGGATGCTCCTCTTCCTTCTGAAAAACCCCCTTCTTTCACTTCAGGGACCAGTCATGGTTTACCTGTATAAATGCCCTTTCTGTGTCTTTGGAGAAATGGATAGCACTAAAAGATGTGGGTCAGACGATTTCATTAGCACAGCATTTCTCTCTGTGTCTCCTTCAATCAGCCGTTTGACAGAAGCAATGCCACTCAAAATGTCTTACAGACACTTTCATATGGAATTCTCCGAGAAAAGGGATGCAGAGACTGCTGATCCATAGCAGGGACTCTATGAAATATGGCCCATATAACAAGAGGGCGGTATGGTAATGCCTGAAAGAAGAGCATATAGTCACCTCTGAGATCAGCTGAATATCCTTCACATCTTGAGCCAGGGAGGTTCAGTCACGATGCTGTTTGTTTCTGGGTCACCATCCATGAGGTCCTCATCATACCTAAAAACAAAGACATACACTCTCTGTCAATCATATTAATAAAGTTCTTTGTATCTTATGCTGTATTTAATTACACATGCAAAGAGTAGTCGTAGCTGTTCACATTTTACAGGACCTCCATCTCATCAGCCCTCTGTGCCTTATTGGATATTGCTTTTTGACCCACTTGTTTCTCTGTACTTTGTACAGTTAAGTGGGATTGGACAGGACTATTGTGTGCCAAGATGTAACAAAGTCTCTTTGGTCTCCCTCCCCCCATTCATTCCGAGGGTTACACCGAAAGAGTTTCAGCGATTGTGAATTATTTACTTGATTCACCATTCGGTCCTTTAACCTCTGAGCAAATGCACAGGCAGCCAGGGTTAAAAATACACTCCCCCTGGATCTTGAGTTGACTGTGTGCATGTGTGTGTTTGTGTGGGCAGGGATAAAGGTAAGAAATAAAGAAATAAAAAAATTGTATGTAACCTGTGACACATAAAGCCCCTTCTATTCTCTCTCTTTCACAGACACACACTCGTACAGGAAATCATCAGTGTATCGTTATGTGGACACTCTGTGTGTGTGTGTGAATAGAGACCGTCCCAGATGGGATTATTATAACAGCTTGATCTGTGCAAGAGATATAGGAGTGAGACTGTGTGAGGCTGTGTGTGAGGATGACTCTTGACCTCTGTGTCACGACCTGAGCAAATGTTTTGGCACTGCTGTTTTTGTTTAAGTACAAAACATATAAAACTGGTGTAAAAGTTAGTGCGCAGAACCGTTAGCTCTGTCCAATCCCAGTAAAGCTTGTTTTTTTATATTAAGTTTCACTATGACTCCATCAAACTGCAAAAAAACTGATGTACATTCACTTAAAATGGTGTGTGTGTACAGGGGTATATTAATGTTGATCTTTTGGGTGAATTAAGGGGTCCGCAGTCTATGCCAATAGCGGCTGCGGTTCGTGTCTGGTTGTGTAAATATTAATGCCACCAGGATACGTGGGCCTTAATAGATCTACATAAACACACACTCACACCAAGTCGACTTGACCATGTTGCTGTGGTATGTCCCTGGCATGCAGCAGTGTTGTCATGGATACCCCCAGACACATCCGCCATCCCGTAAGCGGGGGGATGCTGAGCGCCTTAGAGGGGCCGGCGCCAAACTCTCTCCCTCCTCCCCCAAACCCTCAACCCTCAACCCTCAACCCTCTTTTCTCTCGCCCCCTCCCCCCCAAAAAAAACTGAATCCCCGTCCCTTATTCTCCTCGACACACTGGCTCAGCTTCAAAAGGGATCTCTAGTTGTCATTGGGGCAGACCTGCTAGCATGTAGCATCTATCCCATCCCAATGTAGGGTCATTTTTGCTCTTAACGTGAATGTGTTGTAATGTAGTTTGAAAATGATGATGGCACAATGAAGAATCAGTCAAAGATGCTTAAATCAAAAAAACAAAAAAACTAAGAACTGACATTTTGTCTGTCTGTGCATGTTTTGGGAGTGTGTGTATATTTAAGTCCACAGGGCTCTGGTTAAGCCTGTAGTTTATCCTGGACTGATCCTTTTCATTAGCCATTATCAATAATTCACCATCGCACTTGCTGTAATGGTTTAATGCGAGCATAGCGTCAATCCACACACATCCGCACTGACACACACACTCAACTTAATAGCACTCACTCTCTTGGCCTGCGCCCAGTGCCACTGAGGTGAATATAGATGTGTAAACGTGCACATAACCCAGCCAGAGCACCTAAAGCTTTCAGAGCTGAATCCCTGTCAGTGTGGAAAACCATTTTGCACCAGCAGGCAGTCATAGGATCCCTTGATTTAGAGTAGAAATCATTTACTATTCTCCCACAAAAGTCTGTTTTTACTGTACTTCAAGTTATATTTCCAATAAAAGGGCACATCAAATCCTCCGCTATGAAGGGAGGAAATGAAGGGGTTAATCTTTTATGACGCATCCCCTCCCCATCCATGCTCTCTTATGCCCTTCCTTTCATATCCTCCAGCATGGCAGTGCTCAGTGGCTGCACATATGCTGAAAAAAGGAATCCTCTTTGATTGGAAGGCTAATTTGAAGTGTCAATTATTCTTATGCAAATGAGGGTACAGTTTCTCACATCTGAAATGGGTTTTTGGGGGGCACAGATGGGTGTGCCTTTGCGCGCGTGTGCCTGTACAAATCCAAAACATACAGCAACCCCCCCACCTCCCACCCCAGCCCTATACCTCTTAGGGAAGAAAGCTGACATACAAAGACAGCCGGCATAATGGGACGAGTATATTTGCATGCACATTGTCCATGCCGAACGGCAAACAGATCATAAATTGAGAACACAATGCCAAAATAGTTACAAAGGCGTAGAAGTGCAAGTCAGCGCCCAAAATAGTTGACAATACAGCAGCATGGTTCCATGTTGTAATGTAAATAATGAAATGATGTTGGGTAAACAGGCACACAACAAGAGCTTGGATGTATCACGGGAAAGTATTGTGAGCAAACAAAACAATTTGCTAAAGCTTTTGTCAGTGAAACGCTTTCCAGCAGGATCCTTTTTTTTTATATAGCTACTGCCAAGGCAGAGGTGCAAGCAAGAAATATAATCCCAGAGACAGGGGTACAAGGAGATCCTGTTTAAAGAAAAAAGGAGTGAGAATCGGGGAGAAATTTAGAGCGACAGAGTGTGCCTAAAAGCATATGTTCATGTCTAAGTACAGTGTGAATGAGTGCACGCTCCTCTTTATGGTAATTAAAGCTCCAGACTCAAACCTGAATCTGGATGAGAGATTAAGCCCGACAAAAGAGAGACAAAGTGCCGGTGAAAAAGAGGGAAAGGGAAAAAAGAAGCAGTCAGACATACAGACAGACAGACAGAGGACTCTACATATAGAGTCTGTTGTCTGACCCTCTCAGCTGATGTGGTTGTTCAAGTAAAAAAAAAAAAAGCCTTTTCAGGCCCAAAACAGGATCAAACAACCTGCTGTGGAGTCTGGTTACACCATAACAATGGCTTACATTCACTCTCAGCCTCAGCACACAAGCTTCTCCCTCAAAGGGTGGAGAGGGAGAGAGGAGTAAGTCTGGTTTTGGAGGGTGGATGCGTACGGATGTGGAGGGGAGTGTAGCGATATCTTAGACGATAATGGTGTTGAACAGATTAGATAGTATCACCGTACCATGTTTGTTTTCAGCTGTCAGCTTCTGGAGCTCTACTGAGATCCATGGCCAACGCCGCTGGCACTCTCAATCTAAAGGAAACTTTAAGATATGGCCGCAGAAAGCGGAGCACTTTGATGGATAGCAGTCAAACACCCTTGATAAGGACAGCAGGGAGAGAGAGACTAGGACAAGTCATTGTCTATTAAGTGAAATGCAGAATCCGACAGAAAACTTGCTGCTGTCAGGATCAGTGATTGTTCAATTGAGATATTACACTTCCATTTTTTCCTCCGGTAACACCAATATTCATACTTAGACTTATGTACTCCTTGATTTTGATACTGCTGTAGTAAACAAATAAAACAGTATTGGTGGGAAAACTGTATCGGTGACTTCTACTACCTTTTACTCAGATTACACTCTCTGACATACTCATCAGATACAGTTTGTCTATAATAAGCCAGGACTTTGTCGGTTGTAGTAATAATAATAACCACAGATACACTGCTTTAAAGTTACTAGTTAACAGAGTAAATTCTTAAACTGACGCACATTGCTATCTGTGTGCCTACAACATCTGTGCCTGCGCTGATTGTCAACGTATATTTTAGTATTTTAAATGCGTGTGTTGACTTCTATGTAGTCATTTGCTGTCATGTTTGTGAGAGAATTTGTCATATTCATTGTTCATAACACATAGACCACAAATCACTAAGTATCATATGTTACAGCAGCAGCTAGAGAGGGGGCGCTGTGCTTCTTTTTTAGGCTTTATATCGTCTTGATAGCTTCCTGGCAGTTTTACGTCATTTACAGCTCAAAAAAGTTCCAACCAGTCCCAGGCTTGAGTCTCTAAAACCACATCAGAACTCTGGAACTCTGCATTCCAGGATCCTTCTCCACTGTTGCCATGCATCAAAGTTGTATTTCTCAATAAGATTTGATGACCAAACATGAAATATGACCATATAGTGCGGATCTGTACTTGCGTTCGAGTTACCTCAGAAGTCAGATGTCGGAGCTGAAAATGACGTCACACCCTAATTCCTAGCGTTTCAGTTACAATGTTGGAGAAAAGCAAAATCAGAGGCCTGAACTAACATGGCTACACCTGCAAAAGTTATTTTAGCGCTTGCCTTATATTCGGACAAGGCCATAGCTAAAATAACTTTCAAAGATGTAGCCATCTTGTTTCCGACTTGGTAACTGAAACGCTGGGAACTCGGGTGTGACTTCTGACTTCCAAGTAACTCGAACGCAGCATTCGACTGTTTAGTAAATGTTACAATTGGTACGCCCTCATGAGGAGGTTCCCCAGCTGATGATGTCACAAGTGAGTAAATCACGTGTTGCTCTCGCCCAATTCTCATGTGACTTTTTGAACAACCTGTGCAGAGCAGCCTGTAGTCTTTCACAACTTGAAACCTTGCACACGTTCAGTTTCAGCGTCCCAATTTAAACTCAGTATGTATTTGCAAAAAAAGCATAAAACCATTTCTCTTAAATAGCTGTCAATTTTGTTATTGAAGAAAGTTGCAAAAGTTTTGACGGGCTGTTATATTCCCTTGGATTAATTGATTTTTCTGAATCTAAATTTCCGTTCAGTTTACTTGGAAATAAGTTGCAGAAATATTTTTATTCCACACATTGAGTTTACTGGAAATAGTTTATTTTTGGGAGCTTGTCAGGACTGTTACAGGACTTCCCTCTTGGCATGGATACTGCTTGAACTGGATACAGTAAATTAAGGAGTATCAGCGGTCAGTGGGGATGTGGATACTTGTTTTGTCTGACTTTTGGCACTGAGCACTTGATGAACTTTTGATGGACTGGTCACTTTTTCACGCTCTCTTCATCGGCTCAGGATTTTAAACTCAGACATACTGTAGGATCCCTGAAGATGTCCGATAGCCGGCAACAACGGCCAACCCTTTTAAGCTTCTCTGTCCACAGCAGACAATCTGATTAATCGCAGACCCAGAATAGACAGCTACTATCTGCTAACCTCCTGTTTTTCAAGCATTGAAAAGCAGCCTGGGCAATTTGTATTTGTTTTGCATTGGTTCAGTAGTTCTAGCAAAATTAGTATGCAGTCAGGGATGGGAGAGCTTGTCAAGATCAGGGGGGGAAATCTCTCCCCACCCACTGCGTGGATCTACATTCATGAACAAGGTTGACAAGAAAGCTGACTAGTGTAAAGACAAGAGGCAAATAAAATGGTGGGGAACAGCATGAATATTCTTTTTCATATGAGTGCACCTTCAGACAGGCTCTTTTCTCTATCTATCTGTCTGTCTTGCATGTCTGCTCATCTGTCAAGACACTCAGTCTGTCTTTTTCTTCCTCACACCCTCCAGCCCCTCGTCTCTTTTCTGAAACCATGTGTCATACGCGTCAAAATGCTAAGGCCAGTCCTTTTTGAGGGTGTTCTGCTGGACCATAGAGCGAATAAACATCCATGTCAGGAGAAAGCAATCTGGGGCCCTTCTCTCGCTGAGCCCAAGCTCTCCTGGGAAACACACAGCTCATACAATGGATAGAGAAGGCCTTTTGTTGAGTCTCTGGGAGCTGCGGGGCTAGCTCTGGATCAAACAGGGGGTGTGTGTACATTTCTGAATTTTGCGCACGCACACACACTCACATACGCGAGCAAACCGCGCTGACACGCGAGAGCGAACACACACACACCTTCGCCCACACACACAGAGAATCGCAGACTTTCCTCGTCTTCGTAAACTCAGTGTGACTAAGTAAACTTCTTCACCCTTTTGCAGTAGTTACTGAGGGCAGGAGGATGAATTTGAAATAGCCAGCAGGAGAAGAGAGGGAGACAAAGAGGAGAATGGTGACGTAAATCAGTGTTGGACTGATTTAAACTGGTTTAGTGTCAGTCTAAAGGGGGCTTTCTGTTGTACTATACACAAATCACAGTTCAAAGCCCGGGGCTGGGATCCCTCGTGGGTCTAAGGCAGGGGAATCCTGCAAGGAAGTATCTTTTGCCTGTGGGTGTAGCCTGTGTGTGGCACTTTTTGTCTAATTATAGAGGTATAGGATATTTCCAATTATGTGATTTAGTAGCAACATACTGGGGAGGGACTGTACAAAAGAGTTAAATTCTCGTAAGATGTTTTGCTTTAAAAATATTTAAATACTGTGAAGAAATGTGGAGACAAACAATACCATGCTAAAGGTTTACTCCCTCTTCCCAGAATGCATTTTAATACATTTTATTCAAGCCACTGCCTTGCTCCTGGCAGTCTGCCCCTCGTTCAGTATCTATGGGAATTCTCCTCACCGAAATGAACTCGCACTGTCTGACCCTATTCATCCCCTGGACTGCACTTTCTCTGGGACTCCCCCTTTTCCAGTCCTGCTTTCCCACAGACCCCTCTCTCTCACACACTCTCTCTCTTTCTCTCTTTGCATCCTCCTTCTTTCTCCCTACCTTCCCACTGCCCCCCCTCCTCCTCTTTCCAAGTCTCTGCCTTGCTTTCAACTCCAATTTTGGGCACAATGAAGTTGTTCTGGCTGACAGTTTGGCCAGTAGAATAAGTGTTGTTTGAGCCCGCTGTGTGGCCCTGTAGTGGGCCCATTCTCCCCCTCGCCGGCTCAGTTACCAAGAGGCTTGCTGGTGGGACACGGAAGCCAACTGTCCCCACGCTCCAACCCTGACCGAAACAAGTAGCCCTAAAAGCTCACCTGCACATCCTATACCCGTATTAACATGAGATTAAAAGTGTTACTAGTCTTGTCCTTGTGTTTTCCAGTTACCTCCATATTGCCTCAGTTACAGCCAGGTTGGCCTGATTTACTCAGTTACTCTATGTCTTGTAGGACGTGTCAGAAAGGATTCTGTATTGGGGTCAGCTGGAAAGACAAAGCCTGCAGCCCTCTCTCCTCTGTCGCTTTCAGTAAGCATCAACCAGCTTCTCTTTCTCTCTCCCCCTCATGACTCCCCATCCTTCTTTCTCCTCGAATTTCTTTCCCACTTCCCTGTTTCCATATCCCAATCAAGCAAAAAGAAAAAGAAAATAATCGTACTATAAATATTCCTCCTGTGTGTGTGACTCGGACACATACAGACAAAAGCGCACACTCACACACACAGACACAGAAGCCAGGACATGAGAAAGTGGCTGGGAGAGGCCCTGATGGGGGGGACCATATGTCCAGGCGTTGTATATCAGTGGGCTCGCCCTCAGCGCTCTGCCGGACCACCATAACTTAGTTTGTCTTCAGCACAAAGTTTGGTCCAAGCTTGGCTGGGTTCATTAGGAAGCTATTCTCTGCAGCCAATGAAGCTCAACAGACCTCCAACAAAGGAGCTAATCACACCCACCACTGCTCTCTCTCCCCCTCATCTTAGCTTTGTCTGAAAAAAAAAGGAAAAAAAAAGAGTTCTCTATTTCTCGCACCTTTCTGAATAGACACAGATATAAGAAATCAGTCCGTGCCAAACAGCTGTTAACCAGAAATTTGACAAATATGAACCATCTGCAGACTGTGTAGTGTGAAGTAAAAACAAAACAACTGCAGAAAACAGTGATTTCTCCACCAGTTATACCTTCTATTCTTCTGTTTCTGGACAATCCACGCTACAGAAACAAAAACAGATAATTGTGTCTCCATAGACGATTCACACCTTCACCTCTATGTGTATGTGATTCAACCCTAACCCTCAGAGTGTCATGTTCTCACCTGACAAACACTTACCTGTCTAGGATGTGTTAGTGAGATGCTGTGCGGAGAATCTATGGCTACCAACAATGTGTTTGTGTGTGCAATCTGAGTGCATGTGTGAGCAAAAAAAAAAAAAAAAGATGCAGTGCACTGACAATGGAGAGCCCCAGGCTGCCGAATACTTGAAATGACCTTGAACCTCAGCATTCTCCATTCCCATGGCTGCAGGGACGGTGAGCACGTCTGTACGTTTGTGCGTGTGTGTTTTGAGGAGAAGAACAATGAGGCTTGCACTTTTGTCTGCGCACATAATAGCCTTTCCAAAAATTCGCAGCACAGACAGACCGAGTCAAAAAATTCCAAATAATCTCAATCACTTCAGAGATTTATTTCTGTTCTGATTTATTTAAGAAAATTGTGATTTCCACTTTCACATGTGCCCCCCAATTCCTTCCAGCCCTCTGTAACTGTATTTGCTCACCCTGCATCCAGCAGAGAAAGAGGTTTGCTCCATACCATGTCCCCTACTGCGCTCACAGGCTACAGGCAAGCACAAACGTGGCTGTTCTTGACATGGCTTAAACACACACACACTGTACACAAAGGGTGGTCTCAAACCACACTAATACACACACAAATAGACACATGTTGAGCGCGCACTGATGAAGAGGACTTGGTAGGGTTAAAAACGGTGGTAGGGGTTGGGGACGGCGAAGGGGGGGCACCCAGCGAGGGGTGGTAAAGGCCATGTCACCGGGCCCTGCTCGGACACAAATGTCAGCAGCATGACTACCTGGACATGGAGACCCAGCAGAGAGGGTACAGGAGAAGATCAAGAAGAAACAGATGAAAAGAAAAAGACATTGAAGCTGATAACAAATGGAGGCACATAAACTGGAGGGAAAGCGAGGTAGCAGTGCAGGTTTGTTTTTTTGTAACATCAACCAAAAAAACGTTCAGGATTCAAGAACACAAACTCTGCTTTAATCTTTCTTGTTTTTGGTAGGTTATAAAGAAATTCAGAGAAGGACAAAATATAGTTTGGGAAACATCTTTCGATGAAACAGCTGCGACAGCTACAGTTACTTTATTCAGACACTATTGGAATAGAAATAGATCTGACTTTACTTATTGAACTGAAGCTCTTTGCAACAGAAACATAGAAGCTATATTTCCAAAAAGCTCAGTCAGATACACTTCTCCAAAAGATGCATTCCTACATGCACCCCTCCTTCTCATGCCCTGTGTTACCATCCCTGCTCCCCATCCATTAGATGTTGCACATTTCAACTTTCAAAGTGGAGAGAGAACACTATGCCCTCTGCAGCCTAAAAAACACTGAATTCATTATAGCATTTTGCACTCGCACTTTAATATTCCAGTGGATACAAACAAACAAGCATGCATACAATATACACTGAGATTCTGAGGAAAATACTATGTTTTTTTCCCCTCTCTCGTTTAAAGGTCAAAACTCAACCGAGCACCATTGTGAAGCACCTTGAACGCCAACAAAACACTTCAGCACACGCACTCAGTGTTAAAAGATATAAAATTGACTTTACAGCTCCTGAAGTAACAAGAGAATGTATGTACATTGTGATGCATTTTCCATTCACCCGTTGGACATTAGTGGAGAAGCTGTCATAGACAGAGCAGACTGTAAGCAGAGACCTTGTATTTTATGTTGGCTCTAATCAATGTGTGCTTTTATTTATGGGTGACAAACGCAGGGTGATTTAACTTGGAAATTGGAAATTCTAACATTCATGCATTAATACAAAGACACATATACGCACCAGTTCAGAGTCACAAGGTTACAGGTTTCGGCAACATGGTATTTATTTGAGTTTAGATACAGAGAATAGGGGGGCAAAGTCAGACATCGCAAAACGTGAATTATCTATTTCAATTCTGTAGACATGGGGTCATTAAATAATTAGGATGTTGCACACATCCTACACAAAGCTTTATCTTAGTGTCGTTATGATTCGGGGAAATATAAAGACAAATTAGAGACAAACTGTTCTTATTAGATTTTGATTTTCCTTCACTGACTGAAAATATCACTGTTGGTTCCCATGCCCACAAGATTCACATTTCATATACTCTTGTGTTAGAATACAGACTGGTGTCCAAAGCACTTTCTTTGCTTTCCAGGTTATCACAACCTTGATCATATAAATGATGGAGTCAGTCCTATGATGTTAACAACTGAAAGAGAAGTTCCTCATGGACAATATAGAGCAGTGAGCAGTGTTTCATGTGAGGGTTACACAAGTTATGGTCAGGATTTATCGTAGCTGCACAAGAAACAGCAAATCTGCATTTATTCTCTTCAGCGAGTCAATTCATTATCAGTTCAAAGACGAGCTATGCCACCTCATGCTTTACATGCGGTATGTCATCTGCTTAGCAAGTAGACGATTTGAATAGTCATGACTCAGGCTGCTCTGATGCAGCAAATTTTGAATTAGTTCAAACAAAAAAGTTGGGTCCCAGCTAATAGACAATAAAAACACTTTAAGCTTTATGGCTCATGAAATCACAGAACCTGCTGGAGAGCAAAGTCATATTGCTTTGCCAAGTGTGGCATACGTTAAATATGTTAGGAGCGTTAGCCTTCACTCCTCCTCCTCGCAGGTTAGTCCTTTGCTGGTTATGAATTGCTCTGCTTAAATTATTAAATGCCAAATTAACCTGGCATAGACTACATACAACTTAATTCCATTTTTTAGATTACACCATGCTGCAGTATAAGATGCCATCAGTCTTTGTGTGCTGGTTGACATCTGATAAGTAGAATATTATAGCACTACAGCTGTAGCCATTAGAGATGCACTGATCCATTTTTTTTCCCGATCTAATCCGATACCGATACTTTGGCTGAGCATATCGATTGATATCCGATACTGATCCAATACTACTGTTGAATGAATGAACTGTATACCTTGCCCTGTGAGTAAAGGCATCAGGCTTGACATTAGCCTTGTTAAAAAAAGGTAACAAATAAACGCAGATATGAATTTACTTAATATTATTTATTAACAAATAACAGATTGCATATTAGCACACAGCAAAAAGAAGTAAGACTTCCATGTAAACATTTAGTGCAAAAGGATAGACAAACATAGAATATAGAGCGAACAGAATCGCTGTTTTGCTGTGTATGATATTAATTAAAAGAAGAATAAGACTGGATCAGAATGCTGGATCAGCGTCAATATCGGAGCCGTTATCCGATCCAAATATGGGATCGGTGCGTCCCTAGTTGCCATCACCCCAAGCTACAACTCTGACTGGTGGCGGTTGCTCCTCCACAGAATATGACCAGTTGGACCTACACTGATAAAAATATGAATAACTAATTTAAATAATGAGTAATCACGCTTCTGACCATAATGAGGGTCGATTGCGCTTCGTTTCATTGCATAATGTGACTTAAAAACGAATAAACAGAGACACACAACCATATTAATTTCTATTTGTCGATTGTTCAGCTACCCTTTCTTGAACTGAAACTGTGACCACCCACTTGTCAGAACAGTCTTCACAGAAAACAAATCCTGCATCCCTTCTCTTTAATACAATTTTCCTTCATTTCCCTTTGTTTCTCCTATCTCTATACCCCCGGACCACGAATCACAGCGGAGTTCCTCATTGAAAGCACTGTGTTCTTCTACTCATCGCCTACACTTTTATAGAATCCTCAGCCAGACAGTGGTGATTTGTGCCTGTGTTAAAGCAGAACTACTCCTTGCCTCTTTCACAATATAGATTGCTGCCATTATCTAGAGCCATTCCTCTATCTGACACCGAAAAAAAAAAAAAAAAAAAGGAGGAGAAAACATGGAGGGGAAAGGATGAAGGAATTTTAGCCAACTGCTGTATGAATTGCTGATGGGACCTGAGTGACAATTTGGTAGGCAATTGTCAGTGTCAGTCAGGGAGACGTCGTCATGTCTGAGTCTCATTGTGGAGAACCGAGCTTTAGGTGGCAGGAGGACAGTTTCACATTGTGCGTCCAATCAGCGTCAAGGCTTTATTGATATAACTAATCGAGAATAAATAGGGCTACGCACACACTCTTGCACTGAGCTGGGATCTTTGATTGTGGTGGGACCCTTCTAATATTTCAGCTAATGTGGACTGAATGTGCCGGAAATGCAAATTCAACGCTGTCCTCCTTTCACATTCAAAGCTTTTGTGGCCGCCGGGTATTGAGGGTGGGAAAAACCTCGAGGCGAGGGGTTTCCACGGGCCGCTCGTTTGGGCTGTGAATGAGCCGGTGCCCAAGCGGGGAAAGATGGTGTGCCAGTGGTGCTCTCCTTGCTAATTGATTGCCTCTACTAACAAGAGCATAATGTATTCTATTGTGATCATCCTTTGCCCACGTTCATTAAGCCAGGAAGCAGCGTGATCTTTTTCCTTTTTGTCTTGCTTCTGCCCCTTTCCCTCTTGCCCCCCCTTCCTTCCTGCAAATACTCTTTTTCTTCCTCACTCCTCTTCTCCCCCCTCCACCCCCTACTCTTCTTCCTTTTTCTCTCCCTGGTACTGGATGGGAAAGGTGATGCAAAGGTGGTATGACAGCCAAAGCATCCCTCACCATCCTGAATGCAGAAGGGGAACAAAGGACAGATGGAAGGAATTGAGTAGGTGGCTGGTAGGATGCTGCAGGAAGGAAGGAAGGAAGGATGGGAGGAAAAGACAAGGACTAAAAGGTAGAAGAGAGGAACATGGAGACAAAAGGAGGAAAGTTTGAAAAGATGCCAAAATGCAACTGTGGAAAAAAAGATAAAGTTCAGTGGATCCCCCATCTCCCTCCATCTCTTGTCTTCCCCAAACCCCCTCCTACTCCATCCTCTGTTCCTGTCAGGTTCCCATTCGCTCCTACTCTCTCCTTTTTTTGCCCCCCTTCGCTTCCTCTCTTTGCCCCCTTATCACCCACCTCCTTTTTCCTCGCTTCTGCTCCTCACCCCATCTCTGGATCGCCTCTTAATAAGAGCTGGCGGGACAATAGTACCATTGTTGGCCATGTTTGGGAACCCTGGACTGAAACAATCGCTGTTTACCCAAGCAGTGGCACAGCCCGGACCTCTCCTTCATTACAGCTGGGCCAAGTCTGATTAAGTCTGTTTCGCAAGTGCGACAATGAGCCTCTGAGCCAGCCACGAACACCCATCCTCTCTCCTCTGTCGTTCTGCTCTCCCTCCATCTTCTTCAACACTTCCGTCTTTCTACTTCTCACGGTCACAACTTTATTGAGATATTTTCACTCTTTCTCTGCCTGTGCCACCTTCTACTGCTACACCGTCGCCCTCTGATCTAGAATTGATTCCAAATCAGCAACCAATAGGATAACATTTACTGTTTGGAAAGTAAGCAGAAACGACGTGCAAGTGACAAAGTATTCCAAAAAGCCTTTTGTTGAATCTAATCTAATTCCAAAATGACCTTCATAATCTGGGACAAGGCTTATTTCTTTATTAAAAAATTCCCAATAGGTTTGAACGTGCTGCAGGCGGTGCAAATTTGACTGACTGTAAGAAATAAGAGAAAACTCCCCCTCTGTAATGGTTTGAGATCATAAAAAAATCAGCATGGGGGTAGCATTATGAAGCTGGCGCTTGTGGCAGAGACTCACTGAATCAGTGGATTGAAAGCCTTTTCACTCAACCACATCCCTCAGCTCTGCGGCTTGTAACAGAAGCATGCTAACAGCACTATGCAAAGCAGCATCATGAATATGCGTAATTAGGTGGGACTGGAGTAATTTTTCTGGGTTATGGGATGTGACATTTGTGGAGCGGGAACATACATCAGTGTAAGCACGACTGACAAATGTGTAATCCCTTTCTCTGCAATAAGGCATTTCACACTCCGTAATACAAAATATAGTTTAGCTTCATACGCTTAACAGCTGCATGCAAAAGCGCAGAAAATCACCCAGATAATCATACACACACAGTCATGCATGCAGGAACATGCTCAGTTGGATACATAAAGACAGTAGAGAAAGCAGAGTAAAAATATGTGTTTTCATACACAAATATAAAGCCAAGATCATGCTCTGGCTTTTTAAAAGCTGTGTACAAGTTGCACAGCAACACAGAAACAGATTTGTAACTGAAGGGGAATGAGGGATAAAAGTAAGGTATTGTCTAAAAAAGGATATCAGAGGCATATAATCACACAATGAAACAAGAGTGGATAAATAGATTTTTCAAAAATGGCCACCCTTAGGAGACAGAAGGACACAGAGACTGCTATTGCCAAGCAACAAGGTTAAAAAGGACTGATATGCATGGATGTTTAACATAATATGCTCTTAGTTAGTGGTTGGTATGGAGCTTTCAGTATTGTCGCAAACTTATCCAAAGCTTCGAATTGCACAGCTAATGAAAGCCGCAGCAAATTTCTTTCTCCATTCATATCCTTGTGTTTAGAAGCATCAAGAAACATAGGCATCCTTTGTCATAACAAAAACCTCTGCTTTTTTTTGTTTTCAGTTCAGGTGAACCTTCAAAAGAACTGAACATATGAATGCACAAATAGGTACAGGGACATGGGCATAGGTACACTGACAAAAGCATCCATTAATAATTGGATCATATTCTTACACAACCGCACACACACTCACATACATATGCGTGCACACTTTCAACACACCTCTCTCGCTCACTTCAGAGAGAGCCAATTTATAGATACTGTACTGAACCCCCCTGCACCACCTCTCGCCTCTCCCTTTGCCTTGCCATGCCCCTTTCCTTTTCCCCCCCATTCACCCATACAGAGATACACACACTCACAGAAAAAACACACCGGCACACACACACCACCCTGCCACAATCCACCGCCCTGCCACACATACGGAAGGGGAGGACACATCCCTCATAGCACCCAGGAAATTAACTTGACATTTGATGCAGACAGAAAAATATATTTCGGTGGGGGGAGGGTAAAAAAAAACAAAGTGTACTAAAGCAGAGATAGCATAAACCCATCCCTTGTTCACCCTTCCCCACCCCATCCCCCTTAAGCCCAGGGACGCATTCGAGGGGGATTTCAGCGATCTGCAATGCAGACGCCACTGGGTGCCCACGGAAAAATGAGCTTCATCTTTTGCCTGTCCTTTTCAGTGTATGCTGTCTGTCCCTCTTTGTTTCCATCTTTTATGATGCCGGCGCTCCATTTTCATATCCACTTCCCCTCCCCTTCCAGTTTTGTGTGTCTCTATTTTTGAGGAAGTTGAAAAAAAATGTAAAAAAGCATTGGAGGATCACTTGATGGTGCGTGCGTTTGAAATTAAGGCACAGGCTTCTAGCTGCTTCTTGTGAATACAAAAATAATGAAAAGGATGTTTTGAATCGTTGTTGCCATGGCGTTTTTCCATTTTTGCATCTATATTCAAAAATCCTGACCACTGATACACACTTATATCCCTCTGCTGAAATGTCTTATTTCAGCTGCTTTGTAAATCTAGGTTAATCACTCCAAACTAAACAATAAACACGTCCATTGGTCGCAATTTAGCACAAAGCAAAAAATAACCGTCTTTTCATTTACTCAGATAACCGTGTGCCTCCAATTTCATGCAAGCGGTGTAGAAAATAACGTGCGGCGTGATCTTGCATATGCTTGATAAGATTAACGACGGCATCAAAGGCCCACGGTAACCTCGGCATGGAGCCCAAACACCACGAGCAAGAGCAGGCCACAATTAATACATCATTATGCGCTGCTACAGTTTATACCCGGGAACACACAACACACAGCAAGACCGCCGACCAGCTAGTGTCTGTCTCAATATCCCCGGCATTAGACATGCAGGAATGTTAACATCATTATGCACAATTGTGAATGTCTGTCTGTGCCCTCCCCCTTTTCTTCCCCTGCCATATTGTGTCTGCGGGTTGGTCGCACTGTGTGTGTGTGTGTGAGTGTGAGTGTGTGTGTGTGTTGTCTGTTCGAGGGGGGCATTATTTGAATATGATTATTCGTATGCAAGTTGAAACAAATTGCTTATTATATAAAAGGCTCTCAGAAGCTTTGGATGTGGTGTCGTTCGAATACCTCTATTCTAGTATCGACATTATTTATAGGGAGTGATTCTGCACGTACTCATTTCATTTAAAATAACTCATGAGGATTTAACATAACCTTTTGGTTAATTTACAAATTGACGTTGAATAGAATAAGTGTGTGACTATACCTGTGATTAAACACACACTTGGATATTTTAAAGCTCACATTTCTAAACTCTTTGGAAAGCTGTGATTTGTTTTGAGTGAAAGGAATTGATAAGTAATTTAGGATGAAGTACACTAACTTATTTTTGTGTTTTTGCACTTTACACTGTTAGTATAACCCTGATGCTGCAATTAGGTGTCAGTCTTTGAAATGTTATTGGATAAAATCAAATTCAATTTCGAGCAAAATAAGAAAAATAGTGCTGTGTTTCTTTTTCTCCCAGACTGATCTGGCTCGTCATTACCTAATGTGAACACTCACCGAACGCGCTCATGAAAATGTCACATATTTGATGAAGTTGAATTCTGAACTGGGAGGGCGAGAAGGTGAGGAAGAGAGGCGACGTTCATTAGCGTTGGTGTTAGTAATATCTGCTCTGCATTTCTCTGAGGCGGCGCGGTCAAAATATTGCATCATCCCAACACCAACACCCACTGCAACGCTGCAGCCAATGAATCACATTTGCATGTACTGTGCTTTCTAACAGCCTTTTAAATAATGCCGCTTTTCGTGAGGAATAAAGCCCCGGCAAAAAGAAAAAAAAAAAAAGGAGCGACAAATCTACATATTGTTGGAAATATGGTTGGTGAACAGGATCCAGGATGTATCAGAGCTGTAAACTCTAAACACACTTTACTTTAAGGCCAAACACTGTGGAAAAGAGATTTAGAATCTGTTTCAAAACCAATGTATTTTTTAGTTGTCTGCCTCAACTAAAAGGAAGATTGTCCAGCAAGTGTTGTATACAAAGTCCTTGGCATCCCTCTGCTTATACAAACAGCCCTCCTGCCACCTCGCTGTTCCTTGCTGCCAGCGATTTGCATTCATTTGCATGATTTTTACGATGTGCATATCCTTTGTTCTGACTGTATGATGATGCAGAAGAAACCCTCCCTATGCAGCGCTATTACACAGCCCGCTAAAAGCTACTTGGATATTACATTTTAAAAAACCTGCACTTTTTTTATATTCAGTATAATTATAAAGTGATAAGACGAGACTTTGACAAACACCAGACTGATGCTGTGGCACGTGGATGATAATGTAATACATCAGGACGAGTGGTGAAAAGACGAATATGTAGCAGATTTGTGGAATTTTTGAGCAACCATGGAAAGGACATATTGTGCTATCGCTAAGAGGCATGAGCATCTGCAATATATAGCAGGAGGGAGGATGTCATCCAAGCATGAAATATGGAATTACTTGACAAATAGGAAAAAGGAGAATTATAGATGGAAACTAAATCATTGTAAAAGAAACAAGACCCTCACATATGTTCCTGTATTTTCATCAATAATGTGTTTTTCCCTCTCCTAGTTGCCTTCATGGTGTAGGATATTTTGTGATCATAAAGAGCTAAACCTTTACATTAGCTTTACCCTCTCTGCTTTGCAAAATTATCTAATTTGATGTTTCTGAATGAACCCCAACGCAAAGCCTTCTTGTATGTCGGCATCTTTTGTTCTCTGTTGTTGTTTCATCTGTGCAGACAAGCATCGTACACACACACACACCACTGACACTTGAGCAGTCCTTAATCATGCAGGCTCATGCAGACGACTTCATTAATCGCTGTGGGCTAGCACGGATGCTACAGAAGCCGGCCTACAACACTAGAGGGTTTATACTCGCGTTATTATACACATTATAAATATTCACTCCCGCCAGCGCCCTAATAGTGAGCAGCTGTACTCCAAATATGCAAGCCTGATAGATTATGATGAGTACAGCATAGGAAATGAAGCAGTGCAAACTAAAGGAGCTATACTGCATGGGAAAAATGCTGTATTTTACAGAGGTGTGAGGGGTATTTAACAAATGCTAATAAGGCAAAAATTCAGAGTTTTTGAAATAATAATGATTTAGAAATTTTACATTTTTGAAAAGAGAGAATTTAGGGAGGCAGAGGTGACATTACCTGATGTTGTCAAATTATGTCTGTAAAGATGAAAAGCTATCCTGTTCTCCTATCTTAACTTCAAAAAATGTGACTCTGACATATTCCTCACACAGGCAATGACTGGTGGAGCTTTAGATGTAACTTTAAAAAAAAAGAGAGGAAAAAAAAAAGGCTTTACCTTTCGAACTAAATAATGCAAAGTCACATATAGGGGTGTCATGACCCCAGTGCACTATAAGGGCTGGGCTTTTAGCAGAGGGAGTGAGGTCTGTTTGAGATGAAAGTTCAGTACATGTAGAAAAAAGCTCTCAAAGACTCCTCACAGATCTGGTATTTTTCTGTATCTTGTTAGAGTTCCCAGTGAAATTGAGATTTCTTTTTAATACAAAAGTTTGCTCTTTATTACCTTTCACCGGAGTAGACGGCATTTAAACCTCTGCAACCCCCACATCTTTCTCTCTAACAAATGGTTGGCTTCATTTTAACCCTTGAATTTCTGTGGCTTGGTTAAAGGAGTGATCCTGACAACTCTAAAAATAATGCAAAGTTGAGTTTTTTTTCCAGTAATAATACATTTACAGACATAATACAAAAGTTCAAGTGGCAGGATGTTCCATTTGTAACAGCGCTATGGTGGCAAAAGTTTTAACTATATACACAAAAAGGTAATTTGTGGGAATGTTAAGCAGACTTTCCTATAAGACACCGTCTCTATGGTATAGCCGAGATTGAAACAGAGTTGAACACTGATTTTCTCCACCCGTGATTCACCCTGGCCTTCTAATTGGCCTTTCTGAGAAGTACACCACATGTGAGAGTATTGGGAGTAATTACGATGGGTAACACCACCTCACATTGAGGCCCATGGGCGCTGACATACCACCTCTTCTCTTCAGCCACTTATTTTTTCTGTCTTAGCATGTCTATGAAATAAACTTTTGACTTGAATCCTACTTAACTCAGATCATGAAAAAATCACTCAGATATTTCCATTTTTATTGTTCCTTTGGACCAAAAGTGTCCATAAAGGGCCAAATTATGACATACTAAGAGAGCTACTGTATATATTCTACTAGGGGTGGGAGAAAAAATTAATACAGCATACAGTATTGCAATATTTTGTCTGGTGATATATCGTATTGTCTCATTTACCAAGTATCGATTTTTCAGATTAATTGCTGAAGTCAAATCTATGATAATGGAAAAATAAAATCAACTGTTTGTCCAGTGAGGTTGGCAGAGGGGACATCATAGAGCAGGAGAAAGTTGGTGCAACATATATAAGGTTTGCAGAATGTGCTACATGAAAATAAAATACAGTGTAAATAACACCAACATAAAGAAAAGACAAAGGCTAAATTAGCTTAACTGTTGTAAAAATTGTATGAATCGCAATGTATTGTACATTTTGCAATATTCACTGTATTGCAAGATGTTAAAAATCACAATAATATCGTATCATGGCCCAAGTATTACGATAATATCGTATCGTGACCCAAGTATCGTGATAACATCGTATCGTGGCCCAAGTATCGTGATAATATCGTATCGTGGCCCAAGTATCGTGATAATATCGTATCGTGGCCCAAGTATCGTGATAATATCGTATTGTGGCCTAAGTATTGTGATAATATCATATCGAGGCCCAAGTATCGTGATAATATTGTATCGTGGTCCAAGTATCATGAAATTATTGTATCGTGATAATATCGTATCGTGGCTCAAGTATCGTGATAATATCACATTGTGGGGCTACTAGTGATTCCCACCCCTATATTCTATCGAGCATGATAGAGATAGATGTCCATTATTTCAGCCAGTTGTTTACAGTTTGGCACCTAATATTCCAAATCTTTACAACACTTCAGGTCTTTAGTTGTCTTCATAGGAAAATTGGGGTCAAAGTTGAACTACAGAAAGCACAGATCATGATCAGTTGCTGCAGCCAGCTGATAACATGAATATTTTCCTTGCTGCGAGAACAAGCGCAGCTCATTAAAATGTTTGTCCATCTTCAATAACATCAAATGTCACATCTAATAATGGCTGAAGGTCTAATTGATAGAGCAAGATGTTCTGCACGCATCGCAAACAATGTAAGGGCTGAGGCCAATTAGGATTGCTGTGTGGGTTACAATGGCTAGTGCAGAATTTTCAAAATCACTTCCTTGTTGTAGCTACTGTAGTTTTTGTGTGTTTTGTGTTGTTGTGATGCTGAACAGTAACCTCTGTTTCCCCTGTGTTTCTTGTCTTTGGTATGGACCACAGGGCAAAAAGATGGGTCATGGGATTTGATATTGCCCACGATCACATCGCCTGAGCTGCCTTCAAACCACTGTTATTCTGTTTACTGTGTCCTCTGGACCACTACTAACATCTATGCCTTTATCCAACGCACACACTGGCTAACTTTGCTGCAGGCAAACAGACACACATGGACACGGACTCACACATCAGCAGAGACACAGAGGAGGAAAACATTCGGCTAAAACCTCTGCCAACGAAGAAATTTGGCTGGATTTGACCAAACTATGAGTACATTATATTTAACTTATTCCAAAAAATATCCGAAAAATATGTCAAGACAGAAAGTCAGAGCCGAGTGAGTATTATTTAACATACAGAATACAATTTATACACCTTTACCTACTGATATTTCTACAAAAATACTCCAAAAAATCTCACAAAAACTAAATACCTTAACATTTATTTAATGTAGGCTTTTCCCAATACTCACACAGACAAAAATGCATTTCATTTATTAACCAAAGCCTACCTCATGTGGGTCCATATGTGAGCAAAATCCCTGAGATTTCATGTTGACCTCTGCCTTCTGCTGCCTGCAGTTCTGCACAGCTTCCCTCTCCCATCACTGCAGCAAAAAGAGACACAAAGACACACCAAGAGAGTGAATACAGGAGGTAACCTTTACGTGTTGAATCTCTCATATTGAACAAATCACAATTAACATGTTCCCTCTAAAAAAGAAGGAAGGAGAGAAAACACACGCTAAGAGAAGGAAACAGGGGTAGCATTTACAAAAGCCGCGTTTACTGGCAGGGATTCAAATTGGCAATAACTTTGTGCAAATGTCGTCTCAACCTCGACTCTCTGCCACAAATACAGGAGTCAAACTTGGGACCTTTTTGGCACATGAAGGCCTGGTTTACAGATCATTTGAAGGTCATAGGCAATGTGTCGTTTCATCCTTTAAATTTTTTATAAAACACTATTTCCCTCTGTAGTTTTATTGGCATCCAGACACTTAAAGAATTGACAACCTATTTATTTAAATTTTCGTCCAGGTCGTGTGTTTTTCAGGCTAATTTTTGTTCATGCTAATGCTGATTCAGCTGCCACGTCGTTGAACTTGACCACCCCTTGACCTGAGCCCTCCTCTCGCTGGAGTGAAGAGGTCAAAGGTCGAATGTCAAGGCTAAAGGACAAGTCTATTAGAGGTCAGAGGTAACCGTTATAAATTACAGCAGACTATGGTTGGTTTGAGACCAATTTTTCCCCTTGCACAGCGACATGCCGATGAACTCGGATGGATTGTGAAAGAATTTGGATCTCCTTTGTTTTGTTTCTTGTTTATCTTTGTTTCTTATAGCTGTATAGCTCTCGGCCTTTCAAATGTCAAACCTAAACAGATTTTCAAAGTTGTTTCAGTTGCAAAAGTGCACCTTGTGAATTTTAAGGAATTTCTTGACTCTTGTGTGGGATTGCATAGATTGTTTTTAAGTCTTAAGGGTTTAGTTTTATTAGCATGTGAGAAATGGAGGCCTCCTGACTGCCTTAAAAGACAACTTACAATATACAGCTATATAAAGTGCTCACTGTAGTTTCTTTCTTTCCTCCTGTGTTCCCAAGTGATCGTGAGCTTCTTCTGGCATGTCAATATCAAACTGACAGATGCCACATTTTATTAGAGCTCCATGTCAAAGCCTACACCATCTCTCTCTCTCTTTCTCTCTGCCTCACACACACACACACACTAACCACAAACACGCACTGTCAGAAAGCTGCACAGCACGACGTAATAACAGACGACACACAAAATCCTTCTTATTAAGATATTTATTTTTTTATTTCTGTTTTTAATTCACCACAGGAATGTTAAAAAATACATGGAAATCAAAGATCCTGGAAAAAAGGGAGAGAAACTGAACCCTAAAAATCAATGAACACTTAAGGAGTACAAAGGAGGAGTAATAAAAACAATTAGGATATCTTAACACCAGGCATATTCTCTTACTCCCCTGTGTCCTGTTTTACACTCTTCTGAGCGTGTTTCGTGGTTGTGTGGTAAACCAGTGTGTGTATGTGTGTGTGTGTGTGTGTGAACATGTGTGTGATTTTTAGCCCTACGGCAGGTTTTAGGGTAACTATACAGCTCTCCCCCTCCACCCTCAGCCCCGTTCCCTTTGCGGCTTGTGTGGCTTGTCTCATCCCATCTCCCTCCTGCTTCTCTATCTCCCTCCACCCCCCTCTTCCCCGGCTCTACTCTGCTTCCAGCCTGCATGTGTGTGTGTGTGTAGGGAGGGTGGGTGGGGGGTAGGGGTTGGCAACAGCAGTGCCAAGAAACAACCTCTGTGTGTATGCAGGTGATGATAAATTTAATGCGAATTGCATATGTATACGTTTACACACAGGCGTTAGACGAGTGATGGGACAATACCAGGATCGTTTTTAGAGTGAAAAAAAAAAGAAATATAACTCAGTGACTTGCTCAGATTTGAACCACACTGTTAGAATTGGAAAATTGGAAAAACGACATATATCTTTTATTAAAGCAGAGCTGTGTTGTGCGACTCCTCGCCAATTGCACCTGCTTATGTGACAAAAAGAAGAAGTCGTAGAACAAAAGCATTTCCTTCACGAGAGGTGTGTCTACTCTTCACCCCGGTGGCTTCTAGTGTTTCATTATCCAAAGTCGAGGTCTGCTTTGCCACCTAGCTCCCCCATGCTGCCTGTCTCATTTCCTCCCGGTAACAATCCATTAGCCAACACTTGGCTCAAACACGCACACGCTTAATTATTCGCACTTCTTTGGCAGCACGCCGGGGTGTACCACTCATCAGAGGAAACGGGAATGGAGTGAAGGGAAACAGCTGATACTTAACATACATATATGCATGTAACATGCTTACTATAGAAGGACAAACAGCTCACATGGTCGTAAAATCTACTCATAAACAACACACTGCGAGCCGATGATGACACACACACACACACAGCGAGAGACGTATACAGTAGATGTGCAGAACAGCCACCAACTGAACCCCAAACTCTAATTGTAACAATACATATGACGACATATTATATCCCCCAACTGAACCGCAGATATCTGTGTGTGCATGTGTGTGTGTGTCACTGCCCAAAAAAAATGGGGATGATGTGTGTTATAATTCATCTTGAATAATTTCCTGCACATTCTTCTTCATGCTCTGCCTCAGGAGCACTTCAGGATGAAAGGAATGCTAATGCTGTGTCTGTATCTCACTGAACAATGTGTGTTTGTGTGCTGTACTTGTGGGTGTGTGTGTGTACGTGCAAGCGTGTGTGCCAGCTCACTAAGCACATTTATGATAATTAACAGATAGAGGAGGTCAGCTATGGTGTACGTTTGTGTGTGTGTGTGTGTGTTAGTGTGTGTGTGTGTGTGTGTGTGTGTGTGTGTGTGTGTAAGATAGAAAGAGACAGAAAATGAGGGAGAAACTGTATAGCCCTGATTTACATAAATTGGAAACACTGGTGCCGACTTCCTTTTCCTGCTCTGTAGCACTTGTATTGTAGTTTTTCCTGTAAGATTTAAAAAAAGGTATCATCGTATATAAAAGCAAGTTTTTGAGCCACTAAGAGACACTGTTTTTTTCTCTAAAGGCTGTAAACTGATATCATTGTTGCATGTGAAATATTTAGACTTTCATATTTATGATATGTGCAACTTTAAAACGAGGAGCTTTGAAGGAAAATAAAAGCAAGTTAAGGATTTAGTGACCTGTTCAGCACTGTGTATGAAGATAAAAATGTGGGTATTTGGTTCATTTTTAAGTGGGAATGCTTTGTGTCCAATCATAACCATGCTCTAAAAAAGCCGGCCTACAAATGTCGTGTCGTGGGCTGAAAATAAAAAGAGCCGGCTTAATGAGATTCTTAAATTACTAATGAACGCCGGTTTGTTTCTGGTGAACCTCGGTGTTACTGTTAGCACTCATACCAAATAAACGGCCTTCAACCGAAAGCCAAACACAGGCCGATCTCTCATAGGTGAAAGTAATCGAGGAATTAATACATGGAAATGAAACGCTCAGCATGCATAGCAGCCCGATGACAGTAAGTGAATAATTGACTTCCAGAGCCCCGTGTTCCTGTCCACACACCGCGCTGAAATTTGTATGCGTTAATGTGTATGCGTGCGTGTGTCTATGCCAGCGGACATTTTAGGTCTACCCTCCTCACACTCTCACTACTGCCAAACGCCTTAAGATGGTGGCACCTTGAGGCAGAGAGAGACACTCATAGAGAAAGCCAACCTCCTCCTCCCTTTCCCCCTTCTTCTTCCACCTCGGGTCCTCACGACAACACAGGACAGGCCCCCCTTCCTAACCCTTCGCCCCCCTAATAAATATTTAATTCACCCCTCTCTAATAAGGATATTAGGCGAGTACACCCCAGCCCAAGCGTATATGCATGAGTCCTTTCTCATCAAATTTACATAAAAGGGCCAGATGCTAATGCGAGCGTAGCAACCACTGCTCACTATTCTATACGCGCTGGTACGGGCTTTCCAGTCCGAGAGCCCATATAATTTAATTGCCGACCAGCATATATTTTTCAAATGGTCTCCCGTATTCAAATTGCATCGAGGCCTCAGTACCATATGCTTTACAAAGCGCGCAAAGACGGGTATATTTTAATTGTATTGGCTGTACCTCTACAGTATTTATGCTTACTTAATGCAGCCTGAAGCCCCTCCCCCTTTTATGCAATGATTCATAATACAGGCGTGCTTATGCATAATATGAAAAGGGACACGAATACGGGTGCGTAGACAGCGGATATAACATATTGTTTTGCATACGTCAAAGCTTTTTAAAATGATGATTTCTCATCACACGTAAAAAAAGCTGCTTAAGATGTAGGAAACAATGATTTGTGATTATGAAGAGAAACTAAATGGAGGGAAAGCAGAAAGAGACAGTCAGCATTAATTCATAAATGGGTGTCTTGATATTTAAAGATCATGGATGTACACACACTAAATTTTTTACAAAAAAAAAACAACATGCAGACCGCTTAAAAAGTAGACTACAGCATATGGTAAGAGCGCCCCGATGTTTGTAATTAATCGGGGATGAATAATGCAGTGACATGAGATGTATTATTTACACCCTTTCATCTTCGAGGAAGATTCAAAGCATATTTCAGATGCAATTATACTAATTTATTTATAGTGCATAGCATTTGCATAATCAAAAGCCAGTGGAGCACAGATATCCTGGAGGACAGGCTGCAGCCAGCTTTAGACATGTGGAGCCAAAATAGCATTTATGCACACAGTCTTATTGTGCACTGATGCTGCCCGTGTATTGATATCTAATCTCGCAGCCACAAAGCTTACAGTACATTCTACTGACTGTTACCATAATAATCATGACATCGCAGAGACAAAGTGTATGACATATAAATGTGACATTTAGATCAGGTTTTAGATCCATATGTATATTGTGTATTAATACTAAACAAACTATAGTAGCAACGTTTACACCATAAATTGGGCCAAGACTTCTTTGTCATTCGAATTATATTAGAAGATGAATTTAAATCTGCTTGATTTCATGTTTGAAATATAAAATTAAGAATTGCTTCCACTTATAAACAAAACAGTGAGTTTGCTGTTTGATTATTCGACCAATCTCAAAGACTCTCTCCTTCCTTTATTTGCCTTTTGAAGTTTCTAGTTTTGCACAACAGTAATCTGTCCTTAAATAATGGAGAATATAAGAGTTATGTGGCAGACAAGCAAACAGATGCAGACAGAGAGTCTAAAGTAAAGATGTAAACAGTGGCAGTTTTGAGACATCAGTTTGGCTTTTTTCTATCACCCTCATATGCTGCAGTTCTCAGTTTGATGGACAATAGAAAGGATAAATACAAGTTTAGAATTGTAAATATCCTGACTCACTGTTTTACACATTGGTCTGGGAGGATCTCAATGCAATGACAGTTTTTGCTGGCATCAATTTGAGCTCCAAAGTCCAAGTCTAGATTGAATGTAAAACTACTCAAGTTCGACTTTAAACATTTGCTGCACATTATTCTGTTTGTCACAACTGCTAAAAATCACTTCAGAGCCAGGAAAGCAGAAAACATCCCATCATTCAGGAGGAAAAACAAACCTGCCATTTACAGATAATCACTTTAAGCTCTATAACATCAGTACATGAGTAAACGAGGAGCCTGTCTAGCATGTTGGTTGCGCATATCCATGCAGTTAGCTGAAGGGAAGGGCCGTACAGCGTGGCAGAGCACAGCATGCCCGCTGCTCCCCACAAGACGCTCAAGTGGCCATGCATGATGTCATTAAAAAGGCCCAACCATGACATTCCTCAGAGGATTATTGGCAAGTTATGGCTGGCTGGTCTGTTATGGAAGAACGTCGATTGGATGCCTCTTAATCACCAATGACACCATTGAGCGAGCCAATGACACCTTTTGAGCGTGTTTGCCAGTATTTGCATGAAAGAGCGGCGTGCAGTCTCAGTCTTCGTTTGAATTTTTACATAAAATAAAGACTACCACTATAGTTAACTCTATAACTTCAATTTATGAATTTACTGAAAAAATGTATGCATCATTTGACCAATGCACTTGCGACTACCTGACAGGAAACATTTGATCAGAATAATGTGTGTCTATATTGAGCCATGGAGACAGGGAGTGGGTGGCACTCTAGTTTCTTGCATAGAGCACTGTACATGCACAGACACACACATGCACAAAAACACACAGACATGCGCGCACACACAGAAACCAGGAATCTGTCCTGCAATGGCAGGGGCTGATGCTGCCATGCGCACGGTGATCTCACCTACCGTTGCCGTGGCGACACCAACCAGAGGGAAAAGCCTTATTGTGTGTGCGCATGCGTGTGCGTATATGGGTGCCTGTGATTGTGACAGAAGCTCGGGCTGGAGGAAGAAGAGGAGGAGGTGGAGGAGGAAGAGGAGGAGGAGGAGGAGGAGGAGGAGGAGGAGGAGGGCCTGTAGGAATTCACATTGTGCCTTGCTTGTTTAAGGTTTATGCCTCATTCACTTACTACCTTTTATCAGAGGGGACTACTGAGCCAGCCCTTTCAATTATCAAGGCAGTAAATTCAGTATGGCTGTGTTGTTAAAAAAAAAGAAAGAAGCCAAGTGGTTTAATAGGAAGGGGAAGGGTGCATGCCGGTTAATTTGCATAAGCTATAGGGTGAGACAAAGATAACCCCAACGGAAGGTAAACATGCAGGGATACATGCATTTATGCTCTCTAACACTAACACACATACAGACGCATGCATGCGGGCACGTATTCTGCACGCATGCATGTCAGCTGCGCACCACTCTTCGTGTTTCTCAACCAAAACAAACTCCTCTACTCCTACCAGCTGGTATTGTTGAATTCTATTAGTGATGAAGAGCTAACTCAGACTATAGGGGTCATCTGCTCATCAATGGGTGGTGGTGGCCTGGCTTGCTCCACAGCCATGAATGCACTGAATTCATTACCCCTGGTGCACAGATGGTGTCTGGCTGCCTGTCTCAAGTTCAAGTTCATGTCCAGGAGACACGCACACACACACACACAGAGGAAAAGAGAGACAACATGGCCCAAGCCAGGCAGACAGACGTTGTTGACTGAGACACAGCTATTGTTCCCCTTTCATCAACGTGATGTAGTGGCCTCACTGGCTAGCCGTTAATCGCAGAGACAAAACATGCATGCATAGACAGAGACACACATGAAGATTCACATGGCCGTGCTGCACTGGGAGGATGAAAATAGCTCCATATTTCGGCTCAGTTAATCTGAATGAAACGGTTTCTACAGCTGCAGAAATGCTTCACAACTTTCCAACTCAAATTCAAGACATAAATCCAACCTCTTAGTTATTTTGAACACAATGTAATGTGGATAAAAAGCCAAAACCTGTAACAAAAAATGTACAGATATGTAATAAATGCATTAGCAAATGGCAGCAGTGTGACAACTATATTCACATCCTTTGTCTGGCACAGAAATGACCCTGGGCACATCCATATTATAAACCTACTCCTGCACCTGCCATAGACAGCTCACAGGCACAGAGGAGACACATAAAAACCCTGGGCACGCTCACATAAAATATGCTGATTGCCCATCCAATGAATATGAAAACACCGTCCATGGTCGCCATGGTTTTTGTTACTCAACAAATCACGTGACAACAATGGCTGCGGCACGCTATATGTGTAAGCGTGGAAGGAGGGCACAGCCAAGCGCATAGCTCCTTCATTTACCAAGGAAAAAGGAAAAGGGGGCTCAGTCACCACCCATTTCTACATGCATAGTCAAATCACACACCTGCTTTTTTATGAATATACACAAAGAGCGAGCTGTGACATGATTGGCGGGTTTTCCTTTTTTTTTTTTCCAGTATGCTGCAAGGACAGGTCTTAGAAAAATATAGAGACACATCCAGTCTTATTTATAAAGACCCAGAGAGGAAAAATAATGCACCTTTTAAGCCATCATCTAAATTTGAAATGTGGACATAGAGGCCATCTAATCACCACAGATAGGGAATACAGCTCATTATTTTTAGGGACTCAAACCAGCAGGGGTTGCCAGTGTTCATAAAAAGCACTAATGTGAAGCAAATTGGTGAGATTAACTCCACCTCTAGAGACAGGAAGGAAAGACCTGCATGCAAAACCGCTGCCAACACACACAACACACTGCATCTCTACCACATGCAGCCCAGAAACACTCCAAAAAAAAAAAAAAAGGGCCGAGAGGAGAGATGCATGCAAGTTTGTTTTTCTTAAAACACATGATGATTACACCCACTGCGCGTCGCACAATTACTTTGCGTTTCCTATTTGCTGTTTAGTCTGAGGTCCTTTGATATTTGATGCTTTAAAGACATTCAGGATAATACTGTGGAAAGATAATTTAAGCTGTTGTGTATGTATTGGATACTGTCAGAAAGCTTTTTATCCTCTGAAAATAAACATATAAGCCCCACTAAGATTTTGTAATTTGATAAAAGTTGAAAAGAAGACAAAAAAAAAACAAAACTGTACCATACACAGAGTAGAGTAGACACTCGATGTGCCTCTATAGAGAGTAAAGTGAGTGGTATGACAGGGTAGCTTGTTTAAATATTCGAAGGTTTTTCTCTGCTCTGGGTTGACATTAAGTGTGGCCCCCAGACATGAAAACAGAGTCCCCTTTCATAAAGCTGGAGGAGGATTTCAATCGACTTAACTGAGGACAATAAGACTTGTTTTATTCAGCGCTGCTCAGCCCAAATTGTGTTCTCAAATTTTCTTTCGGGTAAACGACCTGGTATTGTATGCCGTCTTTGACAGGGGTTGGGAACAAGAGACACTAGTTTTGTCTGACGGTGTGAGAAAGTCGGCAAGGGACCTTTTCAGCACAGGCGGTGTTGAATTCAGCCACTGTGGCTCTGCTTAGCACTGCACTCCAATAATCCTCTGTTGCAAAATAGCCAGCTTCACAGATTTCTGAGCATATGCTGGACTTGAACTCTGACTTAACCAGATATTTTTAAATCTGGTATACTGAAGACATGCGTACTTGAGCTGAAGGTTTAATGAATGAAGGTAGAGTTTATTCTAAAAAAAAAAAAATGCCAGAGCAGGTTATGTAAAAAAAAGGCAGGCCTGTTTTCAGACACATGGCCTGAGCTGGAAACAAACTGTCATCTGACAGATTCAGGAGTCAGCAAGTGCAAAACAGCCTCCTCAAAAGAAAAAAAGGCATTACTTATTTATGTCTAAATAAAAGCACAACACAGTGCAGCTTTTCTCAATGAGTAAAAGATGGAACAATAAACTCAAATCATGAAATTTTATATATTTTTTTTTACAAAGTCTTAAAATTGAATTAAATTTTTGATTAAAATCAGTTTATCCAACTTTCAACTCTTGTGTTGCCCTCTCTAAAAAGATAGTCCCAGTATATTTTCCTGCAGTGACTCGGATCTCACATGTTCTCCCTCATGGTCAAGTTCAAATACAGACAATACACCCTGGTGTCACTTATTCTAATGCCCCAGACTTCTTTGTGCAACATTATCTGCGCTCTCACTAATTCTCACGAGAAGTAAAACGGCTGGGTCCGCGCGCTCTGGATGGGGGGCATGTGCAGGATTACTAGAGTTGCAGCACGTCCCTTTCAGATTCATAAACCGGCATAGTTTTAAGATAATGACCCAAAGTCCTCATTATCAGTACAATTGACGCGACATTACGCATTCAGGACCGTTACTACTCCAAGTTTAGGAGCGCCGCGTCGGCTGGGGCTGGGAAACGTCGCCTCTTTCTTTGGGGATGCAGATGAGTCTGGTGCACTTGACGTCTTTTCATGACCCCTGTCGCCCCCCCTCCCCTCCTCTTCCCAGCCCCTCCAGGCCCTCACGGCGCTGTCTGTCATATTGGGCCGGGGCATGGCATTGCCACTTGCCCCACCGAGCGTGGGAATGGGATCGTCCAGTCGTTCACATCTCCTGCACTGCGGTTAACGGAATCAATTAAGCAGGCCCGACCCCCCCCAAGTCTCCCCAATCCCCTCACTCACTCACTCACTCCCTCCCTCCACTCCTCCCTCTTCTGTCACCTCCCTCCTGCTCCCAACCCCACGTTCCCCCACCTCTTTCTCACTCCCTCTCTCTCTCTCTCTCTCTCTCTCCATTTTTGTCAGTTCACTATACGTCCTAATTATTACTGTTTGGGATGCCAGCGCCGTTTCCTGGCCGGACTCGATCATGCTGAAATAAAAGAAGCATGGAGGGGTACACGTGGGTTTTTTTACACACTTCCTAAATGTCACTATTTCATTCTTATAAAAAAACTCCAGATGAAATTTAAAATTAAATAAAATGTAAAATGACACCTCATGTTAAAGGATCAAATAGGCTATAAATATTAACGTGCAGTACCTGCCCTGAGGGGTGTTCTGTGAGTGTGTGAGTGTGTGTGTGTGAGAGAGAGAGTGTGTGTGTGTGTGTGTGTGTGTGTTGACATCTAAATGTAGATTGACTGTACAATATCATGAATCAGTATTTTTTTTTAAATGAATGCTCCCTTAACCTTAAATTTCAAAATAAAACAAAAATAATTCCAGATACATAAACAGCATCTACAAGTTCTTGTCCAATATTGTCGTGAGTCCCTCCACAAGTCCTCGACGAGTCTGGAAGTAGTTTTTACTTTCGGTTATCTAGCTTTATGACGAGCAGAACACTCATACAGCTAGATAACCAAAGATAACAACCCACTTCCCAAATCTTCAGCTGTAATCCCAATGTTTTCTCTTTTCTCTTCTGTGCTCCAAGTTTCCATCACTTAGAAGTCAAATGTGCTACAGGGAAAGTCATCTGCATCCTTTTTCAAGTCACACAGTGCATTATAATCCTTATATTTCCACTATTGCACAGGCTGGACTGTCATACACCCGTTGTAAAAAGGCGGCAAATGTTGGAAAAAATGATATATTATCCCAATGTTAATGTCACAGTCACTTGACATTAACCAATATTACTGAGTTGAAGCAGGCCTTGAAAATCGCGGGTAAGGTGCAGTCATCCTTGCACAGGGGCCCTAATTTGCAATGCAAATAGCTCCAATCCCACAAAAGGCTCTTTCGCCTCTATTAAGTCGTTGTGGCAGCAGCAATAGATATCCTGTGAGGCCGGCGGAGAAGAAACACGGCGGAGAGAGGGGGGAAATCCGGTTTCCTGTGGAAAGTGCAATAACGGCACAGGGAATTAGGACGCAAATGTGTCGGATTATAAAGACAGGAGCTTGTTTTTTGAGCCCAGAGAGTGTCAGGTTGTCCTTCCACATCCAGAAGCCGGTGACTCTGAGCCAAAGGGTCCGTTCTGCAGGTTGCATGGTCGCTCGGTCTGGAAAAAAAAGAGTGGGGGGGAAATAAGGGCCATCCCCAAACGATAGGGGGGCTGGGGGTGGCTAAAATCTGGACCAACCCCGGTGAGGTCAAAGGCCTCGGACCACGACAATGTTTCTGCGGTGATGTCATGAAAAAAAAAACGCAAATGCACCCTCCTTTTCATGCACAATCTCCATCCATCCATTACACAGCGCGCGCTGGAATAAGTCCGCCTTGCATCGAGCAGTCTGCCTTCCTTCTCTCTCACACACAGGGATGAAAATGGATGACAGGGACACCATATGTTTTTTTTTTTTTTTACATAGACAGAAAGCGATTTAGCGGCTTTTATGATGGATGCGTAGAGATTTCGCCTCTTTTAAGCGATAAAAATGAAAGAAGTCAATGAAGGGAGCATCTTGGAGCAGCACGAGCGCCTGCGTCTTCTGTCTATCCAATAAAGGCGATGTTTTCTATTCGCAATAACACGCCACTCGTTTGATCATAGTTCCTTCTCTCAGGTATGAGGAACCATCACACGACTTAAAACGCTCTCCCGTTCTCGGTTTTTGCGTCGAAGTCCCTTTTCTAGCCTTGTGTGTTTCTCTCACCGTCCGCATCCGAAGGGTAGATTGACTACAGCGGTATTCGACTGGCGAAGAAGTCGCCACATAGAGCGGAATAAAGCCCGAGCGCTTCATCCCATACACGCGTGCTTTTCCCACAGATGTGAAAGTATAGTAAACGGACAGCTCAGCACAAATGGGTCAATGTATGGGGGATCTTTGGAACCGAGTCAACAATAACGGGCAGCAGAACATGTGATGGATCATGCGCAGGAGCATGAAGCTGCAGGTTACCGAGTCACTTCATGGTAGTACCCCCGTTTGCACAACTTTGATTCTGCTCGGACCGAAACACACTCTCAATTCTGCTACAAAGTTTATCCATCCACTCGGTTTATACGTGCGCATTTGTGCGTGTGCGTGTGTGTGTGTGATGCAGGATAAGTGGACTATCATATATGGTGAAACATGAAAATATTATTTCTCATTGGTATCATAAGCATTTTTTCTTGAACTTCAGGTGTCCAATTCATCCTCATTACTTTAACTTCTGCCTCTCAAGTTTGCTTTGGTTTGGAAAGTGGGAGGGGCGAAGTCGAGGTGTCTTAATGAGCGAATATGAGTCACTAGGCCTGTGCATTTCAATAAGGGATTACTTCCTATCAACAGCACTTTGTAACTTCAGTGTTCATCCACAGCTTTCATTCATTACATTTCACTCACCCCGTTTGAAATCCATATTGTGCATACAGCATAAATCCAACAGTCTCTTGCTTTAAATATCATTTAGAATATTCAAAATGTAAGCAAAATCCGCAAGTACGCATGCTCTCCTGTCCCTTCATTTATTGCAGTACATCACTATTGGCATATTCACAATTATTCTGTCCCCCTTTATGAGGACGTTGTGAATAGTAAGCTGTAAGGGCAACTTCATATCATTGCGATCAGCTCATTAGGGTAAAGGAGGCTTCAGACTAGGCCTCCCACGCAGACTCTTTGCTTTAATCACTGCACACCATGTTTTTAAATACACAACCTGCTGATCCTCTTCAAATCATACTAAGTTGTCTTTTTCCCTCACGGTTATGATTCAGTGCTGAAAAGCTAGAAATGATACGAGAAAGGCGCAGTTCTCTCATTTGGGTACATGAGACGTTCGTGCGTAAAAACATGGATAAGCAATACAATAGACGCTTTGTGTGTGAGGGAGTTTATAATTAATGTGAAGCTAACTTAAAAAAATCTTCCAGCAAAGCATTTGAACAAAAACACACCGCACTGCCATGTGTGTCAGTGGTGTGTGCTTCTGCGTAAATATGCCTCTTCATTTTCTCATTTTGAGCGTATTCTGTTCCTCATCGCCTCATGTATGTTTTTCACTATCCTGTCCACATTAACCAAAACTCCAGTGTTTACGATAAGGCAGATAAAAACGATGATTTCACCCACTATTGTTTTATTTTTTAAAGGAAAAAGCACAAAACGTCATATAGATCTTCTCAGACGTACGTACTTTTTTGGAAACTGACCATGAAACTCCAAAGTGAGATGAATTTAAACGGCAGAAATTAATAGACGAAATCCGCTTCAAAGTGCCCAATATACTAATGTAAAATAGACATGGTTAAAATATTTTACACAGACTTCAAAGCAACCGGTCTAAAGGTGCAAAAAGTCTGATCAGATCGTACTTATCACAAAGTGTGTGAGGACACACTCTTGTTCATCATCCACAAAATAAATCCTCAACAACTTAAAACAAAGCAACCATCTATCTAACTTCTGTGCACATGGGAAAGCTTTACGCACACGGGTCCTTTTACGCAGCTTATTCAAGCAGCCTCAAAAGTTGCACTTACTTTTCTAACGGCGAATCAAATCACTGCAGCCGGCGAGAAAGTGTCCCAAGCAGGAGAGGAAGAGCGGTCGGGTCCGTCTGTAACCCCCGGTGTAGCATGTAAGTTCTCCTCAAAGATCCCAGCCGTATTATTTGGTTGTGTGTGGTGGGGGGGCAGCACTTTAAAACTGCCGCTAACAATCAGCAGCCTGCATTAGGCGTGCTTCAGCTGCTCTGTGCAAAGCATGAGCATATCCTGAGCACATGATGGCAGGAGAGAAGATGAAGAAGCGAGGAGGGGATGAGGAGAGGGAGAGAGACAACTTTCCCAGAACGTCTACAAGCACCAAATAGAAAAGTGCATGCACAGTTGAGCTCTCAAAGTGTGCAAGTTTTTTTTTCCTCCCTGTTGGTGGTGGTGGTGGGGTGTGATGTGAAGGGAGGGGGTGATGATGATGATGGGGGTGGGGGGGGGGAGTGGTGCTGGTGCTGGGGTGGGGGCTCGGAGGGGATGTAAAGTCCATCCTTCTGTGTGAGGAGAGGACGTGCTCTGAAATTCAAACAAGTTCCCTCGGTTCTTTTGTTGCACGCACGAACTGAGGCAGCATTGTTCGCGCTTTTGGCGTGGACCTCTTCCTCCGGTTCCCCTGACCAGGTTACGAAGTGAGCCTCGCAGTTGGCTGGTAATGAATTTGCTGCAGGCGTATTCGCTAACACGCTTTGACAAACGGAACGCATTTACCGGGCTCTCAGACAGGGGAGGGGGGGTTGATTTTCTACACGCAATTCCCAAACTAAGTCTGGAATGAGGCCTATAAGAAAAAGACAGAAAAATACAACTCTTCAAAGTTCACTCCAAAGGGGTTTGATTGGATCTGTGCGAACTGTATGGGCCTATACTGGACCTGTTCATTCACCTTGCTCCCTGAAGCCTAAGAGGTTATCTGATAAGACTCAAGTGCGTGGAAAAAAGTGGACACACACACACACACACACACACACACACACACACACACACACACACACACACACACACACACACACACACACGAAGAGGCAAAAGAAAGATAAGAAAAACTGATCAAACAAAAAAGTTGAAAGAGCTGACCCACTTGTCTCTTGGTTATGACACACTTTTCTTTTTTTGTTATTGTGAATAAATTATAATCCTCCACTTTTCCTGTTGGATCACTTTACCCTACAAGAAAACCACTACTCTCCATCTTTGCCACAAAGGTGTCAGGTTAGACCTGCTGTTATCGTTTCACCATTTTAATATGTCATGTTAATTTCTTCCCCATTTGTCCTAGAGTCATTTTTCTGACTCTCACTAAATCATGTGACTGAAATAAAAGCACACACGAGGAAAGCAAAGCATCTTTTCTCGTATTACCCCCCCTCCTCCCCTTCTCTGCCTAATTGCAGGCGTATCCATTAGACTCAACCGGATTCACGTTTTAGTTTAACAGCGAGGGCACGTTCAATGACGTAGACAAGCATATCAGCTACGTGCAGCCATATTTAAATACATCAAGGCAATTAGCGCATCCAAATATGCAAATCCCGCTTACTACATAGTCCGCCCTGCTGCAGTCGGAGTAATTCCCCCCAGCCGGGTCTTGGGTGTTTGATTGCGGGTTTTGAAAGCCGACACAACCTTGTTTGTTTTTTTACCAAAGAGGCTTCGTTTGTGTGACCGGGGAAGGAGCGGAGACACGAAGAGAAGGGGAACCGAGGCTCCTGCGTGGAAAGCCGCCCATGCGTAATGAGACGACCCGCTCCTCCATTCTCAATTCTCGGACGCCGTTGGCTCTGGTGTGCGTATTATTTTCAATATTGATGCATATTCAGTGGAGAGATTTGCATTCAGTGTTTATTTTCCCATGTTTCATCATATTTGTACGTGTAAAGACCGATTTCGTGTGATATAGCGATGACATTTATTGCGTAATATTTCAGATTTGAAATTCATATCGAAGCCTGATGTAACAGTCAATACATAGACTCGAAACCGGTTGTATTTTCCTATCAATAAGTCATATTTTCTCGAACCTGTAAGATGCAAATTCGGCGGAAGCCTTTTGAATACTCAAATTCAGCATGCATGAACAAAGAGCTGTGTGCGGGGCAAACAATAGAGGAGATGCAGAGGTAAATCTTGGGGGGGAAGGTGAGACTTGCACATCGAGGTTTAGGAAAGGGGGGAATGACACGGGCAGGTTGTTGCAGAAAGTAATCATAAAAAAAGTCTCCTGCCCAGTTTGCAAAAATGCAGTGACGCAGCGCTGACATTTAGGCTACAATTGCTCAGAGCTGTCTCCCTCGGTGTCCGTGCACGCGCGCAGTGATGCCAGGAACGAGCGCGCGCATGCAAGTGCAAGTGCAAATGCAAGAAATGTATATCCAAAGTCATAACATGATTAAAACAGATCTCAATTTCACCTGAATATCTTTTTACGCATACGATTTCTCCTTCTCCAAATGTCACTTATCATATCTCAATATCTGATAAAGCGCGTGCCCCTAATCAAACCTTTTTTGACTTACCTCCAAACACAATCCAAAGGTGCTGCTTCTGCTTCTGCTCCTTCTGCTGCTGCTGCTCTAACTCTGCGCTTTTACACGCGACGTTTCTGTCAAGTTGTTGGGACGTTTTTTTTTTCTTGTTCTTTCCAGCAGAGAAAACTTTGTGCTATCAGCCTGAGCATGATGCAGTCCCCCATAGGCTACTCCCCTCGCCATTGAACCCTGCTCTCAATCTGCTCGTGGCTCAACACTAGTGGTCAGGCTGGATCACGTAAACACATTCAAAAAGCCACAGGAGTCCGTCACCACACCTATGTTGGAATAAAACGAAGCATTACGGTACTTCTCTCTTAGTAAGTTTACAAAACGGGATCTTTAATATTTCCCCCTCATCATCATCATCATCATCCTCTGAGGTGTTACTCTCGTTTTCATCATCACCTCCCAAAATCTGAAGGACACACACACAAACAAACACACACACACTTCTATTTACTTTCAAAGACGAAAATAACCGAGATGGTGCATATTTGGCTGTGGATAATATCAGGACCAAAAAAGCGCAATTTGTTGTTCCATCCTGCTTTTAATGATGAGAGTGTTGTTTTCAGAGGAAAAGGAGGTGTGCACGTGTGGCCTCTTTCTTTGTAAATTTGTGTAACTCGATTATAAAATAAGAACAACTCATTTGGAAATGAAAGCCCTCAGTCTTTTTGCGAGAATCAACCATAAAACTCTAAAGTGTAGAGATTTCATAGAGGTCGGCGAGGAGAGCTCCGCTGTTGTTGACTGACTCTTATTTCTATGAAGTAATTTATGGACTTAGAGTCTGTGTTACTGTTGGTGTAAAACGACATGGGAGCAGCTAATGTAACAGCATTGTGTATTAATAGAGCCATCAGGCCGCGTCCTGGAGAAACCACAGAAAACAGCTGATCCCAAGTACGATTTGATGTGAATCTTCTTTATGAGATCGGTCAGAGCGATAATTTTCAACACGATCAAAACTTAAACATCTATTCCTAAACGAGACGAACCAAACGACAGTGTCAGGATTTTTTTTTTTTTTTTTTTTAGAAATAATCTGTGAGGCAGAAAAAGATGTTATTAAAAATAAAACGTATTTTTCCAATTTCAGGTCTGACATCAGCCTGTTACTGAGCAGTCTGTAAAAGAAACAGGGGAGACTTGTCTGGCACTGGGAAACAGTGTTTTGAAATTGTTGTAATGAAACACCTCCGAGATAAAGAAGTAGACATGTTATTTTTCTAAGAGCATACCGGAATACTTGGAGATGTGTGAGCTTTCTGCTGCTCTGTGGAGTGATTTGCCGTTTCTTTTACTCTAAAGCAAACTCAGTGTTAGTAGGTTATAGCTTAAAATCATTATCAATATAATTTTTATTATTATTATTACTATTTTTACAATAATAATTTACTATTTTTATAATTCATGACGTTTTTTTCTACTAAAGATTCAGATGAACTCTTCTCTGTAAACATTTCAGTAGATAAGAGGACATATCCTCTCTGCTGTGACTCTACTTACAAACTCTGTGTGTGAGTCTGTTAGTGAAGCTCGCAGGCTGATTGATGTCTGCTCGATCTGCACGAAGAGTTTTAGGGAGTGAGGATGATGAGGAGGAGGAGGATGAGGTGAATGAGCAGGATGAAGGATAGGGGAGGGTTAGACTAGACGACTAGATGGTGACATCTAGTGGTGGTTATGAGGAACGTGTCTCACCGCCGTCTTCTTCTCTCACTGGAGTGCATGTGTGATCACTCATATTGATGCCTGAGATATATTTTTTAACATTATGTACGTTATGTATGTATCATATGATAGTGGAAAAAAAGAAAAAAAATCGGTGGAAAATTATTGCAGGTGAGTTAAGTTATCGCGGTAAATTATCGATCGCTCTGACCGATATCTGAAGATCGGACTTTTCTTTTTGGTGTAAACTCTAAAAGAGGCGATTCTTGGTCTGTTTAATCATCATTATTATTTTCAAATTGAACCAAAGCATATTGTCTGTTTTTGTATTTAATTTGAGACTTTGAATTAATCGTATTTTTGACATTTCTTCGACATGGCTCCATAATTTCTGTTCCCCCCATGTCTTGGATTTCACCCCTCATGATATCAGAAATTGTCCTCCACATTTAAGCCCATACTGACAGTGTTTCTCTTTGCTTCACTTTGGCCTTTCAGAACTGTAGATTTCTATTGTAGACTATTTCTAACATGTAATTATTTAATTTTGTGTATACAATAACATATCAGTGTTTTCTTGTCACAGGCTACAGACCTTAACCCTTCAGGTAGCTTCACTGACTGGCTGTAATGAGATGAAACCGCAGGGGGCGTCACTTAGCGCGGCCCAATTAAAACCAGAGGAAATGCATTAGAGCGGGCCTATCACAGACGACTATTCACCTACTACAATAATGTCACCCAGATAAAAATAGTCGAGACTATTAAACCTCCAAACTCTCTCTAACAGGAGTGCAGTAATGGACACAAAATGTCACAGTTATGGCACATACACCAGCTCATCGTAGTACCGTAAATCTTATTATAGAGCGCCGTCAAGAAGCTAATTAAAGATGTAAGTGAGCAAACATCACGTGGACTATAAAGGCTTTTCAATTGAGTTAGAATTTCGTTACTTTCGATTTTAAGATAATTCTCTTAAGGTGTCTAACAAAACGTGGATTAACAGCTCGAGGTCAAAATGGTGTTAAATGTATTTCATTCTGAAGTCTTTTATTCTCGCTGTTTCTGATCTGATTTGAAGCCATTTTTGCCTCATTTCTTGTTTAATTCAGGCTCTATATTATTTTCTTTTGTCAGGTTGAATAAAATTTTACCTCTAATTTACTACAATCAAACGGGAAACACTGAAGAATTATGAACTTTAATCGGGATATTAGCTGTAAAATGTCTGTGCATTAAGACATCACGTTGCTTATTCTTCAGGATTAAAATCAGACTTAAATATAAGATATTTTACTCCACTTGTAGATCTATTGTGTACTTTTAGTGACAGTCCTGTAGTCGGGGTACTTTCACCCAAACCAATCCAAATGATTCAATTCAAGTGTTTGATAACTCGCACTAAAAAAATCACTTTCTTGTCCTTTGTTGCATTTCAGGATAAAGTTAGGATCTGAGCAGCATCTCCAAATTAGCATGATTATTAATGATTATATTAAATGTGGAAAACAAACTCATAAAGGCCAATAAAAGGTTACAAAGTAGGATAGAAACCATGCGTAAAATTCGTTTTCCATTTTCAGATACACAGAGAGTTGCAACAGAAATTCATCCATTTTCGCTTTGTTAGATTTTTTAAAATGTCCATCCTTCCATTTGCTACGGGCTAACAGCTGCACCAAAAATTAACACAATTTATGGACGTGATAGGAAAGAACACAACACGAGCCATGGCATGCGCAAAAGCACATGAGAGACCCGCAGGCCCCCAAAATGCACCAAAAGCAGCACATGAAGCTACAATATGACCCATTACGTGATTGAATTTTTCATCAGTGTTACCACTTCATATCGTGCGACATAACGTTATAATAAAACTGTAACTTGAGTTTATGTGTACCGTAATTGCAGATGTAGAAATTCGTCGTTTATTGACATTTTGATTAAACGCGCACGTTTTAATTTCACCGCGTCAGACTCTATCTTTGTGTTAAACAAGACAGGAAAAAATCATTAACGACTTCTTTCTTTTTTCCTTTGAACGAATGAAATACACCCTGGAGTAGGCCAAGATCATATGTGTGTGTGTGTGTGTGTGTGTGTGTGTGTGTGTGTGTGTGTGACTGAGTGTGTATGAGTGTGCGCGTGTTTGCGTGTGTGTAGGTGCCCTCTTAACTTTACACGTGTGGGAGGAATCAGGTCGATTTTAAATCTCTCTGATCTATGTTTACATTATTGTGCAGGGACCTTTTTTATGTACTGTTGCCAGGATAATGTGTCTCGATGAAGATTTATATCATGTAATGTATAGAGGCGTGATGCTGTAGATGCTGACCAGATGATCTAAGTGTAAACATCTGTATTAAAATGTGAATGTGTTTATGGGAAGATCAAATGTAATGCTTTGTGTCTATTGATTTATTGGCATTTATCTAATATTGTCTTCATACCTTACATGCACTGACTCTCATTCATTGAAGACTTCATGTTGAGGATGTTTTTTGACTGTTCACAGGCCTGATACAGTCTCCAGTAAAGCATGCAGAAACCAGTCAAACACAATGAATTCACACCGAGTCACGTCAGGATAACTAAGAAAGCCAGTAACTTTACTGAAATCTCTGCAAAATACAAATAGCCTTTTTCACCTCCAGCAGAGGACACTTTGACTTCACCCCCATAACGTTTTCACTACATACAGCTGAATCAAGTCTCTTGAGTTACAGAGATGTGGAATTAATTTAAAACCATCTTCGTCTCAAGTGGCGACAAAGGCCAGCTTATGCCGCTGAAAGCCGCTCTCTTGCGCTTCAGAAAAACATTAGTTCCAAACTTACCCCAGTTTCAGGTTTATACAAGCTACATTTGATACTACAGACTGACTTTTTTTTTTAAAGCAGTGTACATATTCCTTTTTTTTTTCTTTTTTAGAAATCCATTTTTCAGCTTTTGAATACAACTTAAATAAACTACAAACACAGTGGAGCAACAAAGAATCCCATGTGAATGTAGGGACCTGAAGTAATGGTATTACATGGTTATTACACATGGCTGTACAGGTGTATGGTCTCCCCCTTTTTGACTGCAAAACATCAGCTGAGGTACTGAGCGGGTCAATTTTGAGGTACCAACATTAGATCTATATTTATAATGAACAACAAAGAACAACTGATCAACAGGTGATGTAAAAATAAATTTAACAAACACAACAAGAGAAGAAACAAATGTAGAAAGACAAGGTCACTGCATGTCTTTGGTTGAAATTATTGTCAGAGATGCAGCACTCTTAGAATAATCTGATCATGTTGGATTATTAGTTTTTGTTCGGCTTTTTAATGCATTGCTCAAAGGGGAGAACAGGTGGATCATTGTGGTTGGACTGGAATTGAAATGTGAAACCAATTGTACATTTGAGCAAATTCTTTTATTGTCTTGTTTCAATGCTTGCAAAAACCATAAATGAATGTGAAAATAAAAGTTGAGTTTACAACACAGAAATGCCACTGGCTTTGGTTTCTCCACACTGTCGCTGCCTGAAACATCATGTTTATTTATTTATTTTTTTTCTCAACCTTTTTGTTATTGAGTTAAAAAAAGAGAAGAAGAAGAAGAACATCATCATAGAGGCTCTGCCCCTGTTTGACTACACAGACTGTTTACAGTAACAACATAGTGAACCTGCATGAAATATGCACATAGAAATATCATAACACTTAAGTGACAGCAGATACGGGAGTGGGAGGCAGAGAGAAATGTGGCTAGTTTCATTGTTTTTAATAAAGAGAAAATCAAAACAGCTATTTATTTATTTCAAATAAACAAATTGTGCTTCTTCCTACCAGCATCATCAATTTGTCCCTGTGTATCTGATGCTGAACATGTGGTGAAGGATGTGGAAATCTGCCCCGGAGACTGGAACATGAGGAGACACAGGATGGCACAGGATCCAGTTAGGTTAAAAAAAAAAATGTTCAGGGATAATTACCCATGATGCACTTCAACACAAACTATTTTGCATGAAGACAATTGTTTAAACTGAGCCCGCGATTGTGTGAAATGTTGAACACGAGCTGAAATTTAAGATGCACTGATAATGTCAGAAATCTTATCCGATTATGAAATTGTATTATTAAGCTACAGAGTCAAATATCTGATGCGCTGAAATGTGTCTGGACTCGGGTTTAGGGTCAGCCATATTTCCTCATCAGTTTGACAGTCCTGTCCATCACATGTGTCAACATTTATTTTTGTGTCGCCTCCTGTTCCAGTCGCCTGACATTTCCCACTAACAGCTTGTTTTCAGCATTCAGGCCCGTCTTTCCTCCGCCACACAAACCCTGGTGATGTTTCCCAGCTGGTTTTTTAAGGTTTAGACTAAATACACCCCTGAACTCCACTGTTCAGGGCTCAAATGAAACAAACCAGACAACATGTGCAACTGCACATAGAAACTCCACTAAGAAACCAACAAAAATCATTAGTATATATATTTATATATTAGAAAGCTATACACAAGCATGTTAATTTCACAGATTTTTTTTTAAAGATTCTTAATATTACCATTATTATATATAATTAGAAATACACGTTTAAAAACAAACCTCTACAAAGATAAAACAGTTCAGCAAAGCATTGGATCTCAGTCTGTTTTCATGGCTTAGGGCTTCAAAGCCCCGTCAATTCCCCTCTGGGCGAACTCTCCATCTCTTATTAGCAAAGCTATCAAAAACACATTCTGGCTTATAGAAACTACAAAAAGCCACAAAAATGCTTTGCATTGTATTCCTTTCATATGAAAATATAAGCAAGTGTATCGTACAATTGTTTTTTTTTCTTTATTAACACTGAATATTAATACTAGATCCGGAGCTGTCTTGATTACTCTAACGTAGCTCTGAGATCAAAGGGTGGTCCTCGCTCGGCACCGGCCTATCAGAGGAGTGCTAACTTCATCAAAGGTTCCACATGTCTAGCATTGGGGCTGCCTGTTTACCTGTACAATCCTTCAAATGTTGCATAATAGCTTTTTCATTTAGTGAGTAAATAAATCTTGTAATGTCTGGCAACTTTTTGACCCCTGCCCTTCCCCCCTCGACCCTTTATTTACATAAATACGTTGAACCTGCAACATGACATCATCTAATGATAACACACATTTTTGCAAGGGAGAACTGCAGAGAAGGTTTATAGCAATGAAACTGACACTGTACACATGTATTGTCCAACTCAAGTGCTAAGGTGTTTCCCACTGGACACACTCACTCTCATGTTCATGTTTGTTTGATTTTTTTTTTGTCTTTTTTGTCTTTTTTTGTCTTTTTTTGTCTCTTGTCTCTGATATATTGCTGAGGCAAAGTGTAAGTACGTTTTATGAAACAGAGTACCTGACTATTTTTTTGTTTATTTGTTGATATGCATATATGTACACATACACACACGTGTAAAGATATATGCATACGTGATTCTTTTAGCCACACACAATACAATTTATGCATAGTTCCCCAACAAAAACACCCCCAGATCCTGTCCCAACCAACACCCGCCCTCCCAAAACCCCATTACAACACCCCACTGGTTTATATAATGTCAATATGTATAGCACACACACACACGCACACGCACACACTCGGCAAAAAGAAAATAAAAAAGAAAAGAAACATATTTTTGAAAAGGGCAGTCCCTTTTCTTTCCTTCAGCGTTAGAGATAAAGGAGAGAGGCCGTGGGGTCGGGCGGTGAGTGACTCATGATACCAAGTGAAAGGAGGAAGAGGAGGGAGTTGACTTTGGGGAGGGGGCATTGTAACGCTGTGTTGTTGTTGTTGTTGTTGTTGTTGTTGGGGGGCTCAGGGCGATTTTGGGCACTTGCCAGGGGAGACGGAGCTATCATGTGGCCCATCCTTCAGACAGACGCACCCGTTTGATGGAGGGGCTCTCACGCTCGTCCAGGGCGGGTCGGGCCAGTCCCAGAGGTGAGTGGAACTCGTTCCTGTGCTCGTCCCGGTCGCTGCCCTCATGGGAGCTGCTACAACTGCTCAGGCTATCAACAGGGGAGCGTCCCGAGTCCTGGCGGGACGAGGGGTTCTGGGGAGGCGGTACCCCGCCGTAGCCCCCTGGTGTGCTGCTGGTGCGATCTCTAGGAGGAGAAACAGGTTCGGACTTGATGTGCAGGCTTTGAGCAGAGGGCAGGGACAGATTTGAACCCTGACATAAGTGAGAGCTAGAGCAATTTCTGTTGAGAGGAAAGGAAACGCAAGAGGTTACAGAGTTACAGAGCAAGAAACAAAGTGAATTTCAAGTCAGTCACGCAACAAGGCACGCATACCCCCCACACACTCCTAACTTTAAAACAAGGAGGGGGTCATATCTGTCATCGTATGAAGACAAGTCATCTTGTGATGATTCCATCGTGCATTTCAAAACAACACCTCAGATTAAGTTTGGGTTGCTCACCCTAGCTGGCCGAGGGCTGAATGCTGCATGTTCTGAAGGTGTTGCTGTTGCCACCCGCTCATTGAGCCGAGGTGAAGGGAGCTGCCACTGTTGAAGCCGGACAGGGATGAAAGGTCTGCGCTGTTCAGGGAGTACTCTGGGTGAAGAAAAGAAAGTCGATTAAAGACTGTTCATTAAAGTGAAAGCAAAGTTACAAAGAGGGGGCAGCTCTGGTAGAGGCCGCAGTGACGTTGCATGAATGTGAGCGGTGGTTGATGAGACTGTAGCACCCTCTGCTGTGCAACTGTGGTATTACTAGTAGAATTTTAACACTGTTTAAAAACAAAAACACCTCAAGTGAGCAAAGTTTATTTTATTTATTTACTTTCTCACTTATTCAGAACATTTAAATCGATTCAATTTTCTGACTGGGGTTTCAGAAAGAATAACTTATGTTGTATTTTAGTGTCTGAAAATATTTAAAGTAATAAGGATAAAGTTTTAACAGACAAATAAGCCTTATCTGTTCGGGATAACAGTCTTTGATACGCACCTGTACCATATGAAGTGGAGATGGCAGATGGGTATCCGCCCATGCCTTGTCCTGGCAGAGTGGGAGTTGCTACTGATACCACAGGGGTGGCCAATGACTGAGCAGATTGAGAGTTGTTTATTCTCTGGTTCTGTGACAAAGAAAGAAAAGACGGAAGGGAAAAAAAAAGAGATGGGAGACGTTTGAGAACATGAAATCAACTCCCAGACAAAACAAACAAACAGGAGGAAAAAAAACTGCAATAAAAACCCAGAAAAGTTTCTTTCATCTCTTTGTTCCACTCAACAGATGCTGGGAGAATGAATGTGATGCCAACTTCAGGGGGAAATTAATCACTTGACACGCGGCACCGCTGAACCCTGCCAACCCTATCATTTACCACCCTTTCCAAGGGCCCTCTGTCGCTATAGTAACACCATCGGTCTCCACAGCAACGCAGGGGTAGCAACGGCAAGGGAGAGGCACTTTACTGTAGCAGAGGGGAAGGTTTGGCAGGAAATAATAGAGGTTTGATGCAAAATGAAAGTGTGCTCTTTTGTTGCCCTTCATATTTACAGTCTGAGGAATAAAAGCAGCGAGATGTGCGTGTGAAGAGAGGGAGTCTATGTGCGTTTAAAAAGAAAAGAAACAAGAAAAAGGAGTAGTAGATACCCAGGGACTGAAGCAGAAAAAGAGGCCAGGCTGCTGTTACTCTCCTGCACCACTGGATGGCACTATTTACCCTCACAAACGGCTTAGATAGCACTAAAGGCTTCAGCAGAGTCAGCAACTATAAAGGTAAAAGTATTCTAGAGTCAAGATTTTTTCATATCTCTGTATCCAGCTGTTAAAATCTAACAGTGTGAGGAAAAGCTCACTGAATATTAAGGGGCTGGAAATTGAGTTTTATATCATCAAGTGTGGGGCTAAAACCTTTTTTTTTAAAGTTTCAAACTCCTGATGCCACTTCTAGGGTTGTTTTGATCTATAAATCTAAGTTTCAGTCTGACTTACCAAGAGCAGATCGACATCCTCGGACTGAGGCATTAAAAGGGGAGGGTGATAAATTCAAATTAGTGAGTGTAAGTGAGAATAGACTAGCGGTGTCTAACTTTAGATCTAGGTATGAAACTGCTGCAGGACGGAGCCAATGGAAAAAGAGTTGACAAAAGGACTATTACAACTACACTAACTTAACACACCTTATTAGAAAGACAGGAGAAAGAACTATCAGGGCCTACAGGAGCCAATGTGTATCTGTCAGTATATCAGACTTGGGCCAAAAGTGAACTGTAGTTTTAGTTTTGGCTGCCAAAGCGCAGAAGAAAACAGCCAAACAGTCACATGCGTTTAGTCAAGCTCATCATAAAGATAACCGCATCAACCCAAGTCTGATATGAAGAGATGAAAGCTGCAGAGAGCATGAAAGGAAACAAACAACAGCAAGCGAAGCGTAGACAGAAAAAACATAGAGTAGGGAAAGAACTAGGAAAGGATTAGCAATGACATCAAATAGAGGGAGAGTGAGACAGAAAACTCACAATGGAGGGCATGTTGTTCTTGGCACCAGGGGGGATGAGCACACGTAGGTCAGGTTTGCGATTGTTCATGCCTAGGTTCATGGGTGGGGGGGATTTAGCCTGCATGTTCTTGTTCATTCCACCTGGAGAGACCAGCAGACCTGGAGAGTTGCGGTGATTCCCGTATCCATTTCCTATGAGAGGGAGAAGAGAGACAGAAAGGCATGAAGTAAAGAAGCATTCAGAGATGAATCAAAGACACAACTTCATGTTGTTGAATCTGTCAAGCTGAGTAGTAGGAAGTGTTAAATGAAAATTCTACACGCTAATGAAGCAAATACTCAAACAGACAAACTGTCTCTGCCCTGAGGACTGCCACTGTTTGCTTGGCAGTCGTATAACGCGCGCTCTCTCATGCACCTCGCCCTCCACCTCTGTCACTGTCAGTTAAGGCTACATGTGCCCTGCAACAGCCAGTGAATCGTGTAAAAACATCTAATTACGGGTAGCAGAGCCACAGAGAGGGATGGGACCCGTCATTTGTCCATCAGAGCTAAACATGTGCGGTTCTTCCAGACAAAGACCCCGCTTTGGGTTTGCCACCAGATCTGAATTCTCTGTAAGTATGGAGGGCTGAGAGCAGCACCCGTTTCCTCCTCAAAAACCAGTGGGGCCAAATCCCAGCAGCAACATCATTAAAAAAAAAAAAAAACGGAGAGTGGAGCATTCTTGCAAGCAACATAGTCTTTGTTTCTAACCCAATCCCGCAGGCTGTTTTTCCCCTTACTTCTCCTTCCTTCTTCCAAAGGGTAGAACACAGGGCACTGTGTGGACGTTCCCACTTGAAAGAAGGGCAGGAATTATACGTTAGACATAAATGAATTTCCTAATCATATACTCCGGGGGAAAATGAGTCGCAGATGTCTTCCTGGGCAATTTCCCTCGCTGATCTTTGTTTAATTTGAGAGCGAGGTTTTTGTTGTTTGGAAATGAAAAGTCTCAAAAGCTCAATTTGAACAATCTGAAGAGTAAACGACCGCTAGCGGTGAGAGAAAATGAGGCCGTCTGACAGAAAACGAGAAAAACAGTGTGTGTCACTGCTGGTGTGTGTGTGAGTGTGTGTGCCTCTGCTGGCATGTGTGATGTGTGAGCTTGTTGGAGTGATGTTAACAACACAGACTGTGTGCGCTTGTACGTTTTGCTTAATGCAATTTTGTGGATGATTTTTCATAAGCGTTTTTTTTTTTTTTTTACCCGAGCACTGTAGGACTTTACATTTCGCGAGACATGCTGTATGGCTGCTTATGCATATGGATGCACGTGTGTGTTTTGTATTGGACCCTCTTAGTTCCAGTGTCAATCTCACATTAGCGAAAAAGAGGCAGCTGCCTCTTCAGTTTTCCCGCTCTCTCATTCTCATGCTCGGCCCTTTGTGAGATTGAGTGGGTGCATGTGGAGATAGATGAATGAGACCTCACACACACACGTAAAACACACACACACACGCCAAGCACACACTTTGGTAAATAACCCAGCAGGAAGTACATCAGTGTTTCTGTACAGATGAATAAAAAAAGAGATGGAGCGATGCAGAGGCATTAATACACACTTTGGTCAAGATGACACGGACTTCATCTTGGGGACAGTTAATCAGACATCTGTGTATTGCCGCCCTGTGGAGATGGCTGCCGTCCAGTCAATTATCTGCAGGAGGAGTATGATCGTGAGTGGCATAGGCCGGTCCTTCAGCACTTCAAAAGAAAAATCATTAGCTAATTAAGCTAATGAAGCAAGAGCTGGGACTCAAATCTTCCTATTCTGCAGCCTGATCAGCCTGATTGTAGTACAGCGGCATTCAATAGCGGCACATTGATTTCACGTTTTATCGACTGAAGACATGATATCAAGAGTTCATTTCCACTCTACTCCTCTTATGTGTCTCTGCACGGTCGAGCAAGCGTCAACCGTTTAGAGGAAGTACCAAAATTAAACATAGCCCAGCCTGGAGTATGCTTTGCTACTGTACAGAAAGTCACACTGATCTGATCTGAGATTCAGATAAAACAGCTATGTGGAGACAGCTGAGGTCAACGCTGAAGGGTTGCTATCTGTCTTTGTAGGTGCCATGGTTTTAACCCTGCGCTCTTCATGATGCGTGTGTCTAAGACCCCCCCCTTCCCCATCCCTAAAACAAAGTGTGCATTCTCTCACACTCACCGACCCACACAGACACACACACACGCACACACACTCACAGAAAGGAGAGAGGTGTGGTTACACCCATGTACATTTAACTGTTACTGAACAAATTTCTAATGTCCTGTTGTGGTCTAACAGGCGCGCTCCGTTCTATTCCCCATACACACACACTCTTCCGTTGCGGTTTGGCCTAATGTGCATTCAACCCTGAATTCTCCAACTGAACTAAGGTGACACACTCAGCTCACAGCTCGTACAGTTGGTGTGAGGAGCTGCCAAAGATTGAGACACACACACACACACACGGTTTGATCTGCTGTTGTCAGTTTCTTTTTAGCTTTCGTTTCTGTGGGATTTGGACCAACAATATCTGAAAGATGTTCAGTTTAAGTAACTCGTTTGAAAAGATTACGGGTGTCTAACCGATGTGTGAGGTGAGTTTCTTGTTAGTTTCTGCTGATCGGAGTATACGTGACGGCTACGTGATCACACAAATAGACCTGAGCGGTTTTTACGTGCTGCGGCCTCGGTCTGGAGCTCCCTTCATCAGCTCTCTTTCACTTTTTCTAAACCTATCCACACCTCACACTCTCCTACCCAGCAAAGGAGAACAAATATGGTGTAGAAAGAGCAAAAGCAGACAAGCACAAATACAGCTTCCACAATATTTCCACAGAAGAAGCACGGTGACTCAACCTTTCATGCCCTGCTTGCGTTGGTCCAAAATTTACTTTTCAGGCCACATTTGATTCCAGCTTCACCCTTATGTCTGGGTTTTCATGTGGCAAAGATGCTACGATCGATAATCTGTACATCTAAATCAAATTTACAGGCCAGTTCTGAAGAATGAGCTCGAGATATTTTAGAAACAACGAGCATCTGTATGCTGCCGCTGCTGCATCACAGAAGGAACTCTCAGGCTTTCTACATGGTAAGATGAGGACAAGGTACACTTGGAGTTCAAGTAGTTTAAGTCATGAAAGCACTGTTGCTAGGCAACTAACAACACAAACGAACTGAAATCCTGTAGGCTGTGGAACTTTTTTCCATTTGCAATTTTCTGTCACAACTTATGAATTCGAAGTCAAGAAAATTGTCATCACGTCTTCATGGGGGAGGCTGCTGTCACAAACATGTACCTGTGACTCCAGCCTGTTAAATTTACACTTAAAATGAGCCCCAATGATTTATTTCCAGTATCACCTTCATTTTAGCTTATTTGGACATGGCGTAAATAATCTTTTGATTTCTGTCTTGTGAAATTACAGCTTCTTATAGATTGAGAACATGGAATAATACTAAGATCCAACCAAAACCTGCAATTTGTCCAAACTACAGACATCAGGTTGAGTCAACTCTTTGTGGATTCAGCCTTAAAACTTCCTTTTGGACCTTGGAGCCACGACATCATTTTACACCTTTATGTAAGGCCGCTAAAAACACTCATACCCAGTCCAGACAGCTCCTTGAACAATCAGCTTATCAAACCTCATGGTGAGGGGAAGAGGAACATTAGACTGGTCTTTGTGGTTCCACCTCACACTGACTCACTAAGAGGAACATCATTAAAATGGCTGACCAAGTTCACAGAACACTTCCATCTGTGTTCGCCTACTTCTTCTCCTTAGCACACATGCTTCTACCATCAGTAGATATTCATCACTGGGGTTCCCCCCCCCCCCACACACACACACACACACACACACACTCACACACACTTTCTGCCCCCCTTTCGATGAGATTTAAGAGAGCTTTGAATGGAATCTTTTAGCTCCCACATGACTCTCTCTCCACGTCGTGTTTTTTGCCGCTGCTGAGCGACACACAGCTCGCACAGAGCGCCTCTGTTCCTCCACCGCGGTGACACAAAGGCTACATTTGAAGCACGCTCTGCAGCACGCCGTCCATGGAACACACGCCACAACAAATGGTCCTGTTGTGTGTGTGATGAGTGACCAGACAGAGAAACCAGGCATTGACCCCTTGTGATGGAGCCCTTGAGGCCAGACTAGGCTGCCCAGCTGTGCCCCCAATGCCCCCCACCCCACCCTCCATTTTTTACACTCGGCACTGTACGCTTGGGCTGTAAAATTTAACCCTTTAAAAAAAAAAAAAAGTCTCTTTGCCATGAACGTGGGCCTAATATGTCCTCAGGGACAATTCCACTGACACACAGAAGCTAACACACTAGATTTCTTACACATGTTGCTCAGACGCTGGTTTCTCCACTCTCCACAGGATGATTACGGCATGGTGAGCCACTCCAAACATTGAATTAATTTGATTGCAGACATATGATAGCAGTTAAGTATGTCGAGAGTTTGTGTAGGGGAAACAACTTGGTCCACATTAGAGCTATGGGTGTTGTCATTTCGGATTTAAACGCAAAGAGGGTGTAGAAAGAGATTCATCTTATCATGAAGAGGACTTTCACCATTAATCCACTCTGACTGCCTGTCAGTCAGTCTGCAGTTTCAGTATAAAGTGCAATTATGTTCTGTTTCCCCACTTGTTGTAGCGTTTTATAGCGAAACGCAGGCAGGATGTGTCACAGCCTCGACGCTGCGCAAACATTCCCATATGAACTCCGCGACCACTTACATCAACACATCATGGACAAAATCTCCTCTTGGGTTTGGGTTACTATTAGTCATGCATTTTACAGCCCCGAGTGGGTGAGTGGGTGTCATTTATGTGCGTGTGTGTGAGTGTGGGTGTTTGTGTGTGTTAGCAGACAACTATATGCGAGGAGAGGAGGGCATTTTCTTACCAGCACTGGTGCCTGCGCCAGTGGTGAGGTCAGCACCCATGAGGCCACCTGAAAGATGAAAGAGAGAAGAGGAGAGCAAAAGAGTGAAAACCATTAGAGGATAGACGCCCACGTTAACATCCACTCTGCCTCCCGTCTCTTACCTCGCTGGCCTTTCAGAAGCTAACTCAATTTAATCACAATCCACTGTGCATGTGTCATACGTGTACTGATACTAGAAGAAACACTGCTTCCCACTCAAACCTTAACACTTTTGAGCAACTGGACACATAAGCTGCTGTCCAAGAAAAATGGCACATTATTATTTTTAAGCCATGTGAGGTGGAGGAGTGGGAGGGTCTGTGCGGTTTGGTGTGGATGCTGCGAGCGAGCTCATATTTAGTTTGTGCTGGCGCTAGCAGCATCCAGTCGTAATGACAGGGTGAGGGTGTGGGCAGCAGCCTTCAGACCAGAGGGACAGAAAAAGGACTCTGGACAACAATAACAAACCAACAGACCTGATTGGCTTATGTCACTGTCAGCTCAATGCCTGTACAGAAAGGCCGGACTGTGGCCTGGGATTTTTAATAAGATATTAAATCATCATTTTTGCTTTGATCTTAATACTGAACTGGCAATGTGTGGATATGAAACCGCAGCAGGACGATTATTTTAGACTCATTTTTCTAAATTTAGGAGAAATGTTGTGGGCAGTTGTCACAAAGTCGAGCGTATATACTTTCTTTTGAGTCTGATTTAACGTCATAACCTGAGTCTGAGTTTTTGACTTTCTTTTTCACTTTAGTCAGGGGTGTCCCAATACAACTTTTTTAACTCCGATAAAATACCAATATTGTAGCCTTCACTGATACCGATATTGATCTGATATTAGCACAAACTTTTACATGAGCACAAGTTTTGCACTGCAATGTCTTTTTCGGCCCTGTAATGAAAAATACTGCCACAGGGCTGACATCACTCCTACTCCTTGGTACTTTGTTAGTACACACTGTTGTTGTGATCACATGGGCTCTACATGCTCGATCCGGGTTCTGCAAGAAAGAGTCTGGAATGGACTGCCTGTATCGGAGTGCTGATATCGGAGATTTTAGATGCAGGCCGATATAATCCGATATCCGAATTTTTGCTGATATCGGACCGATATCCGATATCAATATCGTATCGGGACACCACTAACTTTAGTTCAATCACTGCTGTTTATATTTTCTAACTATTACCTAATAGTGTGTGACTGTCAATCTTGGATTACTTCTAACTAACTATTTCTAACTAATACATGGCGGCATCCAGACTATCGAAAAGCATATTGACCATGTTTTATATCGATATCGAGGGAAATTAATTTTCGATATATATCGTTATCGTTTTATCGCCCAGCCCTAGTTCTGGTCTTCATGTAAGTATCAGCTGAACTGAATTATTAACCTGACTGAGTGATACACACACAGGATGAGCGGTAGACAAGATTGACAGTCGGCACGACAGCATGTACATGGGTGCATGAATGCATGTGAGGCCCTACCTGTGTTACCTGCACTGGGGGGTCTGTGAGTCACGCCGGGGGACATGCTGTTTCTCTGTAGGCCATGGTGCGCCAGTGGCAACAGGTTGTGGTTGCCTAGGGAACCGCCGGGATGGCTGTAGATGAGATTGTTCTGGTTGCTGACAGGAATGGACACAGGCATGTCATAGTTGGACGGGGGCACGGCCTGCTCGGAGAAAAAGGGGGATAAAAAGGAGACAGACACAAGTTTGATCAGACAAAAGATGCCGACTATGGCAGAGAAGTGAAAAAATAAGTCACACAGGGTTTGAGGAAAGATTGTATTTTGGAAGAGAGAAAGAGATCAATAAGAAAAAAGTTCAAGGAAGTAAAAGAAGAAAAAATGTTGAAAGTATAAAGTGTTGCTCCAGGAGCAGTCAAACAGAGAAGAGAAAAAGGCTGGGACAACTTTAAAGAATAAATGGACAACTGACAAAAGACAGCCATGCACAAATAGATGGAAACGAGAACTAGACAGACAATACAGGCAGTGAAAGGGACTACTACACAAAAAAGAAAAGGTAAGAGCCCCAAAATCTAATCTCTGAAAAGTTAAACTCCTGTCAGGATGATAAATGAGTTGGCACCACTTTATCATTCTCACTTGATATAGCAAAGGTGGGTTACTTTGGAGACGACTGCAGCAAAATCGTCCAGTAAAGGACTCGGTTCTACCCCTGAAAAATTCTGATTTTCTTTTTCTTAAATGTGAGGCAGAAAGCTGACCCGATGTGGTCACTGTGTTCAAATTCCCTGAGTTGCATTCCTAGTTGACTGCATTTAAGAAATAAGCAGCCTATGGTTTACTGGGAACAAAGCCAATGGCATCCCACTGTTCTTCAAGAGCTAAAGATAATTCGGTCAGTCTTCACCTCACTTAAAAATACGCCTGTAGTACTTTTTTTTTCTGCAAAAGTTGCTCCATGACTGGGGAGATGTTCACATTTATTCTTCTGACACATGGAGCAAATGCAAAGTGTTTTTGAGCAGAAGAGTCCCATCAGTCGGCAGCCTCATCAGCAACATGAGCAGAGGTTAGTCCGCCGGCCCCAGGCGTCTAGTTTGTCATGTTTATTGTGTCACTTGGCTGAAGGGCTTAACCTTGGGAGTGCCCTGGAAGTGGTTGATCCTGCATGTTAGCTTTAGGAAGTAGAAAATAGGGGCCTAAATTACTGCCATGTGTCCCAGACTGCACGAGGGAGATCATCAAGCTGGTGGACGTGGATGTGGGATATGTGCTTTAGGGCTGCTTTGTCTTTCTCCATTTTTTTCTGTTTTGCTAATGCTCTTTTTTTCACAGGGTAAATATTGTTTTAAAGCACAATGATGGGTACTTTAACCATGGTTTATTGCAGGGTTTTTGCACATTCTGCTTTGACTGCAACTTTACACACCAGCAAAAAGCGGTGGATGCTTTCTTTTATAACCAGTGAGGGGCTGTCTTGAGTTGGCTTTTTTCTGTGATTTCTCCCATTTCAGATTCCTCAGTGGAGTTTTTATACCTTTTGTATATTTTCTCCCTTTATTTTCCAAAAGTAAAGGAGGTGCCTCTGTGATTTTTTTTGTACGCAATTGCTGGATGTGGGGGCCCCGTCTGTAAACTGTCCTTTAACTGGTGCCATCCTTCCTGTTTTCGTTCATCTTCCTCCTCCGCCTCTCTCCCCCTGCATGCTCCCCGCAACAGTCCCCTGCAATCCAGAGGCCCAGTGCTTGGCAGCCACCCTGACCACACACTGAACTGCCACTTGTTGTGTGCAGACCCCCCCTTCCCCTCCCCACATCCCCACCCAGCTCCTATCCCAAACCCACTCCACCCCAGCTCACCAACCCCTGCCTTGCTTCTAACCACATCTTCCCTCTCTGCTCCACGCGGCTCAGACACTACTGCTCTTCTCTGAATTACAACCATGGAATTATCTTTCTCCAGAGCGCTAACTGGTCCAATATGGTGCTTTCTGGATGATGGGCAGGCTTAGATTACACATAAAGCAGCCTTTATTTTGTGGTTTTAGGCTACTTCTATGAAATTAACACTGAAATGTAAAAATCTAGAAAGTTACGTCTTCAAATATCTTCAAAATGGGGATGTTTTTAAAGCTCTTAAGGCAAAAAGAAGAGTACTTTTAGTTTTGTTTAGTAAAACTTTTAGTCTCTTCTACTGTTTCACTGGCCAAGTGTCTGTCGGTGTTGTAGTGCATGACTGATCGTTGTGTTTTTGTGCAGGGAAAAGGAAAAACACATGCAGACCACACCTCCCCTGAGAGCCAGCGAAGGCATTATTGGTAACAGGTTCAAGGAGGGAAACTGGTAAGGTTAAAATTTGTCATGAGAGAAAGTCTGCAATTATTGTGGAGATTGCTTGCTAGTTATGGTTACAGTTATGCTAAATTAGAGGACCATCCCTCAACTGTAATCAAGCAAAATCAAAGAGGTTTAAGCACACATTGTAATTTCACTCTTGTCTTACTCTCACTCTCACGTTGTGTATTTAGTCTACAGGCAAACACTGGTGGTTAGCTGGGTTAGCTCAACAGTTGCTGGGCAGTCAGTGTTTTGTTAGCCTGTAGCACAGTGTCAACCCAGTACTTACAGGTATCTTATGGGTTTTAATCATGTGATCAAACTCCTCGTTAATCTGTTTGTATTTCTCCTCAGTGCGTGGGGTGAGGATGAGAGCAGACTCGAGCTCCGGGCTCTCGCCGCCTTTGTTCTCCTTCTTGTTCAACGCCTGCCAGGTCCCCACGACCACAGAGACGGACAGAGGGAGACACAGACGTAGGGACGAGAAGGTGACGGAAACGAAGGACGAGGACAGGGTGGACAGGTGGGAAAAAAAAGGGAAAGAAAAGGAAAGAAAGGTAAGAGGAAGGCTCGGGAATAACGACAGGTACTTACACACAGTCTCTGTCTGCTGATCATCAGATCAATGTCCTCGTTTATTTTCCTGTACTTGTCCTCAGACTCGGGGCTGTGGCCGACCGAGTCGTCTGCGTCGGGGTCTGGGCTGTCACAGCCGTTTAGGCCCTTCTTTCTCAAGGTCTGCAAACAGAGTAGTTACACAGAACAGTTGAAGGGCTGGGGATATAAACCAGGTGAAAACACTTGGGAGGGACAGATGGTTATGACTGCAAAGAGACACCTTTTTAGAATAAAACCTGCCAATCAAGGAGTATTAAAAAGGACAAAAACATTCCTCCAACAGAGTTATACCTCCATACTCTAAAAGCAAACCTAAACATGTATATCCTGTACATTCTTTTCAGTTCGTCAGAGAAATTCTTCCTCAAAAGTTCCTGAATTTCCCAATGAATCATTTTGGCAGGCTCTATTCTGACCTCCATCAACAAGGGTGAAATGAGGATACACCAGTCGCTTCCTGAAGAAGCACAAATACATATAAACACCTAAGATGGCACAAAGGACTCGATCACAACCAATAACAAGACATAACGGATGATCAAACTCTTGTCCAGATGACAAATCATGGGACCTTCAAACCCCATAATTACCTCGAAAGGAAAAAAAGTAATAAGAGTGAAAGATATTCCATGACCATGATCATTTCTGGGCTATGGAATAGAGTCTAAGAACACCGGAGGAGTTCATGACTGCGGTGTGTCTGCTATTAAATGTGGCAGTTTCTGTTTTGGCCACCTGATGGCCACCTGCCCCCATCGGAGTGGCCAGAAATCAGCCGCCTCTTAACTCGCTCACCACTCCCTCTGAGCGGCAGAGAGACACACAAAGAGAGTTGGGGGGGGAGAGAGAGAGAGAGAGCCTGTGTCCTTCCTTAGATATTGTTGACAACCATAACAACAGGGATAAGTTTCAGAGCGCATTAACCATGTGTGATAGCACAGCGGTCTGTTTGCTTGAGCGAGCAGGCACGAAGCGCTAGGTGCTGTGTTCGTTTGCTCCGTAAAGTGAGAGACAAAGACAGAGCCGGAGAGAAGAAAAAGTACAGTAGCTGACAGTTAGAGATCTCATCAAAGGCACCCCCCCCTCCTCCTCCTCCTCTTCTTCTCCTCACCGCTCCCTCCTCCTCCTCCCCTCTCTCTCTCCTCCTGGCTTTAATAAAGGGAGATTAGTCTACAGGAGGAATATCACGGGCCTGCTCCTGTCTGTGCAGTCGTCGCTTCACACTGCGCTCTCCTACTTTCATCTGAAGCTCCATATCAGACAGACGTAATTAAATTTACTTTAGCACACCCTGTATTTGATGCTGATCAAGTGTGTGTCTCTCTTTCTCTCTCATTCTCTCTCTCTCTTCCTCTTTCTCCTTATATGTTGTAGTGTGTGTGTGTGTGTGCGTGTCGGCTGGTGTGAGTGTCTGTGTGTGGGAGGGGAAAGAGGGGAATGAGTCTGTGTTTGTGTGTGCATGTGTGGGTGTGCGAGAGTGGGTGTAAGCGTTGAGGAAAAAAAAAAAAAATAAGAGACCGAGCAGGAGAAAAGGAGGAAGATAGATGCTAAGATAAGTTAATCTCAGTGAACTTCTTCCTCTGGTTTTTTTGTTTTTCTCTCCGTCAGTACTCGCTCAAGGAAGCTAGCTACTCCATCACAACCAGCAGCAGGAGTGACAGGGAGCGATCTGCCTGCTTAGAAAACAAATAACAATCCAGTCATCTCTCATGTCAGCACAACAAAGGCCTGTTTTGAGTGTGGTTTTAGTGAACTTAGAGGGCTCCTTTTGTGTGTGTGATAACTGTTTGATTCCTGAGGCGTCTCGTGGCGAGGCAGCTACTGTAAGCGTGTCAACATTCGCTGGCTCTCCCTCCTCTCTCTCTCTCTCTCTGAATCCTCACTTGGCCCCCAGAGTGGAAATCTGGAATTCTGTATTTGAAAGCATCTCTCACATCTTTGACAGTCTTCAGGAAATCACACCAAACAAATCAGCTGCGGCGATGCAGGAGATCTGACTTCTAACAGACCCACAGTGAATCAGGCACTCTTGCTCGATCTGAGGTGGATGAGTCAAGAGAACAAAGGGGTTGCAGAGGTTTAGCACGCTGTCTTTTTTGGCAAAGGCGTGAGATGTAAAAACTTTTTTGCTGTTTCTTTTGTGGAGTTTCATTCCGGCCTTGGCGATGCATCATATCGAGCTGACAAGAGCTGAACCGCTGGCCTTTTCCCGTTCACGGGAGAATGCATGCAAGAAAAAAAGAAGTTTTCTTCCTACTTGCATGGATTTCTACCTCCTACCATCAACCGGCTCAGAGAGCAGGAGAGATTCACTTCCATTCTTGGAAGAGCAGAGCGAGGGCTGGGGTAAAGGTGACACCCATATGGGGTAACTGAGCTGGTGGTCTTGAAGGGGGGTTGGGTAATGATTGCAATTGGTGTTGATGGGGTGCAGGGAGCCAGGGTGTTACATGACTTTGAAGCATGTGGGCCAGGCTTAGCTTCCCAACAAGGCTCAGCACATTGAGGGTGCGGCACAAGGGCGGTATGCTGCTCATCCCAGTTATGCCCACCTGTTTACAGACTTCACACCTGTTGCCAAAAGCTGACACACAACCCCACGACCAATCAGAGCCCTTAGAGCGCTTACACAGCCATAGAAGGATGTCAGACTCTTGCGTCCCCGCCGCCCCGCTCTCATCACCCTATATATTTTTTCCTTCTCCGTTAGCCCACCGCTTTATCTACGTCTGCATTTCATGGCTCCGCTCCATTCAGCGTCATCGGCTGCTCCAAACAAGGCTTTAAGTCTGTTCGTCGGTGACACCATCACTGTATAAGATACATCAAAGATGTATATTTCAAATTGGCTGAGAGAATAATGATCATGGGGAAAGAGCTGCCACCGCTACATCCTGAAAGAAAGAGGAGTGTGAGCACGAGGAGCTGCCATGGAAATGGAGTCTGTGGGGAATATGCTAATAATCTGAGGATTAAACAAAAACACTTTGGTGCAGCTCACGTATGGCAGCACGTGGATGTACACAGCATTCACCCAAATAATTACTCTTATAATAAAATTTATTTTAATTTATCAGATTCTGCAATGAGAGCTCATTATTTTACGCTGATGTACAGGGGAGACCTCTTATGGAGTGTATGGACATTTTTACTATCCTTAGAAGTCGGTGATTTTTTTTTTTATCATATCTTTTTCTGTTCCATTTTTGAAATAGTCAAAAACCAAACAAAGCCAGCTTAAGAAAAGAAAAACAATGTCAAAAATATTGAAATGCCAGAAATTGCTGACATTGTTTCTTGAAAGAGGAGGATCTGTGATTAAAAGTGAAGATACAGAATCCATAGAGCTACCAATGTGTGAAGAGCAGACTTACATGCTACAGTAAATGTTCAAGATCAGAGAGAGAAAAAGTAAGAGACAGAGCGGAGAGACTCCAAAAAGCTGTGTATGCTAGCTTGGCTCTGTGTCTTTCTCTCTGTGGCCCCTTTGGAGGCTTGCTCCTAATTAAACTCCTTCTTCATGATGCTCCCTCATGACTCGACTTGTCACAGGGCCTGTGTGAGGCAGTCGCAGCATAGACACGGCGTCCTACATACTTAGACACCCGTCTCATCGGTACCCTTCAGCTCTGCGCCCTCAGCTAGGCTGGCCTAGAGTAGGACGAGATAACCTGGGTTAGACAACTATTGAGGGGGGTTAAACGAGGCGACCTGGGCCCGAAAACATTTTCTCTTCCTTTCTATTAATAAATCTGTGACTAATTTGTTTTTGTGATGTTTTAACTGTAGAAAAAATTCAGAGCTTTTCTCATTTTGAGGTGTAGGGTGTTAACTTGATGTAGCTGTTGAGAAAAACAGTGGAGGATATTTGGGTGCGAATTCTGGGTGGCCCCAGGGGGTCTACAAGGAACAGCTGACGCCTGCCCAGAGCCCCTGCCATACCAGGATCCGTCTGCTCGGCATTCTGCCACCCTGCTCACCCTCTCTATCTGTCTTTCTGCCCCATCTTTCTGTCTCAGTCTGCTGCTCAGTCTGTCTCTGTCTACCAATCTCCATCTTCCTCTACAGTGATCCCACGTCTCAACAGAAGCTTAGACCAAACGTTGTTGTCGTGATGGCAGCGTCTTTAATTCTAATAGACTCTGACCAGTTGATGTGTTTGTGGAGATCCTCATGTCTGACCGTTCCCCTCTGTAGTTATTTTGGCACTGGCTGAAGGCTACGACACATTCAATATTGTGTTTATGGTCATTGGCGACAGCCAGGCCAGTAAATGTTTCTCAATGTCTTCAACCCAATGGCTGAGAGCAACAGTGCGAAACCCCTCTACAAAAACAGCCAGTTTATAATAGGCCTTTTATATCTTTGCCAGCACTGCATGGTCTTCAGAATACACAAACTATTGTAAGCAAAACCAAGACTTATGAAAGAAGATAGTATAGTACCAGAGACAAAAGTTTCCCCCAATAAATGCTGGCATTTATAGTTCACAAGTTTGTTTCAGCAGTTGATGGAAAACAAGCCGCTAGAAGACAGCCACGATATAAAAACATTAATAACTGCAGCACTTATGGTTCATCATGTTTGCTGAGCTGTTAAAATACAATAAAGGGTCAGTGGAATAAACAGCTTTGTCTAGCATGGACTTGTTCTGTGTTTGACATGATGTTAAATATGATAGAGGGCAGATTGATTCGCTCTATCAGAAAAGGTGTTGAAAAAGAGTAAAAGAGGGGAGAAACCTCGGCCCTAACACGTATAAAAGAATAAGTGGTCATGCAGTCAACCCGCTGTGGATGAAGACCCTCAGCACCACTGCGAGTGGGTGAGCTGGCGACATCGATGGGGTAATAGCATGTTTGAGATGTGCTCTCATTCTCCTCATTTTGACTTCTTTCTACCGCCTGTCTGGCTCACTCATACTTGCTCTCATTTTTTGTCTCTCCCCCCCTCACTCTCTCTGTCTCTCTCGCTCACACTTTCTTTCTCTCTGCCTTTCCGAGTGGAGGGAACATCAGAGGGATCAGGCTGGCTTAGCTTATTGGAAGCAGATGGCAGACCAAAGGCAAGAAGGCCACAGTTTCATGAAGCGTGGTTTGAACATGCCAGGACCATGTCGAGGGGCATGCCCATGGATGATGGCTGCGTGGTGTGTCTGAGCGCATGTGTGTGTGTGAGTGTGAGTGAGTGAGTGAGTGGAGTACTTGGAGTAGATTTTTGTAGGTTACCAATCTGAGGAATGGGACCCCAAATCACAGCCTGTCCCTGCCTACTTTTTTTCACTCATCTGTGCATCCCTGTGCACTGGTTGAAAAACGATTGCATCAATGACTTTTCAATGATTTGGTTGGCTTTGAAGCCCCTCACTCCTGGTGCCCTGCTGCACTATAATCAGGAATCAAAGGCTGGCATCTGGGATCCATCATCCCTGGGCAAAGTGGTTGTGTGTTCAGTTATAACGCGGGCTTAATGCGTCATTACTAGCTGTCTAATGATTACTAGATTTTGGTTAAAATGAAAAAGCGGAGGGAGAAATCGAGGAAAAAATACAGAAAAGTGTTTGGAGAAAGCAGAGGGACAAAAGCGAGACACAAAGGGGTGTTATGCGCCACAAGGTTCCTCCACATTTCTGCAAACATTGTGATAATGCATGTGCTAAAATCACCATTAAGTCGAGCGGGCTGCAGACGAGAGCCCACTCACAGACCGACAGTGTTAGCTAGCCAGGACGCAGCACAATACCAGATGGTGCAGTGTTTCCCATATGGAATAGACAAACACTAAGCACATGTCAGAATCCAACACTGTTTGCTACAGCAGCATCCCAGCCCCGGGAACAAAGTGGTCATTCAGACTAGTCACTACACTGTATAATTACCCAGATAGACATTATGAGACACAATGCCAGCTCAGTGAAACTGAATAAAGAGGGCACTTATGTCTACACCCTCGACCTAACCATCTTTCATCCTGTCTACACTCTGGTTGCATAATACAGCTCTATTCAAATCAGAGAAATGCCAATGTGTCTATATGTGCTTCTGACTTAACATACAAATCAATTCGACAAGGAGGAACTGCGTGTCAAACACTCTGCTTCTTGCTTTTAAATGCCACATGAGCAGTTTGTTTAATGTTACGCATGTCATTATGTGACTGAACTGCATCATTGGGACTCATTACATGCTTCATGCTAGGATCAAGTTTGAACAAAGTCACAGATTCAACAAACTTGAGTTTATTAAGGGTGGCAAAACTTCGAGTCCCCCCTCCAGCTATCCTCTAGTCCTTCTTTGTCCCCCCCCACCAATCATCACTTATCGTCTTTTGTCTCTCTGTCTCTTATCGTGTGGTGCCACAGCAGGAAAAGGGACCCTGAGGGAGGCCTTGAGTAACAATGACCAGCAGGGTGACCTCTATACTGTGACCCTGAGTTTCCACACCCTGTCCAAAGCAGCAGCAGCCACCAGGCCTGTGGAGGGGGGGGGGGGGACTGAGACTGGAAAGGGGGGGCTCAAGCTAGGGCAGGGAATGCCATCTATAAAAATAGCTCTTCATTATTCTGAATTTTCCACAAATAGTTTCAAAGAACAAGGCATCATTTCATCTTAATGGCTGGCGTGAATTGTTCTGGGCCGTGTAGTGGAAAAGCCTCGCCTCTTGGCCTCAGAAGTGGCCTGCCTTTTTTTGCCGCTCCACACCACAGGGACCACATATTGGCACATTTCAAACAAGTCTATTTTTAAAAACCTTCTTCTTGTTGTTGTGGGAGTACCTCAGACTTCCGCTTCAGCATATTGACCTTAAAAAACACCTCTGACTGGGATCCAAGTGCTACTTAGTTTCTCGTCTGAGGTTCTGCTTTTCTGGGCAGCAGGCGTCTGATGTGGAATAAAATGCTCAGCCTTTAGATCATGTACATTATCTGTCATCTTGCTTTCAGTCTCTCTTAAAAAGTGGAAGCGGCGTAAAGTCTATAAAATAGGAACTCAGTAAACTTGCTCTCTTTATGTCTGAGGCTGGCGCCGGAGACAGATGTGTGCCAGTCTTAAAGGAGTCTAAGCTTGCTCATATGTGCTTTGTGTGTACTTCTCTTCTATTCACACCAAGAATAAAACTTTCCTAAAATGTATTTTTCTGTAATCAAGCAAAAAAGTTTGAAAAGAACCAGTCAGAAAAGCTCGGTTTGGTAAAGTCAAGGCAGTGAACAGTGAGTGGATTAAAGAATAGAGGTCTTTCTCTGAGAGATCAAATGTTTATGGGCACTCCAGGGTCTCAAACCGATGGTCTTGTGCATGTGGTCGCCGAGGGCAACTCTTCACGGTTGATCCTCCGAAACAGAGAGAGGGATAGAGAAAAACGGAGGCTGAATGAGTAGCCTGACACTTTGCTTACTCACTGCTCAGTTACAAAAACAACCACCACCCACCCTGTTTCAAACAAAACGAGGGGAGGGGGCAGAGAGAGAGAAAGAGAGAGAAAGAGAGAGAAGGAGAGAGAGAGAGAGATTCCATGCCTATTCTTCTACCCTCTCCCAGCAAGGACCGCCAGCAAGGCGACTATTTTTAGCCTCACCACACGCTATTTTTAGACTACTTTTGAGGCATTTATTTGAGAAAGAGTACATCAAATACAAGAGTGTGATGTCGGTGGGTGTTTTGGGGGCGGCACTTTATTTTGACCATCTTACAAACTGGTTTTTATGTGGTGAGCTGAGTTACAGTGAGGAAAAAGTAGTGGGCAAAAACGGGTACATACAGAGAAAAACACGGATAAGTATTTCTACCGTCAGCACTTTGTCTTACCGCCCTTTTTCTATGCGTTTGAATAAAAACACTGTAAGTTTTGAATGCAAACCAAAGAGAGGGAACGGGCAGGGAAAGTAGGAGGACACAGGAATGCCTCTTTAGGTGGGATTAAGTACACTTAGATATTCATACAACAAGTGGTCGTTTGCTTAATTTCAACCAACCTCTGACCTTAAGAGAAAACTATACGATTTTGTTTTTTTAATCTTTGTATTTAGTCGATTCCACGCCAGCTTTTAACATCTTTCTACTCCAACTTTTGTATTTTTAAGATGTGCTGCTGCATGTTTCCAGTCCTTCATCAAAGTCTTTGTTTTATCAACTTACTGCACGCTTACCTTGCCAATGTCACAGGGTTAATTTACTTAGCAAGTCAAAGCAGCTTCGCACTTTAATCCTCAGCTCACCAGGAAAAACAAGCCAATCTCTTGGCCACTAGTAAACACTGAAGCACTGAGATTGCTGTGACAGCCCCACCCCTTTACCTCTGTCCCATGTTGCACCACATGTACCCTACTCTCAAAACCCTCCAAGCGAGCCCACTCGAAATCACCGCGGACATGTGTAAGACAGGAGATACGATACCACTCTGTTATTTCTCTTGGATGCTGACAAGATGTTGAAGTCGCAGAGGAGAAATTAGCGAAGGCATTCAAGCCGGAGTAATTATACAGTATTTGAGAGCCATGAGAAGAAGTCATTCAGTGAGCTGATCAGCACAGAAAACTCCTTAAGGCTAATGTTCTCCATGCTGTTTAGAAACCAAATAAGCACACAGAATAGCACACATGCTGGAAAATATTTTCACAAGAGTGAGGCAGAACATGAGCACACTGGCACTTCAGAGAGGGGATCACATGTCCTGTTGACTATGAGAAATCAGAAAGATGTGGTTGAATTAATAAAGAAGGGACTTTTTTAAGGTAAATGGTCCTAAAAATCAAACAAATCCGACTCTGTCGTGATTAAAATCTGTGGAAAATTCTCTGAAATGTTTTGCAAAGCTGCTACTTTACCCGTTTTTTTTTTCCCCTTTTTGCTATCTCTAAGACATACCTGCTCAATTTACTTTCTTTTAACATTTCTTCATTTCCACCTATCTTCTCCCACCTCCTCTACTTCCCCTCCCTCTTACCACCCAGTGGACTGTCACTGGGCTGAAATCACACCTGTGCTTCTCACACATCTCGGCACACGGGTGAAACATACACAGGGTGAAACATGGTGAGGGAGCTTTGCTGAATCTCATTAGCCAAGCGGGTAGTCATTAACAGAATGACCTTTGGAAATAATTACCAGCCTTCCTCCCTCTCCATCCCTCTTTCCCTCCCTCCCTCCCTCCCTCCTTCTCTTCTCGTCTTGCACTCATCCATCCCTCTGTCTCTCCCCTAACTCCCCCACTCTCTTATTCAATAATACTTTTGGGTGAGGACCGAGGGAGAGAGAAAGGAGGAAAGAAATCAGATGAAGAAAAGGTGGGGAGGCGGATCCCCCGCTGCTGCTGTTTAAGATTACAGGGTGAGCTGAACTTTCAGATTAGGTTAATCTGCTGGAAATGGGATTGGCTAACGGCCTTTCCTCTGGCAGGCAGGTATGCGAGCAGGCAGGCAGGTCAGCTCAGTACCAGGAGCCATGTGCTGTTCCATGTGATACTTCAGCCAATGGCATCGGCGTGTGCTGTGCTGGCTGAGGTCATCACAATGCCGTCAGCTCTGCGGGGTTCAAGCCAATTGTCACCAGTCTATACACACGCATACACCCATGCAGGGCGGAAACACTTACTAAAGCCAGAAACACCTTTTATGTGAGCGCGTATATGCAAAATAGTTCCTACTGTAACTGCACAAGCAGAACATGTGAATATAAAAGCATCTCTCCCTCCTTCTGTTGGGGTATTTGCAAGCATTTAGGGGATATAGCTCCCTATCACAGCTCCCTCACTATCCCTTTAGTTGTTTCACAAACCTGTGTTCTTTGTTTCAATGAGGGGAAAACAAATATATTGTGGAACAGGGATTTGGCACAGCCCAAGAGTGTTGTTGGATTTGGGGGCCATTCAATCACAGCCAGAACCAGCCAACGCTGCTTAGGTTTTTGGGCTTGTTCTGCAATCATGGGGAGGGAGGGGGGGAGAAGAGGGGGGGTGAAAGAAAGGACTCTTTCATGTGCTATTGCAATTAACAACCCCCACACTGGTATAATAAATCACCAATAAGAACTCGGAGTGATTGTTCTTCTGCAGGACTAAAAAAGAGAGAGAGGAAAGAAAAGGAAGAGATGGATCTTTTCTCTTGTCATTTCCCAACATGGCTTCTAATGCTGTTCACATGTCCAGGAAACTGACCTGGCAGATATCAAGTATAGGAAATCTATCTGCGTGTTGGACTGTTTTATCTGGAGCCAGACTCGGAGTGTACTGTAGACCTGCCAGGATGACACAGCTCAGACATCCAGCGATGGAGGGTCTGCCTCTGCCTGGATGGGCTCGGATATCTTTTTAAACAATTAGTATTAATTATGTGGACTGCCTCACTTGTTAAACAGCTGATGATACTGTATACATCTTCTATGAAAGTCTCCTGAGGTAGTCTCAGTGAGTTTAGATGTCCTCTGCGTTGAAAGCATGGCCCTCAGTTTGATTCAAAGTGTCTTTTGTTTTATTTTTTCTCATATTTATGTCATTATTACGGGTTTCTCGGTGTCACGCATTGTTATTGTGACAATAATAACTTGGGTTAGCTATGCTCCTTTTGTTTTACAACTGATTCTCTGATAAGTGTTGGCTTTCCTTTCTTGGTCTTTTGGTTTTACAGATATTTGTGGAAGTGTCATTCCCAGCTGAGACTATTTTCAACTGAGTCATCGAGACCTTCTTCTCTGCTCTTCTTTCTGCTTTCTTTCTCCTTTCCGCGCATATTTCTGTCTCTCACTGTATACTTACACCATTGACCCTTACCTAGATTCAACACAATGCAAAGAAAAACTTAAAGATTATGCGTGTTCAATGAAAAATAAAAAGGATAAAGGATGAAGAAACAGAAGAGAGTTAAAGAGAAAGAAAGAGAGAGGGGGGAAAAAAGCCCTGCAGCTTCTTGTAAACATGCTGTAGCTAGAGAGGCTGTGCAACACTCTCAGTGCCACTCTCTCAACAACGCTAATTATCAACCAAAGACATGCTAATTACATAGAGCTTTATTGCTAATGTAGCAGGCCTCTATGCCAGCCGCCCACACTGTGAGCTCCGCTCCCCTACCTCTGCCTCTCCTCCCACTACACCTTCAGGCACCGCAGCAACACAGGGAGAGAGATGAAGGCAGTTTGTGTACTTCTAAAAACCAGAGCTTTCTTCAATTTGAAATTAACTACATCAGATCAAATGTCGAGTTAAAGGTCTTATCGTTCTTTCAGAGGAGTAACTTTGAAATTCTGCTCCCCCCCCAATCCATCTGTTCTTCTTAATCTTGACCTCATCCCCACCCTCCTGCCTTCTCAACAGGAAGTCCGCTTTGCTCCTGCACCCCCTAAACTCAACAACCCACCCACGCTCCTGCACCTGTGACGTAGCCTAGCAGCGGCACATAAGACTCTGCGGGAGAGATCCAGGCCCCCCTATTCCCCACCCCCCATTTCACCCTCCTCCCGACCCGTTGGAAACGTGCTAGTGTCGGCCCTGTGGCCAATCCCGTTAGCACACAGCAGCTAAGGCTGAAGGCCTCTTCAGATCGATTTCTCCCGCTGTGAGTCGCTCAGAGTACTCCAGGGATCACAGTGTAGGTAGAGCTCCACATCGCGCTCCCCCCACTAGGCTCTTTAGCGTCCTCCCCTGACATGGCTGTTTACACGTTAGCCATCCTCTGCTCACTAATGGAGACACAGTTAAAGAGAGAGCTTCAAAGCGGGAGCTCTCGTCACAGGCACTTGCTGGAACATGTGACAGCTCTCTTCATGGGTTGAGCTGGGGCAGGCTAATACACTGACTATACAGAAGCTGAAGGGCTCACTGCATTACAAATATAAGTGCTTATACCAAGAGTAGGGATATAAGTGGATGCAAAATGGGTTAGTGTAAATTGCGTAATGCAGAGGGGATTATTTTCTATCCCTTCTGATATACATGGATATGATTAATTTTGCACCAACTGTGACAATTCATGTTGATTTATGACAACGCTCCAACTGAGCTTTGAAGGAAAAAAACTGCTCAGATGTAAACAGCTTTACTGCTTATTGAATGCATAATTATGGCAGAAATGGTTCAGAAATTAATCTAAGTTTAAAAAGTTAAATCTTACATTCAGCTCCATGTAAATAATTTAAAGAAAAAAGGTTCAATAATCTGAATTATTGTGAGGTAATAAGAGCATCACATACAGTGCATAAAGAGTTAGGCCATGTCTAGTTGATATATTTGTACCTGTACTCACTGTCCGAGTTTGTGCACTCAGACCGCGCTCTTCGCTTTCATCATTAAGGTCAGTCGTATATCGAGTTTTGGTGTCTCCTGATTTATGCGCTACATTAACACACTACATATTTGACTACAAATGGAAGCGATGATGGAACAAAAGCAATAATGACAACAGCAAACCGCTCTTAAGTTCCCGATACGTTAGTGCGCATTTATTTACGCTGTATTTTTAACCTGCAAACGTATTCAGATGGATGGGGCAATTATTTAAAGTGTGGGGATAATGTAAGGTAAAACCTCTTCCAAAAGGCTCGGACAATTGATATGTGTAATGTGTAAATCTAAAAGGTTTGCAGTCAGGTGCAGAGCGCCATCTGGAAAGGCAGGAGTGTTCCCTGTGGGCCTGCCCATCCACAGGCGGGCAAGAAGCCCAGCAACACCCATATGAAGAGATAAAACACATCCCATGCTGTGTTCAGACTGGCCAGCCTGCTAGGTGCATGTTGTTAAAGGGTGTGCAATACATCTAACCCATCTGAACAATGACGGCGGTACAGTTTTGTGCATAAAATAGGTCCAAGAAGAAGAATTAACATTATGATTCTAGCAGGTGCCTGTTAAATTAAAAATGCAAGACATACAGTGGCGAAAATACAGACTTTTTCTATTGTTTCAGTCATATGTACTGCAAAAATCTACTCATTGTTCCAGTTGTAGTCAAATTTGTGGGACTAAACAGATTGATAATAAAACTCAATATTCAATGTTAACAGAGAATGAAGTTTAAATGTGAGTTTCCTCTTAAATATGATAATGAACATTTATCAAACAGTTAAAGTGTCCATGCAACAGCTAAAGAATCTTGAATACACAGCAAACTGTATGTGACATTTTCAGGCAGTAGAAAAATCTGATTTATTCATCGTTACTTTGTGGGACAGGTGCAGTTTAATCAAGCGTGGTGCGAGTGTAAATGTGAGCGCGCGGGAGAAAAGGGATAAACTCTGCATGAATGCATCGCCTGTGTGTGTTTGGCCCACCAGGTTTGTCAGAGCCGCAGTGTGATTGTTGCATAACAGGTTCATGTTGAGAGCTTAAGGATCCCGGAGGGTGCCAGCGTCATTTCCTGCTTTATCTACCTGCCTACTGGCTGCCCTGACGGCACTGTTTAACGTCGCCTTGAGCCACACAGGTGACATTTGTCCAAATCAAGTCAGCGCAACATCCTCGTCGATGAGGCGTATCAATGGTGACAAGACGCCAGGGGAGGGGGGACTGCTGATTACACGCCACAGGGGAGAGTCTGAGAGGGCCAGATCAATGATGAGCTGCTGCTTTTATGTGAAGAAATACACAACACATAAGGAAGCGTTTAAAAAAACAAACCTGACTAAATTAAGATAAGAATATGAGCCTTTTTTTTTTAAAGCAACTGATATGGGACTGAACCCCTGGGGGAGACAGACAAACTATGGGAGCAATTATTTCTTACACTGTGGTAGGTGTGAAGACTAAAAGAGAGAAGTAAAGGTTGCTGAATGACTCAATCACTGTAACCATCTGTCTGTGTGTGTTTCAGTGTGTTTGCATGAGCATACGAGAATCAGCGCATGTGTCAGAGTGGTGTGCACCGTCTGCGTTTTTCTTGTAACTCACCTCCACGATATCGGAGTTGGTCCTGCTCTCGTGGGGCTCGTTGTACTCGGTGTATTTAAGCAGGACCTTGTCCATATCTGTGCTGGCGTACTGGAACAGCTTGTTGGTGCTGTTGAAGATGATCAGGGCGATCTCACAGTCACACAGCACACTCAGCTCATATGCTTTCTTCATCAGGCCAAACTTTCGCTTTGTAAATGTCACCTGAGAATAAAAGAAGAGACATGGGAGGAAAAAGGATTAGCAGGGGTGAGAGAAACAGGGAAGAGATTTAAGAGCAAATCAAACCAACCAAGAAAACTCTTTTGTAACACTGAGGCTATGTTAAAGTTTAAAACTATTTACTCTAAGGGACGCAGATTAAAACATAAATAAAGCATGTTGCTGGTTCAAAACCCCTGACTGTTTCAGTCCATGAACCCTACCAGGAAAAAAGAAAAAAAAGAAGCTGGCCGTGCATTTAAGGAACTGAAAACACTGTGTCTGAGACAGATAACGGTAAGGGAGATCAGTTATTGCTCGTACATCAAAGAGCACAGAGGTTCATCATGGAACAAATGTTGCATTAAATGGTCTCTTTCATATGAACTGTCTGCGCGCTCGTTCTATTTCCGGCTTTTAAACTAGAGAAACAGACCTGTAACTTACTCTAAAAGAAGCTGAGGCAACCATTTTCTCACACAGACATCAACACACATTGTTCACTTGTTGTGTTGCCCAATTAACCACCTCTCATAGTGAATAAGAGGCCATTGATATAAATAACGGATGGGTTCCCAGACTGTGCTTGAAGCTATTTGTGAGCAGTAAAATAGTGACTATGCACTCACATTAAACCACAAATATTGTTCTCTCCAATGGGGCCTCTTTTTTTTTTTCCCCTCAGTTTGTGGCCGTGTGTACGTGCATACGTGTGTGAAAGGCCCAAGACAGGGACCTTTAATAAAACACGCATACAGGTGGCCACATTGTCAAAATAGAACAGCCTCTGTTTCTCCATTGTTTGGATCAAAACTAGAGCAGTGAAAGTGAGTTAATTCCAGTGAGCTGCACCTGCTTTCTTTCCAAACCATGTGTGTAAGCTCCTCGGCTCTATGGGGGGAAGAGAAAAAAAAATGATGTGCCACTGCCAGCCTTGTTCACTGAGCTATGCTGCTCTCTCTCTCTCTCTCTTGTTTTAATATTGAACTTTCTTTTATTTTCTTCTGTGACTGTGTGTTTTATTTACATGGGAGATCTGTATTGACAAAGCTTCTTTTTTACAGAGGAGAGATACTGCCAGATCCGCACCCAGCTGGTAGCTAATGATCACAGTTTGTTGATTAACTGCATGTTTGTCTAGTCTCTTCTGACACTTAAGTGGGCCAAAAAATACAGAATGAAAACCGCCCAACACTCGGTTAAACATGCTCTGAATACAACAATAAAGGCTCTAACTGCAGGGTATAAAACCCCTTTCCAAAGAGATCACTCTGTGTGGTCGATTCAGGTATTGTATGAATAGATTTGTAGCAAAAATCTATCATGCATTGCCCTTCACGTTTTCTCTTCACAACTCCCAGGTTTGAAAGAGGAGAGGGATTGAATGACTATTGATAGATAGTTTTGGATTTCCTGAAATCATATCTCCCAAGATGCACAAGAGAAACTGAATATCAAACCATCCCTCTTTCTCCACCCTCTCTCTCCCTACATGAACTGTAGGATCTTGGACCCACTCCTCCATCTAAAAAGTTTTCCAGTGACGACACCACGTCAAGCAGAGCCATGTGTCAGACAACAGAGGCTGAAACAGGAGAGGCGTTATTCCGACTCTTTATATACCGGCGTTTGCGACGTCAGTTTGCGGCACAAACACTAATCTGATTCGCCGACGACGTTCGGAGGAAAAAAAAAGAAAAAAGCTCCCCTGGGCTCTAAATACCATGCTGACATTTACACAGTCATACCGAGATGTGAAAAACAAGTCTCAGTCCAAAAGTTTAAGATCAAGAGGTACCGTGTGACAATAAGATTAATTGTCATATCCAACCCACTCGAGCGTCCCAATCTGAAACCTGTGTTTACATGGAGCAATTACAAAATCGTAGACGAGCAAGGCAAGACAAAGTCAGCGCAGTAGGACTTAAGGTCAGAGCAGACTATCCAGGATCAGGACATGGAGAGTGTTGTCTTCCCTTGGTGTTTGGAGGCATACTGTAGGGGGCAAACACAGGACACAGGCTCTGTTATCAGCCACTCACTTGGGCACTCACTCTGCTGGGGCCATTAATGTTTCAAGAGGTGGTACATACAGTCCCTCAGGTCTCTGGACTGCTGCTTTCAAAGGCAGGGAGGTCCACTGATATATTAGCTTGAATCACTAATATATGAGTGAATCAGTCCCAAACATTTCACACCTAAAAACAAAAATCTCGTAACTAACAAGTAGCTTCAACTTCTGACATTTGGTGCGTCTTATTTCAACATGTAAAACGAATCCAGTCAAACTTTTTCCCGAGCCTCACACTTCAAATGAGGAACCTAGCGTGCGTTTTTCACATATTATAATTCACACGTAGACTGACTTTAACAACACCACAGGAAGAGAAAAAGTGTGTGATTATGAAAAGCCTTAACTGACCAAACAATAACACCTACATAAATATCGCACCAGCGCACCCCCACATCTCAATCTGACACTTACAACCTGCTACCTCCAAATCACATATATTACTAACGCCATGCTCATACATCCAGAAATATACAGGCTCACATACAGAGCATGTTTGCCTGAACAAACACACACGCTCTCACACACACACACACATTGTTAAAAGACAGTTGGCTGTCTTCGTTAATACTGGTGCAAACATCAAGTGGGATGTGCTAATTTGCACCGTGTCTCATCTGTGTAATTTTTATGTTGTGTTTCATTTCTCCTCTTGAAGAACTCTGTTGTGACTTCATGGCCTCACATGATGCTGTCATGTGACCCTTGGAGGCTGATGATATCACCGCTGGCCTTTCTTGTGCAAGCCCAAAACAGACTCTGTTAGTAGAAGAACTGGTGATTCTATTGTGGAAGTTTGTTTGTACTTTAAATCTTCTTACAATTATGATTCTGCGACTAGTGAACAGCCTTTGTATCGAGCTGAACAGCTTTTCCTTTGAATTAATGAGCCCTCTGTCCATGTTGTTAAACCGAAAAAAGCCCCACTCTAAATCGCCCGTATGTCAGTGTGGGTGTAATCTTTGTTTCCTCGGTCAGTGGGTGCTGTTAGACACGCCACTATGTTAATAACAAAGAGCGTGACATTGCAGCACATTTGCGACCATGTGTACTGGTGAAAAAGAGACCAGTGTAAGAGTGTGAGTGTGAAGCTAACAGTGTCTTTTCACAGTGAATGGGTAACCAGAGTGTGAAGCCTATCTTCATATGCACAAACACACAAACACACACACACACGCAAAACTTTTGCACACACGCAGAGGGAAATTTTGTGGGGAAATTTTCACTGAGACCACACGCCTCACTATAACCCTAACTTTTGACTCTTAATCCACACTAAATAAAATCATGAGGAAGTTCAGTCATCATATTTTAAACCTACCTAAGTTTGCAATGCTTTTTTACCATAAAAAATAACAGTGACACAAGAGCTAGCATAAAAAGGGTAAAAAATGATCAATTTTTAAGACTTTATTTTGCATTTTTCTATTAATAGACATACCACTTCCAAACATAAATCCCCCTCCCCCAAGAACTAAAACAGAAAAATACAAAAACAAAAAGACAAAATAGTCAGAAAGTGACCTCTCCTCCTATGTTCAGGAAATTGATGTTTTGAGCATGTTTTAAAATGGTCGTAACTCTCCAATAGAACTTAAGATGTATCACTGAAATGGAAAACCTTCTACAAACTCTATAAAGGGACTCTAGGTAAGGGTGAAGTTTCTGTGGGCTTTACATATTTTGTATCTTAGTTTCTCTAAAGGTATAAATGATAGAACATCCCTCAACCGCTGTAGAAATGAAGGGTCTGAGTTCGCTTTCCAATTAAAGAGTATGAGTCTGCGTGCAAGTAGAGACTTGAGACACTGCAGCCTGGACATATTACGCCGATAATGGCTGTGCGATAGTCAGGTGTTATAGTCTGACCACAAAGTTTGGAAAATACATTGTCGTTGAGGGATGTGCATGACCAAAACATATGTCCTATTGTGGCAGGTGCATAGCTGCACCTCGGACAAAGTTTGTACAATTAATCTCTTGGATAGTGCAGGCGATGGAGCACTTTAAATTGGATTAAACCATGTCATATACACAATGATGAGGTATGGATACGTTTTAGACTATGTTGCCACATATCTTATCATATAAATGATCTTTTTTTTATGGCCAGGCCTGAAGTTGTTTAAGATCTGATTAAAAAAAAAGTTAAAAAAAAAATAGGATTATTTCATCAACACTTATCTGTATGTCTGTTTTAGGGACAAAGTAGGCTGGGTGGATCTTAAAATGACAAGAAACAAAAAATTAATATACCCTTAAATCTCACCATATCTACTTCTACTGTACACACTCACAGACTAGTTGAGTTTCACTCATAATGAGCACCCACGTCATAACGGTACACTGTAGACTCACAACCCTTGTTCATTCACCTCTGTCCTTCACCACAGACCAATCCCAGGAGAGATTCAGACACATGACACACAAACACATTCAGACGCACACCCCTGTAAACACACTATGTCACAATCACATCATGTGTTTGCTTTTCACTCAAACTAAATAATCAGTTACATTTCCTCTGCTAAAAAAAAAAAGGCCAAACAGTGGGGGAGGACAAAAAAAAAGGGAGGAAAAGTTAGTTGTTGCTTTTCTGTGACACGAGTAAGAAGGGAGAGAAGGAGGGGGAGAGAGGAGAGGGGGGAGAAGAGGGGGCGGACGTACAGGAAGCACATTTGTATGCATTTCCTCTCATAACAGGAAGAGGCCAGTGGCTTCCCCTTCACAATGGCTTCGCTTCTGCTTCCCACCTCCTGCCTGCTTCCCTGGGGGAGGAGGAGGAGGTGGTGGAGGAGGAGGAGGAGGAGAGGGGAGACAGACACCAAAAGACTGCTGGTTAGCAAGCCAAACAAGGCCATGCAGAGACACTCGTACGTAGAAGTCGATCAGATATCGAGCAGGACGATTGGTCTTGAGACAAACACTTCTCCCATTGTCAGGAGGCCGAGCAGGAAGATACAGACTTACGCAAAAGACGAGCCAAAGACCTAGTCCTGAACTCTGCCTCACAGCCAAAAGAAGCTGTTAAGAGGGGCATTACCACAAAAGAAGCTTTGTCCCACCTCTAATTTATGCTATGCTCTTCTCTCTTCTCAAAAACCCCACTTATCATCCCTCTCCAGTGAGCCTTCATTATACAGTAAGAAACAGAAGGCCGCAGACTCCAAACATTTCATCATTCAGTGTCTCAATCCAGAAAATCTGCTTTCAGTCAAACTCTAACCTGGAGAACTGATTGATCCGTGTCTTAATTATGACAATTTTAGTGTTTGGAGTCTTAAAATACATGCCACTTTTTATTGTTCTTCTTCCTGAGGCTTGTAATTATGTTTCAAGACAACACTGTAATAACTGGTCTGACTCTCCTCTGCACGCTCCTGCAGAAAAAATGCAACAGTGAAGGAAAAATCCATTTTTTTAGATGTAAGTTTGTGTTTGTTGCAGCGCTAAAAACCAATTGTTGTCACTTTTTTATCATTCACTTCAAGAAAAACTGCAAGAGCATGCCAGTGCAAAGTATTTCTCTGTTTTTGACACATCACATCTCAGTGTTTCGCGGATTTCTGCAACAGGAAGACTTAATTTAACGCTTTTTTTATACAACTTAGTTAGGCAGAAAAGATGTAAACAAGCTGCAAACTGTGAGTCAAATACTCTAATTGTTAAAAGCAAAAATTAATAAAACACTGATAATTGCCTCCCTACCTAAACAGACTTTTTACACTCGATGATGTTTACATAATGCGTGATTTTCCAAAAGTGTTTTAAATATGATGAGAGCTTGAGGGGGATGAGAGGATAAAGATAAGAGAGTGAGGTGAGGCGGCTGAGCACAGCATGTGAAGAACATGTGAAGGAGAAATGAAACAAAGAATAAGAAAAAGAGAGTAAAAAAGAAGGAAGACGCCGCAGAGAGAAGGTGAGAGCTTAGTGAGCCATTTTCCAGGTGAGGTCTCGCGGCTGAACAGATGACAGAGAGGAGCGCCACTCGCTGTGGTAAGAGAAGGAGATAGTAGAAGGTGGGAAACAGGGAATTAGAGGAGGGGTGCAGGGGTGAGTAGCGACCCTGTGGGCCTCATTATTTTCCTGCTGTTAATTTCACTCGCACATTTTCTCACCCCAGTGCTGTTGATTGGAGAGAAGAATGCTTTGTCGCTGAAACAAAAAGACCCCTTTATTTTAGCGGTGGCGGCGCTGCAGTTTGCATTTACTGGGAAGTGAGGTGGCGCGCACACGGCGACGACATATAAACTAGGTTTTTTATCTTCTTCCGGCAAAGTCCGCGCTGCTGTGATTTTGTTTGTGCGACTTTCAAGATTTGTGTTTTGACTTCCTGCCGCTGATGACCCTCTCCATGTTTAACCTTTGGCCTCTGGTCTCCCTCCCCCTTGGACAGCACATTTCACACAAGCACGCACACAGACACTTCAACACCGAACTGCACAAACAAGTCATCCTAAATTAAGCCCACAGTGAGTGTACTGGCTGGAGAGGTTACACTAATTAGAGCCAATTGCAGTAAATTAGTCGATCTCCAGGACTGACTCCTGAGAGATAGATGTGTTTTAAATGTGTACACATGTTTACAAGTATGCATTTGTCCACGCTGCACAAACAAGACACCAAATACACCATCTAAGCGTGTGCCTGAGTGTGTAATCTGCTATGTCTCAAAGCTATACACACTCACCTGTGCGTGTACCTCGCACTGTAGGTGTTTGCGTGTGTGCAAGCGGCAGCATGAGTGCGTTGTGTGTGTGTAGCTTATGAGTTTATGGCACAGGAGGCCCTTTCATGTGCCCGAGGCTGGGAGAGGGTCTGAGTGGTCGGGGGGCTTGGAGCCAGGGCTCACACACTGCTGCCCACTGTCCAGAGCTCCGGGCAGCCAGTCAACGCCAGGGAGGCCTGGCCCTTCTGCCTCTGCTCTCGGGAAGTGTTTCGGGGCCTGGGGGTGGCAGCCCAAAGTGGCCGCCCAGAGAGAGCCAGGCCCTGTGCCCATTGCGAGACTGCTGCTGCTGCACGGTGGGCAGTGCAGCCCCGTAGGTGGCAAGGTAGCGTTGACAGCTACACAGAGTGGTGCCACTCCAAAGACAACTGCAATATGAGGGTTGTGTAGAAATGTGCACATCAGGGGAAATGTTATGTTTGGTTTATGTAGTTATTTTGGACTGAAAGAGGTCTTGTGCCACCCTGTTTAATACAACATTATGAGCTCCAAGATATTTATATTATCCTATTTTTCTTCACTATACATGTTGTTGGAGTATTTTTCTGTTTAATGTGGAAGACCATAAAAAGGGGCTTTAAGAAGATGTTTGAAAAGTACAAGTATGTAAAGAATTTGAGGGTGAAATACAAGTTGCTGTGGTTTGTATTCGGGACATTTCCTCAAAAAGGAAGTGAAAATATGCAAATCAAAAGCTTCCCTTTTTCTAGACCGTTTTTTTTTTTCCTTTTTAAAAATAATATTTAAATTTTTTGCGTGTCTTGTGATGTTAGCCAACACGAAATGCAGTGATGTCATTTATTTGTGTCTAAGGTTGAATGACACTTGGTACCACACCGTCTTTGTGCATGTGGTGTTTTCCACATGACTGGATGACATCATTCCAGCAGGAACCGCTGTTTGACTTAAACAAACAGCAAGAAAAGTAATCTTTCATTTAAGAGATCAAAACAACCCAATCCAGTGATATATTGATTTTTCCTTCCCTGAACCCTTTTTCTACTCCCTCTCTTCGCCTCGCCTCCCTCCTCCTCCTCCTCCTCCTCTCCCTCTCTCTGTAAGTAAAGCCCGGATATCTCAGGCATCGATTCCCCTCAGGTGTCCTTCCTGTCTCCCTCTTTCCCTCCTTATCCGCAGGAGCCGGAGTGCCTGGTGCGACTGGCGGGCCCAGGCTAAGGTGGGATGAGAGAGAAGGGCTGAGATAACAGTAAGGAGGAAGTGTGGGTGCTGCTGCAACATGATAGCTACACTCCTCATGTAAAACTCTGTGACCTCCTCCTTGCTCTTCCTTTGTTGGCCTGTCTCTTTTCAAATATCAGACACATAAATAAGGCTACAGAGAACATAGGTAGAGACAGGGAGAGACCTCCACCTGGTTTTGCTCAGTCTTCCTTGTATCTAGTATCACTCTGCAGTCCTTATAACTTATCTGCAATCCAAGTGTGGTCTTGCAGAATAAGGGCAATTTGTAATGGCATTTCAAGACGGTGCGCAAACATAATAAGACTGATGGTGAGTGTGAGATTTAAAGGGCCAGTAAGCAACACAGCAGTAAACTTATAGAGCTGCCTTTGCGTTAGGTTCTGTAGCTGGTTTACTGTTGCATTTACATGAAATACCTGGATAAGTAGTAGCTATGGCTCCCAATACAGACTGGCAACTAGGGCTGGGCGATATGGCTTCAAATCAGTATCACAATGTATTGAGCAGTTCACCGCGATAACTATCAATTGACGATAACTACTCCACAAGGATTTTATAAACTCCCCACGACAAGGCTGGACTGCCCCCAAAGAAGAGGACAAGTCTGGGCACAAGAGGACGTATGGTCACCCTAGCTTATCTGTAGCGTTCAACCACCTGCAAGATAATCTCAAATTACCATAAGTTCCGAGCTAATTTGAAGTTGTCAGGGAGTCTGTGCGCTAAGCATTAGGATAATACCAGGAGTTCCTTACTTGTACTAAGATTTTAACTTTCCCTTTATAACTCAGATTGCACCCATAAGATGAGTCATGATAGAAGTTACAATCCGCTTCAATTACTCCTCCATTACTAACCAATCTGACTCCACATGCCTCTGAGTGTCACTTTTCTCAATAAGAAATGGTTGTGAGGATCTCATTGTAGAAAGAAATGGCTGTTTTTTAGACAAGATCTGCGCCTGTGTGCGTGTTTGACCTGTGATCCAGGGGCCACGTTAGCAGCGTATGGATCCAATTGGGCTGCCAGGAAGCTGACAAATCGTCAGTGGCCAGTCGTGCCACAGGAAGTGATCAATTGCAGGCCTCGGGGGCAGCGAGGGAGCGGTGTCTCCTACCACAGACGGGGCTGTCTCTTCAAATCACAACTTCCATGATTCGTCTTGTCTCTTTCAAGTAATGCCAGCTGTTATCTCAAATTTGTGCTTGCAAGGGATCCATTGTGCAAAGTTTGTTGTTTCAAGACTTCTTTTATTTTTGTAAATTACTATGTATGTGCAGCATCTCTGGTTTAAAATTGTATCTCTTGCCACACAGAGGAAAGCTACAGCGGCCCTACTGTTACTGATTTAGCCCAAGAAAAATACTGATTCAGTGTTTTATCTCCGCCCCGTTGGCTCGGTCTGGTGTGTCTGTGTCACTTTAGACCATCCCATCTCTGTTTGGTTGTTTGTTTATGTTTTCTCCCACCCTGCGTCTCCTGTGCTACTTGGTAATATTCCACTGCTGGTGAGCTAAACTGGGTGGCATGGTGTGAGAGGTTGGGTGTGTGAAGGGTGCTACAGTGGTGTGTGTAGGCCGCAGCCCTCTGAGCGGGAAGTGATATGCAGAAAGTGTTTTTTTCTTTATTTTGAGGATTACAAATGTACTCATGCAAATCCCTTTTTGGAGAAGTCTTGCTGGTGCGCCCACACAAACAAACTCGCCGTTATAAACCAATGGAACTCCTCCACCCAAAGCAATATCCCCTCATACACTTCTCTGTCATCCAGCTCACATTATTGCCCAGACTCCCAGAAGACCTTCATTGTTCAGGGCTATGTGGGGTGTAGGGTGTTTCTCCTTCCTCCCTCCTCCACCCCTCCTCTTTCCCACCCTCACACTCATCCATCCTCCCATCCCCCAGGGACTCACCTGTCTGTTGCGTTCATCCATAATCCGCGTGATCTGAATCTTTTTCCTCCCCATCGTCCCCGTCTTTTTCTTTCTCTCCTCTTTCTTAAGAACTTTATGCTTTCTTCACTCTCCTCTTTCCTCTTCTTCCTCTTCTTTTTCTTCTTTCTTGTCACTCTTCTTCTCTTTCTTTATGTCTTTTTTTTCTGCTTTCTATTTGTTCCAATCAGCTCAAAGATTCCAGCATCCGTACCTGTAAGAAAGAAAAAAGAAAAAGGGGGAGGGGGGAGGAGAGGAAGAGCATTAAATGAAATGAAATATGGCAAAATACTGAGAGGAAAAAAAAATAATAAAAGTGGCATCATGGCAGCCACAAGGGAGGGTGAAGAAAGACAAAGAATCTGTCAACAATGTTGTGAGAACCGCTGTGTTTTTCACTGTCGATATCATGCAAATCAGTTTTTGCATTTTTTTTTTCCCAAGCACAGACTATGAGAGGAGACAGTGCTGTCAGGATCTCACTTCGTTCACAGAGAGTTTGACAGTGTTTTGGAAGTGCCGCTAACTTAAATGCTCTAATCACCGACACTGTAACATTACCTCCAGACTGAGAAATACATTTTGTTTCTTCCCACGAACTGCACTGTATTGACAGTACTGGCAGTGCCAGACACAGCTCTTTTTCTCTAGTCTATCTGGAGCTCATCTCCAAAATGGCAGGCGTGAGTTGCAGGATGGAATACAGATGTAAAACTGAGCTCAGTGTTTCCATGTTCTGCTTAAAACAAATCCAAAAAACAAGACAGGAAAAGGGCCAAGAGCTATCTTTTGAAACACGTTGAAAGGACATTTTCGTAGAGACAGAAATCACACTCAATTTCAACATGAACTTCATCCAGATGAGGACATTGCATGTGGATGAGTGTGTCAGAAGAAGTGCACTTGTCTCCTCTTTTGTTAAGAACTGAAGGCCAGCAGCGGAAGAGCTGGACCACATGTGCAACAAAGAAACCTGTGCTCCAAAAAGTTTTGCGTGAGTGAATCAACGTGTGTCCACATGTGCATGCCAGTGTGTGTGTGTTTGAGTGAGTGTGTGTGTTCCTGTGTGAGTCTGGCTGAGCCGGAGCTCCAGTGCATCTCTCCAGAGTGCTAAAGTAGGCCAACCCAATCTATCTCAGGGAGGAGCAGAAGAACTGTTGTTGTGTTTTCTTTTGACAGTAGAGGTGATAACGTCCCTCGTTATGCAAATGAGCATCCCATTATTTAAGCACAGTGCAATGCAGGGGAGCTGTCAGCGCCGTCACATTAAAAAAAAAAAAAAAAATCCTCCATCTACCCTGCCTTTTTTTCTCTACTTTCCCCTTCTTCTCTCTTCTCTCCTTTCTGAACCAGATTTCCGGCACCTGGCAGCACAAGCATCAGACATTGATGTGGAAGACGACACCGCTTCACCAAAAGACATGTCAGTCTCAGTCTCTCTCTCTATCAGTCTCTCTCTTCTCTCTTACACCCTTGCTCTCTTCCTCACTCTCTCATTTTCTCTCCTTTGCACCGTCCCGCACATGTAGATGCACATTGTGATGCGCTTCCTTTCTCCCCCTTTTTTCCTTTTCCTCCTCTCTGCTAACCTGAATCCATGTATTTATTGAGTAACATGCATGAGAAAGCACAAGAAAGCAGAAAACCCCCTGAGGTGAGTGCAGCACATTGCTATGCACCTGACCTCTTTGTGCGAGAGTGGGACATTGATAATGAAAGCGTGTGTTAGGAACATCCAGGGATACCGCGGCCATTTAGTGACAGACGAAGGCCTTTAGCTGTAGTACATGACTGTACTGTTGTAGTACAGTAATTCGGTATATCTTAATTTAAGGACTAAGCAACCATTGTGCAGGCATTCTCTCTTTAGGAAAGTTAGAAATAACATCCCATCTACAATAATATGAATTATAATTTTTTTCTGCAAGAAAAAAAAAAACTTCCGCTCACAGAAATAAAAAAAAAATAAAAAAACAAGACAATACAATTTGGACAATGATGAAATGCATGACAAAACCTTCCCGAGTTGATGTTTGGAATACGCCCACTTATGGAAGAAACGAGATACAAACACAAATGCATCATTTGGCAGTTAAGACAACAGCCGGACTGCGCCATCATAATAACAACAAGATCTAAAATAACTCTGTGGCAGCTCTGAAGAGGCTATCCAAAACATTTTAGCATTGCTCTGCACAAACACACCCATCCACAGACAGAAAAACAAAGCGCTGCCCTCTGGAAGAAAACAAAGGAGGATGTTGTCAGACAAACTGGGATTACAAGCCAACACCGAGGCGCTTTGGCACAAGACAGCCAGACAAGGATATCAATCAAGCCGGCGTACCTCAATCACAGGCTGACAGCATCATCCCCTCCCTGTCTTTGTACTCAACACATCCCTGCCCGGGCAGCGCTCCAAACAAGGAGGCGTTACCTCTGTGATCCCTGCCTCCTGGCCTCCACCTCCTCCTCCTCCTCCTCCTTCCTCCCACAGCCTGCTGAGCAGAGCTGAACCTCTCAATGTCAACAACCGCTGGGGCAACACCTTAGGCCTTACGTAACGTTAGCGCTAAGACTAAGCCCGTGTCCTGAACATTTAATCCCCGCTTTTGGCTCCCAGCGCCAGCCAACGCTCCCTGAGGTGAGGTTCTGCTGCCGCTTAGCCCCGTGTCGGTGCCTCCCCGCCTAAACCAACCCCCCCAACCTTCTCCCTATCCCTTCTCACGGTTGCCTCCTCTACCTCCTACACATAGACACAAGTACTGTTCCCCTCCGTCCTCACACCCGCCCCCGTCCCATATGAGTGCCAGGCCGCTACTGGATAAGAACCGAGCGCCCACCTCCTCATCGGGCTCCCTTCCCTCTCTTTCCCCTCATGGTGGAAAGAGCATCGGTTAACTTAACAGATTACCACTGAATCACTCAATCCAATTTAGCCTCGTGATGCCAAGAAACAGAGGGAAACGGAGGAAACAAGCGCCGCCGAGTGAACGTGGATGAGCGGCACAGGCAGGAATTTTTCACAGAGAAGTGACACTGACACCTGACCTTGTGAGGGCAAATAAGGTGAGGAAGAGAAAAAAGGCAGAGAAGAAGAATCACAGAGCGACAGAAGAAAGAACTAACAAGCTTGCGCACATTAAGCCAATTTGCTAATCCCTAAGTAAGGCGCAGGGGAAGAGGGAATGAGCTGAGGAAGAGGAAGAATACACAAAAGAGTTTCTTTATCCTCTCGTGGAGTCTGACTAATGGTGTGCCTGCGTTTACACCAGCCTGGTAACTGCGAGGAGGCCAGAGCGAGAGACTGCAAGGGTCAGAGGGCGAGCTGGCACCTAGCAGACGGAAAGGCAACGCTCACCCCCTTTGCGCTCGCTTTACATCCTGACTGTCCCAACCTTCTGCGCCTTGTAAGGAAAAGGTGACAATGAAAGAGAAGAAAAAGAAGAGCGGAGAAGAGAGGAAATGTGGAGAAAAGAGAGGGAAATTGAGTGAAGGATAAAGAGGGATCTTTTTGAACAGGCACCAGGCCTCTCCAGGGGGAGGGGAATAGCTGTACCCACGACCCTCCCATCTGTTAAGCAGACGGACGGACAGAGAGAGAGGAGAGAGAGAGAGAGAGAGAGAGCGGGGGATGAAGGTTGGGGGAGGATGGGAGAGATGGAGAGGGAGCAGCGATTCAGCACACAGATCTAATGAGCTCTCTCTCTTTCTCTCTCTCTCTTAGTCTCACAAGTGGAGCTGAGAGGACGATGAGAACATATACACTCAGTGCACCACAAGGCTTGATTCTAGGTCGCCTCTCTCCCAAGTGTTTAGTCACTAAAAACTAATATACAGCACACAGCGCTTTTTCACATTCTAATAGATGGTCTGTGGGGTGCTTGTTAATGTGGCTTTGTTATTGAGGACACCGAAGACGACTTCTTTGAATCAAGGAGGCGGAAAAAAAATATATAAAAAAGAGGAACTTTACCTTGACTCATGCTCGGGTTTTATTCATCACTTTGAGAGACAGCTGCGGGGTTTGTTTGTGAGTTAAGGGAGGAAATGTACAAAACTCGAAGTTCCTAGAACGAAAGTTGTGCACAGTCATCTTTCAGATTGTTTCGGCTTTCAGAGAATCGAGGAGGAAAATTGAACTTTATTCCTGTGTAGAAATCTGCTGATGCTTAAGTCTCGAATCCTAATTTTACACACGTTAGAGCAAATTGGGGAAGGTGATTTATCACGAGAGGATTGGCCGTGTTTTTCTAAGAAACCCCACCTCAGCTCATGGTACATCTGAAACACATTTGGTAATAGCATGTGTCCCATGAAAAAAAAAAAGGATCATGCCAGAATTCCCTATCCTCCAAGGAAATGTGGCTGTGAGGATTTAAAATAACATATTACAGTGCAGTAGGTAAACCTTTTAGGAGGCGTATGGTACATTAAATAAACGCTCTCTCTTTTTAAATAAACTCCCATTTCCTCCAAGAGGAGGACCAAAAACATGCTTTAATATGGTTTTCCAAATACAATCTGAATGTCTCTACACACACAGCGCTCCATTTTTACTCCAGCATGTCTGTCATGTGGAGGATTTTTTTCCTCCTCCTGAACATGAAAGTTTTTTTCCTTTCAGATTTGTTGATTTTAAGAGGTTTCTTCTATTGGTTTTTGATGCAGTGATTCAATTGCAGATGTGTTCGGGTGCTTTCGCGCGCGTGTGTATGTGTGTGTGTGTGTTTGTGCTGTATTTGGAAACACACTGCACTTTATCTGCTGTCAGGATGGATGGAGATGTACCAGCAGGAATGAAAGGAGGGGAAGGATCAAGCTAAAGGAGCGAGTTGATGGCCAGGCAGGATGGGAACAGAAAAAAAAAAAAAATCGTGTATCAGGTCTCATTGTGCCTCTAATGTCATTACAGGCAGTGACTCCTCTATGTGGCACGCCGCACTCTCCATCTGTCAGAGCGAGATAGGCAGGGTGACGAATGGCTATCACTGCTACTTCCCTCAGCCCCCACCAACACCCCCAACCCCCCCACTCTAATGTCTGTATCTTTTTCCAGAGCTGGGGGAGAAGAGTGACCTAAACCTGGGCGGTAGCCCACGCGTAGGTGGGCCTCTATGGCTCTGAATCTCAGCAGATATTAGGCCTAATTTAACATGTTAGCGGCTAAAGAGATTAGCAACATGTACATCTGGGGATTAGAGTGATAGTGGTGGATCATCTCATAATGTGTTCCTTCTTTTTTCTCTCTCCCAGTAAGCTAAACTTGAATTTAAGGGGCTGCAGTCTGTCTGTGTGTGTCTGTGAGTGTGTTTTTGTGTGTGTTAGAGGATATGTCTTCACCTGTCTCTCTCTATTAGCTCACGATTTAGTTGGATCATTAGTGAGACAGTTTCACATGTATTCTATTTTCAATCTCTGTGTGCCTTTGAACTGAGACACCTGTCTATTGATGAGCAGGAAAGTGAGCCAATAGCCTGTGGTTGGCACAGTTTTCACACACTCTGTGCAGCACTCATAAGTGTGATTGACACTATGGAACAAAGTATATTGTTATAAGTAGAAGCACAAGTGCCGCGAAATGAGCTCTCAATTTATTTGCCAACCCATGTTCAACCAATTCCTCAACGTAAAACTTCAGACTGAAACTTAAAACTTAATTGATTTTGGGTGTAATGAGAGTCTGCCAGCACCGTTTCCCCTCTCATACTTCAATCCGACATCTCTGCCCGGGGTCTAGAGGGACGGAAAGACAGGAAACACACTCACAGAGACGGTTCAGCGGAAGGATGTGACATCAGCGCACACAGACAATTAAAGGTGCTAAAGGTGCTTCCTTCCCTGAATTACTGCGTTCACCGAGCATAAACCAGGAATCAAAATCAAATTACAAACAAAAAAGTACAAATAAACAGAAGTTACAAACAAACGCTTTGGCCTCCTGGAGTTTTATGTTATAAACTTTTTTAAAAGGACATTCATTGTGATAAATATAATGACTCTAAATATTTCTTCATAACATAATAAAAAAACAGAATTCACTGCTTTAAATCTCACAAATCTTGAGCAGATTATTTGCTCATTTTGCCTTACTTTTGAATTCGAATGAGTTTTTCCACACTTCTAACCTGTTTCCGTCTCTGAAATGGGTTTAAATTTTTAAAAATGAACAATGTTTCTTCAAATGACTGATTGGTTGAAGAAAATCCTAAAGGCAAAAGAGGCAGAAGCATCAATGAGGCGTTTTAAATCGATGAGATGTCCCAAGACTAAATTTTCCAAATCTCAGATGTGCTGTATTGACGAGTTAAAAGTTCTTCACAGTTAGCACATGATTTTCAACATATTTGCTCAACTTTGGAGGAATTTCAAAGCAGACCCTGTCTGAGTGCAGCCTCACCTCACTGCAAGAATACTCCTATCATGATAGAAGATCACTGTCTGATAGTGCGGCAAAAACCAATGTGATGAATCAAGATGAAGTTTTTTGTTGGTTTTAATTAAACTGACTTGTTTCCTTTAATTCTAGAGAGTTTTCCCAGTGATGGTGTGATGGTGCTAGGCAGAAATGAAAGACCACAAATGGAAACTGAAAAGTACGCAGCGTTGCCCTTCGTTTGGGCAGCTGCACGCCTCACTCAGCGCCTGCACACAGAGGCCTTCAGCCATCAGAGCCGCAGTGGAGACAGGTAGCCATCCGTCAGAGCCAGAACACAGACAGGTGAGAGCCATCTTTCCATAGCCCATTGCTGACTTCCCCAAGGACAAAATGACTTGACACAATGCGTCAACCCCCATCTTTGAAAGCAGGCCAAGGGCTGTAAAGCCACAGCTGCCAGGCCACGGGCAGACGAGTGAGGGGGCACACGTGAACGAGAGGCAGAGCCAGCCAGACAGGAAAAAGAGAGGAAGAGCAACCGTCGAGGTTAAATAGGCGTTCCTTGCCGGTTGGTTGTCAGTATCTTTGTTTTTGTTGAATGATAACAAATAAACGAAGAGGACCACGATGACTAATGTCCCACACACATACAGACATTTGTGCCAAGCTGGAAAAAATGGTATCAGAAAAAGAAGAAGAAGAGAAGAAGAAAGCAGAAGCAAAGGCGAGCCACAATTTGGAGAGGCCCCGGAAAAGGCTGGAGTGAATCACCGTTCAGTGTGTACAGTCTTTCCATGGCTTGAGCATAGGGAGGGGAAATGGACCCATTCAAGTAGAAAGAAAAGATAGAGAAGAAGAAGAAGAAGAAAGAGAGGAAAAGACAACTTAATAGAGGTGACAGAGTTGAAGGTGAAGTGAGGTACAGAAAAAAACGGAGGTTCTGAAACGGTTTTTGATATGGAAGTGGTGCAGGTTGTGGTGACACACACGTCTAATGTTAAAACACAAATAACTCCTCTCAAGTTTCACTTTATCTATACCGCCGCAGTTTCTTTCACTTCTTTCTCTCTGTCTTTCTATTTATTGTAACTCATACACACCGAGCTCCACCACAGCAGGTCATGTTTTCCAGTGAGTGTTAACCACTGTCTGGGTTCACATGATGCCCCACACACCGCAGCACCCAGGTGTAACAACAGGAACAGAAAATGAACACACACACACACATACGTGTACATTTGTGATCATCCATGCGTCTGTTTGCACAGATAATGAAGCCGCTGCTTATCAGTACGTCTGGAAAACAAGCAAAAAAGAAAGTAAAAAGATGTAACGGAGCATATAAATGCTGTGGAATTACACTAAAAAACCCTTCAATGGGTGTTCCCAGCCCCCACAGGAACAGCCGGGAGTCATGTCACTAAGAGCACAAAGCACTGACATATTCACCCAATTATGTTCCCTGCCGAGTATGACAATGTCTCAGGATGTTAGCAATGTTCTCCAGTTGGGGAGGGTTAGGCCGGTTCATGTGTGTGTGTGTTTGTACGTGTGTGTGTGTGTCAGAGGTTCGAAACTGTTTCTTAGGGCCACGCTTACTTACAAACTCTCCAGTCTCAGTGTGCCTGTCCCCTCCTCGAGCTCTCCGTATCAACACCCGAAATCATAGTTCAGACGATCCGCTGATGATTTCATCACACCCCTCCGCCGCCACCATCACCCCCCCTTTACTCCTTCTCTTTGCCACAGCATTCTAATCACCCTAATTAAAAGCTTTGTTCATTTAGGAATCTCTGATGACAATTTGTTTCACTCTACCCTACAGCAGTGGTGGCTGTGAAGAGGAGAGGAGAATTAAATTTGATCTTCTGACAGCAATTATTAAATGCTCCCTCCTGGCCTCAATTAAGGCCCGCAGGCTAATGCTAACATGGCTAGCCCCTCATGCAACCACGAGACGCCGGCGTACTTCCCTTTTTTTTTTTTTCTTCACAGCTTTATTTTGTCACTCTTTCCAGCATGCATGTATTTGCGCGCATGTCTTTTTCACTCGGCGGGTATGGAAATGCGGGCTTGCTCGCGGGTCACCGTTTCTTTTGCATACTGACTGATGGTAAAAATTGATTTCCTTTTTTGGACTGTTTGTGGAAACTCAAATCAGAGTGTTGGGAAGGGCGGCTAAAAATGGGGAAGTGGTGGAATTTACTATTTTTCTTTTTCTTTCCCCATCAGCAAATTTAAATCGCACACCGAAACTATTACGTCAAGTGATTATTTATGAGGCTATGATCAAAACAAGAAAACACTGTAACTGCTGTGCCAAATACAACGATTTACAGAGTGGAAATTCAACATAAAGCACCAGTTTTAATCACACCAGAGACAAATTACTTCGTGTTTCGAAGAGTGGACAAATATAAAACTATAATAAATAATACAACTATAAGTGAAATCAAGCCCATATAAGGTCAAGAGTTGACATTGCCCCTCTGTGTTATTGTGACACTCTAGCAGCATTATGTGTCATGGTTGCAGCCTCACTGAGCTGAAGTGAGAGCCACAGCGCTGCTCTGAGTCTGTGCACAGCGTGTGGGTAATTTGCACAGAAGTAGAAGGTTGCACACTTCAACAAGGATGTCCTTCATAGATTCGACCTTCTGTTTTTTTTTTTTTCTACTCTCTCTCTCTCTTTCTCTGGTCCCTGTGCTCTGCTAGGAAACCGAGTAACCTAGATCGTGAGAAGCGAAAGAAGGAGAGAGGGAGAGAGAGAGAAGGATTGTGACAAGAGAGAAGAAGAGACAGAGGCAGGGGAAAAGCAGCAGCAGGAGCAGGGCAGATTGAAGGGAGGTAGAGTCAAAAAATATGACACCCCACCACCCTATCCGATACTTGAAAAGAATAAAAATCTCTTCCAGGATGATGTCAGGTTCACTCTTCTGTTTTTCTGGTTACCGCGAGCTGATTGTGCTGATTATTGTTGAGCGTTGTTTCCCTGTTGACGCTGCGCATCATTAAACAGAGATTGTTCCACTCTTAGTGTTTGTTTAAGTGAGGCTGGTATAATGTTTCCAGGCACTTTCTCTCCACATACACACACAAGGACACACACTTACACACACGCACACAATGTAAACCTGATACATAAGTCGTGTACATCGCATCCCAGACCTGATGTGATTTGTCCCGAATTGAATCAGGGTGTGTTTTCGCATGAAGAAAGCGATTGCAATCAAGAAAGTGACATTAAGTGAAAAGTTCTTCAATCTCCAAATTGGAAAAAAATGACACCACATAAAAAGACGTTTAAATCTTTCCTGCGCTTAACAGTTCCCAGAGGACAGCTGGCGGCGGGGTGCATGAGGAGAAAGGTTGTATGGATTGTGGAGGGCGTGTTGTGGCATACGGCACCTACAGATCAGCCTCTGTTTAGGGGAGTGGCCCCCACCGAGGCCAGAGCCGGGCCAGACCCAGTCCAAGCCTCTCATTAGTCATCGGCTGGGTGCCGCGCTTTCTTTTTGGAGTGGTTAAAGGGGGGAACCGGGCGAGGGTTCTGGCAGTTGCACCGTACTCCACTCCCAGCACCATCACAACCCGACCTCATCAAAGCGAGCGCTCGTAATTTGTCACAGAAAGCAGCCAATTAACATATGTTAGGGGAGGAGGGACGAGGAGAAGACGGGAGGAGGAGGAGAAGAGGGGAGGGGTGGGTGAAAAAAGATAGCGTATGATTAAAGAGTCTGCACAGCTGCACAGAATCAAGATGGCAAAGAGAGGTTTGAAAGAGACCTCAGAGCCAGTAATCTGATAAAGCTTACTGTTACTTAACCCCCATAAGCAAGAGAGGCAGAGAACGAGAGGAGGAGAATGAAATAATAGAGACAAACAAATATTAAATTACTGCTGTGAAGCTACAAGCTTTGGCAGAGTGCCTCTGCTCTCAATATGCGGCTTCAGTGGAGGCTTCTGTATCACATGGAGATGACCCCTCATGCCAAAACAGCACTGCTGTTTGACCGAGTTTATTTTTAGCTCAGCACTTACCGTAGTGCTAACACACTTATGCTAAAAAACCTGAACTTCCTTTTAGTGTTTGCTTTTTTTTCTTCTTCTTCTTCATTCTGAAATTTGGATTCCTGTTTCCACCTGAACAATTTAGAGCTCTTTCACGAGAAACAAAAGGTGTTTATTTCATTTTTCATTTATTTTTTTCTGTCGCAGAGTCTCCCGACAAGTTGCTTACATTCTGACTTGTTTGTTTGCTTTCAAATTCTTGTTCCTCATGGTTGGTTTTTAACATGCTGTGTGTGGTTATTTATGCATGTGTGTGTGACTCCGCGTCTGCTCGAGTGTGTGTGTGTGTGTGCATTTATATGTCTGTTATTGTTGATGTTGTTGTTGTTGTAGGAACATCTTGTGAAGTGAGTTGTGTGATATTTTGCCTTGTTGTTGGATACGGTGGCAGGCTGAATGCATTAGCAGTGCACGCCGGTGCCGTTCTGTGTTCTGTCGTCTCTCCGCCACCTCTGCCTTGTCTCTCTGCAGCGACTGATCACACGAGCTGACAAGCGAGTTTGGGTCTTCGTCTGCCGCGCCATCCTTTCGCTATACCTGGGCCCTGACTCTTTCAGCGAGAGAAAATAAGAGAGGGCGGCGGAGGAAGAGGAGGAGGCTTTAAAACAAATTTGAGTGATTTTTTTTTTTTGGAAATTGTGCGTCAAGTGTTGGGGAAATCCCCTCCCCCAAACAAAAAGTAAGAAAATTCTCAGTTTGTAATACAATTAATGAAATAAACATTGAGTTTGTGTCACTTTGGAAAAATGTGGGATAGAAAACGGTGAAACCACAAATGGCTGGAAGAGAAAGCACAACATACACTATGTATAAATCATGACTGTTTCTTTTTGCCTCCTCTTCCTCTCTCTTGCACTCTTATCCTCTCCATCAAGCATCAATCGTTATTTATTTATTTTTCCTATTCGGGAAGTGAAGGGCCAGAGTGGAGGAGCGGAGGAGTAAAGGAGGAGTGAGGGGGTGGGGGGAGGTGGAAGGAGGGGGCAGCAGCAGTAAGTTGTGTTTGGTTGAATTCTTCTCTTCTTCTTCTTCTTCTGTATATGTTGTGAGCTGGTGGTTCAGTGAAGGACCTGCCTGCTTGGAGTCCCCCCCACCACCACCACCACTACCGCCGCCGCCATCCCCAACCACCCCTCCCCACTCAAATCCCTCTGCTGCGCGCACAGCTGCACCGTTCACATAACCTCGCCTGCCCCCTCCTACTCCCCCCCTCCACCCCTCCTTCACAGCTAATGATAGCAGAGCACGTCCCCTACACAACGCAACAGCTTTTTCCACTTCATGTACGTACACACAAACACGCCGTGCACAGACACACAGTGGGCACAGCATCTCCTCTTCCCTCCTCATGGTTCCCTCTCTTCCTTTTTTTTCTCACATCATTCAATTTCTTCCCCTTCTCTTCACCCTGAGAAAAAAAAATCCCCTGGCCTTCTGACCCAAAGAAGGCCTGAGAACGTTAGCCCCCTACTACACACACAAACACACACACATGCACACTGAAGCCACCCCTACAAGTCCGAACTCTGTCTTTCTGTCTCCCTCTGCACAGCGAGTGACCTGCATCACAGCTGTGTGTGGGAATTTGTGCTGGTGGGTGTGTTTGGAGGAGGGTCGAGTGTGTGAATGCATGTATTTGCACATACCTGTACATTGCTGTGTGTGGTGAATTTACCTAATACACATGTTTGTGTGTGTGTGTGTGTGTGTGTGTGTGTGTGTGTGTGTGTAAGGAGGAGAGGAGGGGGGGAGAGGGCAGCTCTGGGCTTCTGCTGAGCCTACTGTGCATTATCCCAAATAAACAACTCATTACACGTGTACTTAACCAAGGGGAGCTGGCGAGCAGTGGAAGCTAATCCCCGTTATCGTTCCCAGCGTTTCTCTTCCGATTAAGCTACAGGGGAAGAAGAGGAGCCCAAGAAGGTAGGCAGCTCAGAGCAGGAGGAGGAGGAGGAGGAAGAGCAAAGAGGAGGAGGAGGAGGAGGAGGAGGAGGCGAGAAGACAGGGAAAAAAAAAAAGCATTTGAGTTAACTTCCCACAAGTGCCTTTCTTGCTTATAGTATCTCCTCCTCACTCTATCTTTCTTGCTCACCCTCATGCCTTCTCTCCTTTCCTTTCTCCCAGTGGATTTTCGCTCTGCTCTTCCTTGTTTTTCGACCATCTCTCAGAACTGGGTCATCGACAGACTGTGCGGCAGCATTTTGAAGAACATGGGAAGGGGGGGGTGAGAGGAAAAAAAAAAAAAAAAGCGTGTTCTTTCTATGAGAACAATCCAAGGCTTCTTTAACAAGTAGCCCGCTTATCAAATTAAGCTGTCAAAAGCACATTAATAACAGGCAGCACAATTCCCTTCACAGAAAAAAAGGAGAAAAAAACACATTCGGGGAAAAAAAGAGGGATGATTTCTCTTTCCCCTTGTGTAGAGACGGTCCACCAAGGCCGGTTTCTTCTTCTTTACTCGGTCTTTTCTGTTTGTGTACCACTCCTCAAATGATTATGAGGCCTTATGATGAGGGGCCAAGATGTGAAGTGCCACTCATTTACAGGCGGAAAAATCGTCTGTGTTTAATCGAGTTACAGCCTGAAGATGCTCTGTTTTTCAACCACTTGTAGTTGATGAGAGTTCAGCGGATAAAAAAGAAATCTCAGACCGACGCTGTTGATTCAAGACTAAATAATTAGGCGGCATCAGAGAGAGATATAATGCCTTGTAAAAGAATTACACACAAGACTATTATCTACTCACATAATAAGTTTGACCCCGCTGAACCCTTAAAAAAGAGCGTAAACACGCAATAATAAGCCCGCTCTAGTATTAAACCTACCATTATTATCATTAAAGCAACAGAAACCTCATCGCTAATCCAAAATGTGGGGCTGTATCGTCCTGAAAGAGTGTACAGCATGGAGGCAAAGAGGGAAAGTTAACACTCCCATGCCTGAGACGCAGAAGTGAAATTAACAAGACACCTCGGCTTACAGATGACAGAGAGGAGAGAAACCTACCCTGTGACCTTACACTTACAAAGTGTCTTAAAACAAACTTCTCATTTTGACAGTGTTTTATAGCCGTGCTGCCGTCGGTGTCGCGCCTAAGTAAAAGTCTGTGTTGGTAAAAGGAAGTGAAGTTGTAGTTTTCAAATCTGACAGCTTCAACAATCGCTGCTGCTCCATTCCAAGCGCTTTAGCTTTACACCAGAGACCGACTTTCTCCCACCCTCAATCTGAGCCCCATCCTGTTTGCTCGGCCTCCCCGAGGGGGGCCGCTCCGCCGCTGCCCAGAGGGGGGCCGGCCGGCCAGCGGTGGAGGGATGGATGTGACGTGGAGGCCCTGGGACTCTGCTGGAGCCACGACAGGTATCCCCCGCACTTCCCTTTGGCTATTTATAAAATCACGAGTCCAGCGCGGGGCCAAAAATAAGACAAGAGGCCATTTTTAAACTGAGTCACAAAGGAAGTCTCACACGCTTCATTGTTCGCTCACACCAGAAGCAGAAAATTTAACAACAGATAACCGAAAAAGTGAAAAGCTCCTCTGTCTCTGTCCTCCGACTGAGCATGCTCAAACGTACACATCCACACACACATAAACAGCAGACAAAAGTCAATATCAAGGCTGAGCTATTTCTGTAGAGAGCACTATTTAGGAAGTGTGGGCTGGGTGCCAGTATTCTCCTCAGTATCGTCTGGGCGTCATTGCTCTGCTGCTGCTGTTATACAAACTCACCTCTTTCCTCTCTCACCCGCTCCTCACCCTTTTCCACCCAGTCCCTTGTTCCATTGTCTCTCTCCCTCTCTCTCTCCTCTGTGTCAGCGTGTGTGTGTGTTTTTCTCTTCTACACACACACAAGGTTATTTGTTTTTCCACTGGGTCGAACCACAGTGCCAGGTGAAAGCATCTATTGGCAGGATAAAGAGAGAGGCTGGTGTGAGATCACAAGGCCCCCACTCTGCCCAGCAAACCTTGAAGAGAAGCGGCGGGCTGGAGTTTCAAACAAAGTGCCCCCTCATTCATTATACATGCAACTGCACTGAAAATCTCCTTCCGCAACACCATCTCTTCTCCTCTCCTCTCTCATTCTCTTCTTTCTTTTCCTTCCCCTCTCCCTTTTTCTCCCTCTTTTTTTTTTTCCAGACAGAGCATCCATAAAGTATGAATAAAATTAATGACATCACGAGCTGCACTTTGGAAGAGCCACTGTAGGAAAAAGCCATACATCACGGGGCAGAAGGAGTGGGGTCGAAAAAATGTGAAAAAAATTGACAGAGTGAGAGAAAATGGGAGCGCGTTGGGGGGCCTCGCTTCACCCTTCTTCACCCTTGGGGCACTTCATATTGCTTTATGTGATCATGCTTTATTATAAGTTTGATTTTAGGCCGAAAAAAATCAAACTTTTCAATTAACTTTGTCTCTATTTCTTCTTTCTTTCTTTCTTTACATTTCTGCGTTCTGTTTCCTCCTGACTTAAGAGTTCAGAATGATCCTGCTCTATGCTCTCTGTTACAGGCTGGCCTCTGGTGTGGGAATGGCACAGATGACAGTGGAAAAGGAACACTGGTGTGGACTTTGGCAGGACAGCGCCTGGTTGAGCCGTGCGCTCTGCAGAAAAGAAGAGGGAGAGGGGAGCACTGAGCGGGGATTCTTATTGAGCTGTTCCTCGACTTAGACGGTGTTAACAGCATTTTCAGCAGCACGGTCCCCTCGGAGTTGAGCGGCAAACCTCCTGATATTTCAAACTTTGCCCAGATATCTGAGACTCTGAGGTGAAGAAAAAAAAGGCTGTTATCTCTCCTTAAGAGCAGAAAAAAAAGAGACAGATTTATCAATCGTTGGCAATTTAGTGTGACATTGTTTCTTCACGCAGAAGCCTGACTGGGTAAAACTCAAGACCTTATTTCTCTGAATCCAAGATCTTCTAAAAATAAGCAATAGGCGCAGCAGAAGCAGAAGCAGCAGCAGCGTGGATGTGAGCGAGTGGTGGTGGTGGTGGTGGCGGCATCAGCAGCAGATTGTGGCAGCCGAGTGAGCGGGGCTTTCAGATGGATGTGAGCCTGTGTGAGGCCGAGGCACAGAGCTACCTCTGTGCGTCTCACCGGACTCTGTTGCAGAATGACTCGGCTATGTTGCACTTGTGACAAAGATAAATTACAGCCACTGGAAAACATTTCTGCATTTTTTTTTCTTCTCACTCTCTCGCCCCTCTCCACACCTCTTTGCTTTTTTTTTTTTTTTTTTGGCACTGGGTGTAGCCCGAACGTGTGCCACACTAAAGGGTGATGGCGGGGCAATGGTGGAAGGAGGGGGTCTGTCTATGAAAATATATTAGGGGGTAAGAAGTTGCCCCTGCAACATTCACAGGTCAGGCTCTGTGTTTTATGACGGAACACGGCTTCTGCCGGCAGATTTACGCACATGTAGAGTGTACACTTTCCCCTCAAACTGAGAAGGATTCTTAGTTTCATCTGGATTTACCACACATGTTTAGAGTTGGTATTTGATATACACTGTAACTACGTTTAAAAGGTGGATCCTGTGTGCGACATTGTACTGAAATCAAATTTACGTCTGATCGGGACGTTAATGAACTCATTTCCAGTTGTGTTAACCTTCATTTTTACATTTCAGAGTGAACACACAAAGTGCTCGCAGCCTGATGTGAACTATCAAGTGTTTAGACAAAGAAATCCAACCTCTGTTCTACTCTAAATGTTTCTCTTTGTCTTATCATTCATAGTCCCTGCACTCCTCCAGTCTCCTCGCCTCCCAGGACTCTCCTCCTGTCCAAATATTTCAGGGAGCAGGCCTCAGTATGGTGAGGTGTTTCTGCTGTCTCTTTAGGTGGGCTGCAGCTGACGATATGATTGTGTGGTCAGCCAGCAGTGCTGAGCTCAGACCACCCAGCAGGCAGTTGCTGCCATAATGACCCGCAGCCCGGGCAGGAAACAGGAAACAGGAAGAAGAAGGCAGGACATCCTGTCCTTCTATACGAGCGAGTGAAGCATGACATCACGAGAGCATCATATAAAATATCTGATCAGAGGCCAAACACTCTCCATCTTTTTCGAGCTCAAGTAAATTTCATTCTTCTTTTCCATGTGTGTGTCTTTCTCCGCCTTTCTGCGCATCTGTCTTCTCAGTTTGCCTTTTCAGCACTCACCCTGACACTGTTTTCCAGACTGCTCCATCATCCCAGACATCAAATCCTACCCTCTTCAGCGCCAGAATAAAAGGCGAGAAAGAAATCACGCATTTTCATTTGAATATACACCAGCAACAACCTCACAAAACCCTGACAAAAAAAAAAAACACAAGACACAAAAGCACAAACATTCTGACGCGCAAACAGACAGAGACAAGACACAAACTCGAACGCACACACACACACACACACATACACACACCTTCCAGACACACAGCACATGCTGACAGACAAACACACAAAGAAACAGCAAACACAAAGCACAGCACAGCCAGAACTCTACTTTATGCAGAAATATTCTAAAGTGTGTTTTACAATACAATTAAACATCAAAGGCGGAGATATTCCTCTGTGATCTTTAACACCCTAGTGAACAAACCCCACACACCCCCATCCACTTACAGCACGCTCACACACACACACACTCACAAACACACACAAAGTTGCTGAACGTCACCGCTAATTACTAGATAGAGACAGTAGAAGACTTTGCATCATTATGCACAAACCAGGACATATTCAAATATATGCATTCAGTCCGGCCTAAAGCATTCAAGGACAGTGTTATTTACTTGAGATGATTATTTCCTAAGTGTAAGGAGTAATTGCAGCTCTTATGAAGATCTACAGACAGTGCTCTAAAGGCAAAGAAACATGTGGGTGAACATTTCCAACAGTTAGGACAATGAAAGAAAGATCTGTGCGAATGAGTAAATAAACACATGGTGAGGGTGAGCCCTGTGCTTTTTTAATAGTGCTATTAAAAAAAAGCACCAAATAGGAAAAAAGAGAGACTTTTCCCCCAACCTAGCAAAGGAGGGAACACCTGCCTTGTTACAATAAACAAAAATACAAAAAGCCCTTGAGTTATTGTAAAGTTAAGTGTTTTCTTCTGCTCACAGACAGTTAAGAAAAAAGTTATCCTGATGTTTCCCGCTATTTATGTCTGATAAATTCACTTAAAAGAGAGTTTATCTTCATGCTATCACAACTGGAGTTTAGGTTTTATCCTGCATGTGAGTTCAGAGAACAAAGGCAAAATATACTGAAGTATTTGCACACTTTACAGAGACGTCTCTTGACAATTTAAGATATTATATCCTCCTTTATATGAGGTAAATATGATTCCCTACAATTGGCTCTTATATTACCTTCCTCGTTTGAGCCAAAGGGCATGAAGTCCAATTACAGCACTTCAATATCTACCTGCAGATCTTGCCAACCTGCAATCTGCAAATGAGTGTTTTACTGAGCAAACTCTGCAAACCCTTCCCAAAATATTTGAAACTATTAGGGCAGAAAAAAAAACTGTAAAGCTCAGCAAAAGCGGCTATTAATTTATTTGCTTTAACATAAATGCTTCTGATGTTCCCATTAGGGAAAATGTTTTTATAGATCTGGGTTTCAATCTTGAAATGTGCCTCTGTACTGCAACTGCAGAGTGGGTATGCTTAAAAAATTGCAGTCTGGAGGGCACATTTTTTCAGCAATGACATAACAATTCATGTATTATTGGTCTTGATTTTGTCTGTCCACGATTGAAAGATAAAAGCAATAATCTGTCCCATGCTGTCCACTCTTAAAACACATGTCAGAACCCTGACCACGGCACACAATGTGTCCCTTCCCTTCACTTAACTAAAGCTTCACTGAGCCCCTGGTGTACAGCAAAGTGCCCTGACAATCGGCTCAATGCCCCGGCCAATCACAGCGACACGTGACCTCCTAATCCCTCTCTGTGAGAAGGGTAAGAGTGTGTTGTCACTGTTGGTTTTGTGAATCAGCGCCCAAAATCCCAAATGATTTGTCAAGAGGGAGAGGTCTTAAGAGAATAAGAGAAACAAAAGCAGCGCAGGCCAGATAGTGTGGGTGTCGCTGTGTGCACGACGAGAGTGTGTGCTTTTACTAAAAAGATGCAGACCGAGACAAGAAGCAGTCCATGCTTTTGTCTGGGCATTTGTGTGAGTGTGTGTTCGCGTGCGATCGCATAGGTGCGTGCATGTGTGTATGTGTGTGTGTGTTTGTGCAGGGTCTCTGAGATTACAGAGCTTGGCTGACAGAGTCCTCAGTGTGTAATCGTGGGTCCACATGCGAGTGCTCACCTTCCTCTGAGCGGATTAACCTAACGCTAAATCCCAAGAGAGCAACAGGCCAGACAGGCCACACAGAACAACTTCATTGACGATGGGCAGAACAGGGAAGGCCATGTGTAAAAATCCCTTTATAGACTTAAACTCTTAGATATATTTGATCACGAGTACACAAGCAAAAATAAATAAAAGGCAGAAAGATAAATCTAGAGACGATGCATGAACACGACATCTGAAAATTCAATTATGTATTTTGAATATCAAGACCACTTTCACATGCATGTGTCATTTTTACAATTAAATAAACTGTAAAATGCAATAAAGCAGTAAATACCTGAGTGTATAAAGCACGTTTGTCATCGTCAAATGTGGTTTTTACACACAGTGCTGATTTATTCTTTAAAAAATTGTCCAAAAACTCCTATAAAATAAAAGATGTTTTAAATTTAATAAGTCGTATCGCTCTCTGAATGTGCAGTGATAATACCTTAGTTTGATTTACATGAGAAAATTCGAGCAATATCCACAACCGGTTGCAATTTTTCAACTTTTATAACGAGCAGTATTTATTTCATGACATAAAATTTAGATATATAACAAATCTTAAAGAATGTGGGGGAAGAGATCAACTTTTATGCTTTTATTAATGGGCATGAGTTTTAATGCACCCTGCCAAGTCCGTTCCACCAATCTGTCAAAATCTAAATGAACCGTGCAATAATTTATCATTTTATAACCGTCTTTAGTTCATCTGCACGTTTCATCAGCGGGCCTGTTTTTCACACTTCAACTACGAAAGAAATGAATTCATTCTTATTTGTGTGGCTGCAACCTGTGAAAGTTGCCACTGGTTAATTAGGGTGTCATTATTAATCCTCTCTCTGCAACAGGTTCACTTGAGCCACCTGAGACTGAACTTAACTCTAAACTAACTCATTTTAAAACGTATCAAACTCCTGTGTGGAGAAAGGGAGGTCGAAACAAAGCCACAGTCAGCAAATTAAAACTGTGCCTTCTCCAAAAAAACACTGATTTATCACTGTGAACCTGAATTAACACTCGAACAAGTCAGGCGAATTAGACTTTCCTGCAATGTCCTGTAAATTATTACTCTTTATATATCTGTCAGTGTCTTTCCAAAGATGTCTTGGATCTGTGTATCCTGATTTTAAAGCAGTGATAGGATGATTCTGCTCATCATAGCACCTCAGATAAGTGTGTTTGTGATTATTGCTAGATCTGATACAAGATAATTGAGGGTTTCTTACATCCTGTTTGTGAAATTATGTGAAAATTCCCAAACTTTTGGTCTCATTCCCCCTGAGTTTTTTAAACTTCTTTGCAAAATTTCACACATCAGGTGAGCAAACTCTAATATTTCCACCACTTCTTGACTAGTCCCAACTTTGAATGTGGCGTCAAAAGGCGCATCAGGGTAGAACAAACTGTAATATGTCTGAGGGCAACCTATTGAGAAGCTGTATCTTCGGGGCTGTGCGCCCTGCACGTAGACACGAGAAAGCACCACAAGGTCGACACAACTGTTATTCTACCTCAAGCACGAGACAGCAGACCTTGGATCTCTTAATAGACCATAAGCAGCTACTTGATGTCAGCTGGTAAATTATAAGGCATAGCTGTCACCGGCACGAGTCGATCAGGGTCACAACAAATCAATACACGCAGTTACTGTACTTTGTTGATGAAGCAGCGCGCATGAAAATAGACCCTGAAGTTTTTTTTCTCCCTCTCTTCGTGATTAAAAAAAAAAAGATCAGATGATAAACCGTGTTGTTGTTGTGGATGTGAAGTTGCATGTGAAGTGCGCGGTACTTACTTTATTTCGCACGAAATCTGGTCCGGAGGAAGTAAAAGAAAACGGTCCGCCGGTGCTTTGGTCCGGCCGGGTGACAGGAGGGTTGAAGCCGCTGCTCTTGCTGGGGACGGACTTCACCAAGACGCGCTTAAAATCCAGGAGCGCAACTTAGCAGAGGACGTTGCCGGGAGGAAAAAAAGTAACCTACAGTACGTGGTAGGAGTCTATAATGTCAGAGCAACTACTCTCTCTCTCTCTCTCTCTCTCTCTCTCTCTCTCGCTCTCTCTCTCTCTCTCTCTCGTCGGACAGTGTCTGCGCAGGAGGCGGTGAGGACGCCTCGCCTGGTCTCTGTGACTGCCTGCGAGGTGCCGTTGTGTAGCGGAGAGGAGGGAGAGCCGGTGAAGCGGTGCTGATGGTGGTGGAGGTGGTGCTGGTAGGTAATCTGCTGGACGTCTGGATCCTGATGGGGTGATGTTCACAGTCTTTTTTTTTCTTCTTCTCTGGTCCCTCTCCACAATCCTGCCCGAGTCTTTCCCCAAACCCTCTCCTTCCACTCCCAGTGCGAGGAGAAATAATCGATTTTTTTCTCTCCCTTTTTTTTTTGACTCCTGAAAAGTGGGCGGGCTCACATTTCCCAACTCTACTTTAATGAAAGAGGCACGGCTGTTAATGCTTTATTATCGCGCCAGCCCCGGTAGAGTGGACGCACAATTAAGTGCTCAGAGAGGACCACTAGAGGAAGATGATGGGGGATGTGTGCTTTAACTAATGAACCAACGGAGAGCGCGTTAAGCATCTGCAGCCCACTTTAGGCTGCTGAACAGGAGGAGAACAAGTTTATGTTTTTGTTGTTGTTGCAAATATAGTTGACATCTTTCGTCTAAACGTAGTGGATAGAAGAAAGTTTCAAAGATTTGAGACCCTCAACTTTCAAGAAAACTCAATTTAAAGACTTCCATATGCGTCACACTTCATGCAAAGTAATAACAGTCAAAAGTAAGATCAACTCCTATATCTTGTTCAGTAAGCCCCACATAATACCATCACTCAATTCTCAACAGATGTCTCCCATGTCTGTATCCTCTCTTTTCCCGAGTCCCTACAAACTTTCCACTTCCACTTCCCCGCACACCAACACCAATCATCCTCCAGGACCCAGCTATCTCCCGCTGATAAGCCCTGACACCGACAGTAAGCATGGGGGAATTACTGAGCCTTTATCCATCCAGCCAATGATTTCAAAACATCCACTCTATTAGTGTGAAGATAACAATTAGAACAGCAAGTTTGCCACTTCAGATAAGATGCAGACACTGCCTGTATAGAGATGTTTTCCAGATAGGCCTTGTAATACTCAGCTTCTATTATACTCACATTATATGGCAGCTGAAACGGTTTAAAGATTGTTAATGGCTGATTCAAATGAAGCCTGTTATACTGCGACACGCCATCAGGTCTCACTCTTGAGTTTTCATAAATACAGCAGTGGAAAAAAGAAAATCTTAGCTTATATGTTCCAATAACATCTTATTTCTCACAAATTCTGATACTAATATTTGAGCCAATACTGAGCATGTCCTCAGCATTATCAGTATTTAAGCACTTTAAAATTTTATGTAGTTATTTTTTAGTTACATGTTTGATTATGGTATCATGTGCTGCATTAGCCGCACATAACCAACACTGAATTTGAGGCTGTATCAGATTCCCACACTGATACAAGTATTACGACCAGTATTAAAGTTGTTCCAATACCAATATCAGTATCTTTATTTGTGCTGCTCTAACACTAATAACACTATTAGTACCAGTATTAGAGCTGTCAAACAACCATACTAGTATTAACTTTAGTCATTGAGTTATGCTATCCATTGTTGTCCATTGTTATCCATAGTTGTGGAAATATTGGTCAATATTTGCTGTGATTCCAATAGTCAGTATAGGTGCTAGAGTTGCCCTATTACTAATTTGAGTACCAGTACCATATTGGTTGCTGTCCCAGTTATAGCACCAAATTAATACCAATATTTACGTTGTTCTTATGCTATTACTAATATACTGTATTTTTCGCACTATTAGGCGCACTTAAAATCCTTCTGGCTTGTCGGAGCACTGCAGCTACCGTAGCCTCGTGGAGTTATTGAATGAGTTGAATAAAGTTTGACTTATCAGACTGTTTTGTTTGGCTTAATGCGCTTTATAATCCGGTGCGCCTCATGTATGAAAATAGACGCGATTATTGATGGTGCGCCTTAAAATCAGGTACGCCTTATAGTGCGCAAATATACAGTATGTCTATCTATTTGAAGTCTATCAGCTACTTCTTTACCTTAATCAAGTTTCACATAGTTGATTATCTTTACTGCCATAACTTAACTTGTGCTTCTCAAAGTTTGAATCATATTGTCTCTATATTTCAGTTTCACTAAAGTTTAATTCGTTATTTCCAAACACATACCAACACTCAGTTGTTGCAGTACAAACAGTAGCAAAGCCTTCAGCCTTACCGTTATTGTGTAGCACTACAGACTGCATGAGGTGTAAGTGGACACCAAGCAGCACCCTGATCTTTCCCTCCCTTTTAACTTCACCTGTAAAGCGCAAACCGTGTATACATCCACTCAGTTAGTCCGTCAGTCAGCGATGAAAATGGCGGGACATCAAATCAGTTAATAAATAAATCAGGCCTGCTAATCTGCTTGACGGGCGGACATTGCAGCTTGTAACTGAAGCCGATGGTGTCTGATGACTAGGGATACCACCTTCACATCACCTGACCTTTAAATCTTTAATAGCATTTCCTCCGACCCCAGACCTCCGCGATAATCAATAAGGTGTAGTTTGCTAGACACAGTGGATTTATAGATGCAACATGGCAGATATGGGCGGCATCAGTGAATGTATGAACAAAACAGATTTGACTTTTTGGTGTTCACACGATTGTACATACCACCTTCAATGTTCCTTTGCCTGTCCTCTTGCACTCGTATATTCTCGTAGCTTTCTTTGCTGTCTGTCAGCAATTCGTGGGAGAGGTCCTTTCACGATTCTTGAGGTTATCTTCGGTTTGGCACCTGTGAGAAGAGGCAACAAGGTGAGAGAGAATGAGCAGGGTGAATGAAATGGTAATTCTTTGCATTTACCAAGTAAGATTTTCCATATTTACAGCTCTCTCTATGTGAGTCTGTGCGCGTGTTAGTGTTAGCGCTTAATGTCCATATAAAATTGAGTGAAAAAAATGGGGGGAGGTGGATGGAATATATTTGAATGGAGAAAAAAAATCATTAAACGAGGCAAACATGGGCTCATGAATATTCATAAATGACTGTCTGACTTGTCCACAGGGATAAACTTATAGTGAGGGCACACCAACAGCCTCATTCTGCGCTCACACATTTAATGCAAAGCAGGGAAGACCTACTGTATATTTTTGCTCTTGAGACTACCAAGTGGGGGTCTACAGATGAATCTGAATATGGTTAAAACTGCGTTATACTGAGAGTATTCTTACATTGTATTATGTAGTCATGTCTGTGTCTTATAATGTCTTTTACAGCTGAAATATTCAGTCCGGCACACAATAATAGCGTGCAAAAAGGCCCGGCTGAAAGAAAGGGTGATAAATACTGTTGGCATTTGTGTTTTCTTCAGCCAAAGTATTAAGCTTTAATTAAAGGAACTAGACAATTAGTTTTGTGCTATCTGAAACTTTTTACAGACCCAAACCATTATCCATTGTCCCTCCCTCACATTTGTAGAAAATCCAACTCTCGCATTTGGAAATGTGGGTGTGCGTGTGTGTGTCAAGTGTGGGTTGACACCCTAATCAAAGCCTGCTGGAGAAAAATCAACAGTTGGCCAAAACAATTATGTAATTTCGAATATGTCACAGTGTACGTTCACACGCACACACGCACTTTCAGCTTTTTGGAAAACGCAATTTTCGTGAGGTTTGGCATCAGTCATGCATTAAAAAGCGAGGAGGGGAAACTGCGACTTCATGTTAAGTCAAACACATAAGTGCGGTTTGCTGATATTGATCTTGCTTGGATTGTTTCTTAAGCCTCTCCTGGCAGCCACTTCACAGCATGTGTCACACACACACACACATGCACATGTAGAGCAGCTCGTCTTAAAATGTGTGTTTTTTTGTAATACGAGGGAGAAAGAAAGGAATGCCTCTCCCTCTCTCTCTCTCTCTCAAGCGAAAAAGATAAACACAAACACATTTCCAGGGCAAACAGGAACAGCCCGGGCTCGGTGCAATCTGTTGTCGATCATGCTCACGTGAAAACACAATCTGCCTGTCACACTCGATGATGTTGTCAAGCTCTCTGCTCCTGAGAATTAGCCAGCTACTGCGAGACACATTTGTTGTGTGTCAGATATGTTTGAGGATGCTCCCAGCTTCATGTGGTATTTACTGCTTTCAGTCATTCCTCCCGCGCTCACTCCCTAATGAATTTCAGAGACATTTGAAGCTTTGACACCAGATTGATGCTACATGATGTGGCGACCAAACAAGTTACAGGGGGTACACAAAGACCTGCAGGCCAACTCAACTCATGGGCTCAGCTGGTGATCCATAGATCTTACACGTTCATATGTGTGCAGGTGTTTGCGTGCGTGTGTCTTTGGGGTAGACTGACATCTGTATGAGGAGGGAGGGGACGAGCCCAGTACCCTTATTTTTAGACTCATGTCTCAATACATCATGCTGATATTCAATTTGATAATTGTAAACGAATATATTGCAGTTACTTCGTATTTGGAAGTTACAACAGACGGATTTGAATTAAAACATTTTTTGGTTTTGGGAGTGTAGAAAAGAGAGAGTTGAAGAAAAGCAATAAAGGAAAGAATCTAAAGAGTAAATTTGCCTAAAAAGCTAAAATTATCACAACGATTCCTCTCTGAAGCATCAAATCAATTTATTGAATATATATTAATTTTAATCTGGCCGATCTATTGCCTATACTTTTCATTTTGAATTACACATCATTGAAATTTTAGCTCTTAATTGGAGCAGAATTCAACTTTACATTCTTGTTTATGATGACAGATGTCATCCTTATTAACGTTAATCCAACTTAACCTTCTTTTTTTATTTTTTAAGAGAGGGAGAAATTAAGAAGAAATGACTCACTCTGTATCGAAGATGAGACACTTTACCCTGCCGATCTGTGCCATCTAAAGCATTATATTACAAATGATTTGGAACTCCTTATTAGAAGGGTTTATAATGAAACACAGAGGGCAATATCATCAGTAATTATAGTCACTGGAACCGTACCAGTGAAGAGTGTAATTAGGGAAGCAAAGGTGAGAATATCACTTTTAATTAACTGTAGTCGTATGTCCTCTTATTAAAAGATACATAAAATAAAGAAAATCATGGAAGTATTTATTTGTACACTCAAAATGAGTTTTTCTATGATAGAGATGATATTCCTCTGTACCTATATTTAGACTGCATGTAATATTACCGTGATGACTCTACTACTGGAAGAAAGCAGTAAGGCAATATACATATTTACCATTGCCTTGGTAAAGAATCATATACATAAATATAACATAATTAAATATTCATTTTTCTGTTGATATGACTAGTTTATCGTGGCAGTTGTTTCCACTTGCAAAATCTTGAATGACAGCTTAGTCATTTCCATATGTGTCCTATGTGTGAAAAAATATGACTCTGTAATAAACAGATTTTCAGCTCGGATATTAACAGATCCCACATATCTTATAAACTTTTAATAGACTTGTAAACAAATCTGTTGCAGCTTTGCTCAGCTGTAATTTCGGATATTTTTAAGATGAAAAATAATAAGGAAAGCAGAGAGAAAAATAAAAAGTTCAGTCTACTTATCATTAGCTGCTGCGCTTTATAACAGTATGACTCAGTGAAGCCATACAGAGCCTTCTTTTTAATAACTCTGTATTTCTCCCTGGCTTAGCCATTAACTGTCTGGCCAGCATGAAGTTCACTGTACCATTTCATACACTTCCTTCTCCTGTGGGTTCAGATTCAGTGCAGCAGCCTGTTGGATACAGAGCGGACCTGAATGCAGTAATAACAAAGTCAGGAGGCCTGTGAATCTGTAATGACCACATAACGACCCCTCACTGAGCAGTGTCAAACGAGAGGCAGCGCTGGTGATTTGCATGTGTCGTGTTTAACCAACAGTTTTCTGTCTGTACACCTTGTATGCATTATGGATGAGGCACAAGCTGAACAACAAGCTCTGCCTTTGTTCTGCCTGATGCTCCAGTTACATCACAGGAAAAAGCCCTGCGGCCCTGTGACGCCGCTGACTGCCGAAGACACAGAGCCGCTGGGCGAGGCGTTGTTTGGACCTGTTGCTTCTCCACTTTGTTTTGCATTTATCTAAATGTATAGATATAGCTTCAGACACATGTACGCAAACAATAGTGCCTGGTGAGGAAACCGACTCTATCCCTCTGTTGCTTAACTTTGTACAATCACTCGGTGGTTATTGTTTACTCAGGACCTGCATTCTGCTTTGTTTCTTACTTTTCAATTTGGTCAGAGTTTGATTCACAGAACAGAATAATCCACCTTGCAAGCTTTTTCTTGCATATACATTATTATTTCATTATTCATGCTTGATGTCTGCAGATTAATTATGTTCAGGAAACTGTCAGGACTGCTTACACATTTCACTGTCATGCATACTGTAAATGTATATGTG